AGACTGAAACGAAGGGTGATAAGAACAAGACAAAGACAGAGAACGGATCATGTAATTGTTTTTTTGCTAATATCTATCTTTCAATGATCGTTCTTCTCCTGTTCATTATTCTGTGTGTAGCAATTATTTCGATTCTATATTACACGCATATTAATCCCTACGTTAGTCTTTTTCAGACAACATTTACTGTAAAGTCATTTCACTACAACAAAGTTGCTGGATTCAAGCTTTCTAAAAGACCCTTCCTTCAATCCATCCGAATTGGAAATGACTGTTTCGCATCTGTCTCGTCGGTGCAAATCATGGGATTAAGTTCTTTACGGTCAATTTCTATCGGCAGTAATTCATTCACGGGAAAGAAGAATGACTATGGAAGTGATCGGTCGAAGGATATCTATATCAATAACTGTAAAGTGTTGCAGTCGATTGAAATCGGTGAGTACAGTTTTAGTGATTATGGAGGGCAATTCAGTTTGAAGGGTCTTCCGTCTCTGCAGTCTTTGCTTGTAGGGAAAGTGAATAGCACCTCGTCTAACTTTTATTCTGTCAACACATTCACACTTCAAGGTATTCTCCCTTTGATCCTCTCTATTCTACTAGATCTCCCTAATCTCCAGTCGGTTTCGTTGGGCGATTTTGCTTTTTGTGACACATTAACAACAGTGATGGATAGTAAGGGTGTTGATCGTGTTGTTTTATGGTAGATCTTCCTTCTTTGAATTCGCTAATTCTTGGAAGCTCTGCCCTTCAAGGAAGATACGATGCCAATTGCTCATTGACTATGCAAAGTACAAAGCTCCTTATTTCGACTAAGCGATTAGATCTTCCTAATCTTGGCGAGATTGTTTCGGAAGGCCATAGTTTTTATTATCCTTGCACTGTTGTTCTAAAAGGTATTGATAAAGGAGTTTTGTCTACTAGACATTCCATCTCTCCAATCTGTGGTTCTTCCATTTTCCTTTGAGTATTACTTTTTCTTAGATATTTCCAGTATTGCTGCGTATTTTCATTTGATGGGATAGATATTCATAGTCTGTTGGAGCAGTATGTGCCTCTGAATGTCTATCATGTTGATGATTTGTACATCTCAATGGACGCGATTCCTGTGGAAGCAACTAAGATCATATTCAAAAAGAATTCATTTAAGAGTGAAAGCTCACTAATAATCGATTCTTTTCCAAATTTGAATTCCCTTATTTTTGAAGATTCCTCCTTTGCGAATGCTGATCTTGTGGAAATCAAGGCTAGTCAGCTAGAGAATTTATCCATTGGGAAATATTGCTTCTCGGGTATGGAAGTTGAATCTGGTTTGGATAGAAGGTTGGTGGAAGTTGGCAGTTATTCCTTCTACACTCCCCAATTGAAGCAGATTGTGATTGGTACAAGATCTTTATTGAGTATGAATACCTTGGTACTGAATCAGTTGAGTCCAAATGTTATGTTAGAATTGGATGGTTTTGCATTGAGCAAAATAGGGAGGATCCAGTATGTTGCTGCTATTCCTATTGGTACTGTTCAGTATCTCAAAACAACCATTGAAGAAAACGATGGGCATGAAGGAACAATTGTTCTCGAACTGTTAGATCCGCCAATCATTGTGCCTACATCTCCACTTCCATCGGAGCCTCCTACTGAATCTCCCACTACCGTGGTTCCAACTACCTTGGCACCTACAACCATGGCACCAACTACCTTGGCACCTACCACCTTGGCACCTACTACTGCCACTCCAACAACTTTGGCACCTACCACTGCCGCTCCTACCACCTTGGCACCTACTACCTTGGCACCTACCACTATGGCACCAACAACTTTGGCACCTACTACTACCACTCCTACCACTCTTACTCCTACCACTGTTATTCCGACTACTATGGAACCTACTACTATGATCCCAACCACATTGGCACCTACTACCATGGCACCTACCACATTGGCACCTACCACACTTACTCCTACTACTATGACTCCAACTACCTTGGCACCTACTACTACCACTCCAACAACTTTGGCACCTACCACTGCCACTCCTACCACCTTGGCACCTACTACTACCACTCCTACCACTACGACTCCTACCACACTTACGCCTACTACTGCCACTCCTACAACCTTGGCACCTACCACCTTGGCACCTACTACTATGACTCCAACCACCTTAGCACCTACCACTACCACTCCTACTACCGTCATTCCTACAACCATGGCACCTACTACTGCCACTCCTACCACCATCACTCCTACCACTCTTACTCCTACCACACTTACGCCTACCACTATGACTCCAACCACCTTGGCACCTACCACATTGGCACCAACTACCTTGGCACCTACCACTGCCACTCCAACAACTTTGGCACCTACCACTGCCACTCCTACCACTCTTACTCCTACCATACTTACGCCTACCACTGCCACTCCTACAACTTTGGCACCAACAACCATGGCACCTACTACTATGACTCCAACCACCTTAGCACCTACCACTGCCACTCCAACTACTTTGGCACCTACAACTGCCACTCCTACAACCTTGACACCTACCACCATCACTCCTACTACTACCACTCCTGAATGTGATGAAGAACAACTGTTGCTTGAGATGGTTCGGACTTGTGGAAGTAATGGTGACGAGGAATCTTTTGAAATTTATGAGGGAAAACTATCAGCAAGTAGTGTAGCAATCTTTACTCAGAGTTCTTGTGTGGTTGGTACTTCTTACCTATGCATCAATCCTGTGGAACACACGTTATTAATGAGGGATACTGCCGCAAACGGCTGGTCTCCTGGATCGTTTATTACTCTGAAATGTGAGGGAGTGTCGAACTCCTACCGTGCAGAAAATGGTTTCGTAATCTATCCTCGGTACTTCAACTTCGCTCCAACTGTTGCTCCCACAACATCGTCTCCTACTACCATCACTCCTACTACCATCACTCCCACTAGCGGTGGAACAAGTACTATCTATGTATCAGAACAAGAGTATCCAACAATCGATGATATTCCTCGTAATGCAGAGGTTCTAATCTTCACTTCTGGTGCGTATGCGGACTTGCCTGAATTGACGCTGAGCGGCTTCTCGAACCTCGAATCTATTACCTTTGAATCAAATTCATTCAAGAACACACATTCCCTTAATATCGAGTCATCCACTGTATCTTCAATCACATTCGAGTCTTCTTCTTTTAATGGAAACTCGAATAATGGGGTTCTATCGCTCCACACTTCCAATCTTCAGTTTGTTGTGTTTAAACCTAATGTTATGAAAATTGTTCGCACTATCTATCTCAGGGGCTTTTCCAAATCGATTTTGTGGACAGTTTATCGTCGGTCTCTGCTGTCTTTGGAGACTATCTACTATACAAATATGCTTTCTGGTTTCGCTACATCTCTTGTTCAAGCTCTTGAGGCTGCCGGAACTCCTACTGACGATATCACAATACAAGAGTATGTACCTACTTATATGCCTCGTATTTTAAATGATGTGGAGTCTGCACCTTTGTATAGTCCTGCTGAATGTGGTAAGGAGCAATTGTTAATTAAGATGGTTTCCACTTGTGATATTAGGGATGACGAAACAGTGCTGGAAATCTATGAGGGAGGATTATCCTTCACGAGTATTCCCATTTTTAGGCAGCGTTTGTGCTTGATTGGAACCTCATATTTGTGTATGAATCCTGTTGAACACACGTTGGTCATGGATAATCATTCAGTCCACGGTCCCTCTGCTACATCCAATCTTTCCCTAAACCATGGAGAACTCTCGCTGGACTTTGTTCTAGAAGAAGGAATGGATCGTCTGATTAATACATTCAGCTTTGGACCATCATTCTCGGCTATTCATTCGAGCAGTATGAATGAAGATCAAATTCAAGTGACACTGATTCGTTCTTGTGGTAACTCGTCGGATTCTGAAGGCTTTACGATTTATGAGGGAGCTACGCGTGACCATGCTATCTATAGTCAGACTACTTGTGCTGCTGGTGTAGTGAACCTGTACATCACTCGCGGTCTCTACACGATTGTGATGACGAATTCGAATGAACAGGTTTGGGCTGAGAATTCGATGGTTCGTATTTTCTACGGCAGTTTGCTTGGATCGTACAGGAAGGTTGTTGTGGGTGCTGAAGAGTCTGCAGTGTTTGCTCTTCCTGAAGTGATTGAGGCTGGAGCTGCTTGGAAATACTCTTCGGAGACCATGGTGGGCACGAGCTGGACCACGGAGAATGTGGATTGGAGCTTGATCTCGGAGTACCCGGCTATTTCTTCGATCACGCGTTACTTCCGTCAGAGCTACACGTTGTTTGGAGCTGGATTCCGATCTGTGATCATCCAGGTGAAGACGAACGGTGGCTTTGTGTTCTATGTGAACGGAGTCGAGGCTTCTCGCTTCAACTTGCCCGCTGGAGAGATTACTGCAACGACGCAGGCTACCGAACTGAAGGAGAGCAATGTGTACCGCATTCTCCGGCTGTCCCTGGACGCTTATTCTGCTGTGAATGGTGTGTATGAATTCGCTGTGGAAATGCACGCTGCTGAGGGTCAGATTGGCGAGGCCGAGCACTTCGAGTGCTCTGTGGAGTTCACGATCTATGAGCAATCGCTGGTTGCAAATGGAATAGCTCAATCGAACAAGGCCGGTATGGCTGCTCATTCGGTTGAGAACCTGTTCGATGCCTCGATTTCTACCAAATATCGCGTCACTGTGACGAGCTCCGATTTCCCTGTGGAAGTGACCTACACATTCCCCGAGGGCGATGAATACACGATGAATAAGTATGTGCTTACTAACGGCGATTCAATATCTGCGGCTTGCAACACGTGGAAGATCTTCGGTAGAAAGAACAAAGATAACGACGAATGGGTGATGTTGGATAGCCAAGATAATGTGGAATGGAGCGAAGCAAATGAATCTCTGAGCTTCACTGTAAACAATGTGAATGCATTCAATGCCTACATGTTCCAATGTAGCTCAGTTGTGAATATCGATGGTGAGTATAATGGAAATCAGCTAGATATGGCTGAATGGATTCTAAGAATTGTGTAGTTGATCTAGGTCGACATGGATTGTGATTTTATTTTGTGATGTTTGTTGAAAGAAAGGATCGATAAATACTATTGAACCTTCTCGTTGTCATCATTTTTATATGACACGAGTTGTAGACATATATCAGACTATGAGTTTCTCATGCAGATTATTTTATAGATTAATTAACTATCATATGGAATTGCACAGATAACAACACAAACACAAGTCAGAGCATGTGAGATAAAGTGATTCGGTGTGTAGTTCATCATTGCTTCATTTTCCTTCGTCCATATCCCTTCCTGCCTAAAGTAATAACAGTAATTGCCCCAGATATCTGTATTCTTCTTCAGATACTCACACATAACTTATAGAAACGCAAATACATAATAAAAATATACATCCCTCATACCTAAAATCATTTGGTTCCTATTGAAAACTTATTGATATCAAGTCTAGCATCACTCAAAAATACATTTCTTGAAGTTTATACATTCTTCACTCAAGACAATGTCGCCATTCTATCATTTACAAGCATCAATAGATCGCTATATCCTCACAGCAAAGAGGAGGGACTGAATAGTGTTCACAACAGTCTGTTATCCTCTCAAAATAAAATCACCAAAACAGGAATCCACAGTTTATCCACCGTACTATCCATTCATTCCTAATTCATCCTCATTTCGGTGATTATTGTCTCTCATTGCTCGTTCAAGTATTGGCTTGATTATCAACAATGTCATGGAATCACTGTACTTGCAGCTGTCCATTTTCGTATTACTGGTTTATTCAGTTTCCAAATTATTGTAGGTTGCATAGTTTTATTTGATAAGAGTATATCTCTAACCTCTTGTCTGTAGAATACTCATGTCTGAAGAATCACAGAAAGCGCACAGTTCGATGACATCTTCTCTCCGAAAGCAAAGAGAGGAGCTTATTGTCGAGAGAAAGTCTCTGATTGTGTTTTTTGTGTCCTTGTCTTAATTGGTGTAGAGTGAGCTAAAAATCTATGACTCTGCATTCAAATCAGCAGTAGCATCATGTCCACCGAAGGAGTCTGGAAACCTTGAGGATTTGGAGGAGAGAATCGAGACGGTGGAAGAAGAACTGGAAGTGGGAAGTCGTGATGCGAAAGAAGAGAGAGCTGTAAGCAGTCAGGGCTTTTCTTTCATCTCTCTAGCTAAAACGTGACTTGTTAAAGTTGAAGCAGTCTTATGACAGAGTCATGCAATACATTGCTGCTTCACGTGAAATTGATATCATTCGAAACGTATTTGTTGTGTGAGTGTTTTAATGCGCAGAGACGGAGTGAGAAGTCAAAGAGAGTCGATGAACTGAGCAAGAAACTGGATGAGCTGGCCGAGACAGTGGAGATTGAAGAGACCTTGTCTCGTATTGAGTCGAGCAGTGGTAAGAAGGTATGTTGGACTGCGATGTTTTTTAAACTGTATAGTTAACAAAGAGCGATATCTCAAAGGAGGAAGTGAAGGTTCCCAAGGAAAGCATCGGCCGATTGGTCGGTAAAAATGGTTCAAATGTTTAGGCACGGGAGCGTGTTGATGGGTAGATTCAGAAGCTGGAGAAGCAGTTCTCTGTGCGAATCATGACGAATGAGGAAGTGTTCACTGTGCTGGGCGAGCTGGCGAACGTGAAGCGATGCATCGCCGAACTCACGGACATGGCGAACGAGAAGGAAGTGACGATCCCTCTCTCCACAATGCAGATTCGTGCCTTGTTGGCCCATGATCACAGCTATCGCCGATCCATCGAGAACTCTTGCCGCGTCTTCATGACTCTGAAAGATGCCGAAGTCACGATTCGAGGTGGCCAGAATGCTGTGAAGAACGCCGAACGCGCATTGAATGATCTGATGAAGAGTACTGGGACGAGCCCTAGCCACGCTGATCCATAGAGCAGTCGAGCTTCCCCATTACGCCCTTCCTGCGCAGCGTGCTTGTCAACCAAAAGATGGAGAAGTTCCTCGCGTTGCAGAAGGAGTGTCCCGCGTATTTGACGTTTACCCCGGAGTCCGACGCTCTGCTGATTCTGGGAACCGTGCAGGATCAGCGCGAATCTCTCGTAGAAGTGGATGCGCGATGCGAGTGTAGGCGAAGCTGCAGGAATTCGCGCAGAGCCACGTGGAGGTGGAGGAGAAGATGCCTTGCGAGAATCTGTTCACTCGCTTCCTGCTGCAGAACAAAGCGGAGCGCATGCAGCAGACGCAGCGCCAGTTCAACGTCCGTCTCCAGGCGTCGAACGGCAGCCTGGTCGTGAAGGGAGAGAAGGACGCCGTGGCCCAGGCGATCGCGAAGGTGGAGGCGCTGCGTGCCGAGCTGGCGTCGCGCACGATCGAGATGGCGGTGAACGGCGCGCAGATCGACATGCTGCTGAACCAGAAGGCGGCGGTGGTGCAGGCGCTGGAGCAGGAGTTCGGGTGCCTGATCTCGGTGGAGAGCGCAAAGGGATCGATGAAGGTGGTGGTGGATGAGGCTCGTCGCGAGGAAACCGTGGAGGCGATCAACGCGAAGCTCGCGACAGTGTGCACGGAGCGCGTGGAGATCCCGGAGTGTCTGCTGGCGCTGTTCGTGGGCCCGAAGGGAAGCAACATCAACGCGATGCGCCAGGCGCACGACACCAAAGCCGAGCTCGCGAAGGGCGTGCTGGAGATTAGCGGCAAGGAGGAGAACGTGGCGGCGATGAAGAAGGCCGTCGAGGAGTGGCTGGAGCAGCACACGATCGCGGAGATCCCCGCGGAGCGCCAGTTGGCGCGCGAGGCGCTGATCGGAGAGAAGGGCGCGAAGATCCAGTCGCTGCGAAAGGAGCTGGCGGTGGAGATCCAAATCGAAGAAGGCAAGGTGGTGGTGATCGGCGCGCCGGAGAACGTGGAGAAGGCCGTGGCCACGCTGACGCAGCTGCTGGACACCTACCGCAAAGAGAACGCAGTGGTAGCGATGCGCCACGAAGTGTTCGTCAACGCGAAGGAGCTGCGTCGCAGCGAGATCGATGCGCGCGAGAAGGAGTGGAACGTCTCGATGTCGCTGCGCCACGACGCGGTGTACATCCACGGAGACGAGGCTTCGGTGGCGAAGGCGAAGCAGGAAATCGAGGACATCGTGGCGAAGTATGCGGAGTTCCACGAGGATTCGCTGGACGTGCCCAAGGAGGAGATCGGCGTGCTGCTCGGAAAGAACGGAGACAATCTGCGCGCCTTGGAGAGCCAGCTCGGCGTGTCGGTGCACATCGAGGGCAGCAAGCTGCGAATCTGGGGTCCCGCGTCCGCTTTGCCCGCAGCGAAGGCCGGAATCGTGTCCAACCTGGAGGAGCGCGTGTATCTCACGGAGGAACTGAACTGCACGGGCAAGCAGATCGAGTTCCTGCGAGCGGAGCGCTTCGAAGTGGTCCACGCGATCCAGAACGCGTACAATGTGACCATCACGCTGCCTCGCGAGTTCCCTCTCTCTGGACCCATCAAGGTGGCTGTGCGCGGAAATCGCAGACAGCTCGACGAGGCGATTCCCGTGGTGCGCGAGGCGCTGCAGGGCTTGATCCGCTGCGAGCTGCATCTGGACGGAATGGTTCACCGTCTGCTCACGGAGAGCTCGCTCCAGTTCCAGCGCCTCGCTCTGGAGAGCCGCTGCCGCATCCAGCCCGACGAGGCCGCGGGTCTCGTGCGCATCGTGGGTCCGAAGCAGGGCGTGGAGCTGGTGCAGGTCCGCGTGTGGGAGCAGCTGGCGGCGCTGGACCCCTCGCTCTACCGCAAGATCGACGTGAGCGAAGCGGTGCTGCTGGGTCTGCAGGAGAAGAAGGACGCGATGAAGACGTTCTCCAAGCAGCACGGCGTGCAGCTGCGTCTGCTGCCGCAGGCCGTGCTGGTGGAGGCCCCCGCCGCCGCGATGGACGAAGCCGTGGCGTTCGTGCAGACGCTGGCCGACGCCGCCGCGCAGGAGAGTCTGCTGATCCCCGTGGGGCAGGACCGCGTGGCGTTCGTGATCGGAGCGCAGGGCGCGCGCATCAACGGCATCATCAAGCAGTCGGGCGCCCAGCTGCGCGTGCTGCGCGATGAGTGGGTGCACGTGCTGGGCACGCCGGAGCAGGCGGCGAAGGCGCGCGCCCTGCTGGAGACGGCGCTGGAGGAGTACGCGGCCACGCACGTCGCCTTCCAGGTGGACGAGGCGCTGGTGTACGCGATCCGCGGTCCCCGCAACAGCAACCTGGTGCGCATTGAGCGCGAGTGCCGCGTGCGCGTGCGACTGGAGCAGGACGGAGCGGTGAGCATCGTGGGAAACGCCGGCGAGGACGTGGCCAATGCACGCGCCGCCCTGGAAAAACTCGAAGAGGAGGCTCGGGCGAACCCCGAGCAGGAAACGGCGTACCGAGGAGGAGAGAAGCCCCGCCGAAGGGAGCGCGAGCAGGGAGCGGAGGAGCGAAAGCAGAAGAAGGAAAGAGAAGCAGAAGCAGAAACAGAAACACCCGCTGAATCGGTGTGGGAAAAGCTGAAACGCGCTCCCCTGCTGCCATCCAAGACGGTCGGAGGAAGCGATATGTACAAGTCGGAGAGTGGATACACCGTGGAGTTATAAGGAAAAGGGGTTATAAGGATTAGGATTGGTATTTCGTGCTTGAGGTGTTGATATATTTTGTTATTGTTTTTGTGGTTACGTGCTAGGAATGTTTGTTTTATTCGTTTTTTCGTGAAGTCATTTTATTATTGTCATGTCGTCTGAGAATCCAGAAAGTATATATAATAACTTGGGGCGACTCCGGAAGAACAGAAAGGTCAGGGGAATTCTTCAGAGGAAGCATGTTTCAGAAGTTGGTCAACATCTTAAAAAGCAGCTATCGGACATTAATGAGCACAACGCCGGTACGAAGGAATTACAGTTTACTGTGGAAAAGGATGGAAAAGTCATTGATTACAGTGATATTACCATTCCTTCTGAATTGGATTATGATGCATTTCGGAGTGCATCTTTTTTACGTAGGAGCAACGAAATCAAGGAACTTCTCAAGACAAAGCAGGAAGATACTTTTGGTCTTGTTGTGGATAAATGCGAAATGCGATTTTGTGATATTGATGAGTATGATCCTGTTTTCGATTTGGTAGCAATCAAAAAGAAGTCATACAATAACCTTACAAAAAAGGACGAGTACCTTAAAGCGCACTCTAACGAATCATGTAGTGTTCAGTGTACTGTGTCTGATTTTGTCCAGAAGGATTATGATTCCTTAGGTTATCAGTGCTATGACGATTATTTGGATTTGCGAGGGTATTCGTCGATTCCTACAAAAAAACAGAAGTCTCTCTTTGAGTATGAGGAGATTGTTTGTGGTGTGGATGGTTGTATTTTCCGATGTGTTAGCCCTGAAGATATGGAAAATCACCGGAAACTTCACAGTTCCCCGCTTCCCTTTCCTTGCCTCGAAAAAGGTTGTCTTCATTCTTGCAGCTCCCGCTTTGATCTGAAGCATCATATGTTGCAACATTGCAAGCACCTCTTTCCATGTCTATCAAAAAATTGCCGCTCTGTGTTGACATCTCCACTTGAATTGTGTTGTCACACTATGTATCATACTGCGTTTTCTGTACAAGTACAAAGACGTAGGCTCTGCCACCTATGCAGGAAGCTGGTATTATGTCACCATTCCCACTTGCAACTCCATCCTGAGATTTGCCCCCAGTGCCCCTATCCTGGTTGTTCGTATGTAATTCGATCAAAGAATCAGTATTTTTATCATCGATATGCTCATAAATTGAATGACGAACTTGCTAAAAGTTTGAAACAAGAATAAAAATTGTTTGAGTAAAAAAAATCACATTTCTTTCAAGTTTGCTTCCAAATCCTTATACTTCTTTTCAAAATACTTCACTTGTTTCTATTGGTAAGACCTGGATAAAACAGAATAATACTGAAACACTTTCGATCTTTGAGTTCAAACGATCCATTTTTTCTTGCAGGTTTTGTTTGGCAGTCGCGTGGTCATGCAACATATACATGCTTCCATACCTACAAAACACATCCTTTGATTCGTCTATCTCCGTCAACTTCTTCATACTAATCTTGTAAGTGTCAAGTTGTAAATTCAATTTGGACAGGTCAGTTGAGGCCATCTCAAAGTTGTTGTACATTGTTTGACATTCCTTTTGTAACATCAAAGTCTACTACTCAATTCACCTGTGAAGGCAAACTTGCTCTGTCGACGCTTCAGACTTCCTCTCTGCTGATTTCGCACTCTTTTGAGACTCATCCTACATCAAATAGGTCAACAATAGGCAAACGACAAAGGGCTTGCATTCCTCACGATGCCCATTCTTCCAATGAGCTGACTGGCATTTCTTCGAGCAGTAGCAAGCAGATTTGCAACGAGAACACTTCTTGAACTCACCTACTCCTGAATGTTAATAAGGACATGAATACCAGGTCGAGACTCCGTATTTCCGCAAAGGGGGTTTGAACAACTTCTGACAGCACTCATTTCTTTGCTTCTTTACTGATAATACTACTCATACAAAACCCGATCACATCACATCACATCATGTATATTGTGGGATGCCAATAATTTGTATTTTTTCATCAATGATCCTTTTATCTTTATTGATTTTATCTTTTGCTGCTGCATATTTTGTTCAGGAATCAGGACAATCAAAATCGGATGATGTGATTATCTCCACATATCAAATTGAAGGCGTCCCATCAGAAATGATTAATAAGTATATAGAATTTCTTTTTTCTTTTATCATAGCTATGATAACTACGGTTATTCCTATGTAGAGTCAACACTTTCTGTTTCTCCAGCTGTTGAGGGTCGCCCAATGACTGGGAATATGGAGATTGCGGTTCTCACTAAACAAGCCTACGATCTTTCTGGTTTTGCTTTTGGGAACAAACGTGTCTTCTGCTGTACGAGTTTTGCAATTCTTGTTATTTGTTTTCGGTTTCTGTTGAGATTTAGCAAGGATATTGTTCCTCATTGAATCGATTGGTCCTTCCAAAAGATGGCTCTCGATTCAACACGTCGTTTGCACAGATAACGTTTGGAATTTGTTTGCCTTGCATTCTAGAGGTCCTACCACATTGGCAGCGCATTTGGAGACGAGAGAGAAAGGAATATATGTGGTTCTTGCTGGCTTTTGCGGCTCATCCAACAACACTCAATACTCAAAGACGGATGAAGTCAAAATATCAACTGGGCAACTTCCCAGTGGTTATTACCCTGCAATCTTTGAAAAGCTGCTTTTCGCCATCGTATATATCATTCTGGTCCCCATTTGGTGCTTTTTCATGAAGTCTGTGCGGAACACGATCTATTACAGACTCATTCTGACCTTGATTTTGTGCTGCTGCGCTGGATGCGTTTGCTCGTTCATCTCTCTGCTGCTTTCCAACCATTCTGGACATCTCCGCGCTCCTCTGAACCTTCTTCTGGATGCTTTGGTCATTATTCTGCGCAGTGTCGGTGGCTGCATTGTTCTGTTGCTCGCTTACGGGTTTGCTTGGATGGCTTTGGCTCATCCCGTAGAATCGGAGTCTTCCCTTGGAAGCAGATCGGCTCGTTTGGCTACCGATGCATTGGGTTTTCTGTGGTTTATGCGATCGCCAATTTGCTTTGTCTGTTTCTGCTACCTTCCCCTCTGATCGACCAGCATTCCTTTGTTTCGGCGTTAGTCACTTTCATGTATCCTTTGTTTTTTTTCTTATAATCGAAACAGACTCGCCTGCATTTACTTCAGCATTCTTTTCATGGCAGTCAACAAGTCTGTGGACTCTTTAAATGAAAAAAGCCACTTCAAAGAGTCGTCTATTTTCAGGAGGTATCGATCGTTCGCCATCGTTTGGTTAGTGTTGTCGATTCTTCTTTCAGTCTGGTATTCCAGCCTGCTGCTTAATTTATTCGCGGTTTCGCTTTCACTCCTCTGGATGTGTGCTTCATGAGACTTATCAATTCTAGATTTACGTATCTTCTGTGGGATATCCTCTATTTATTTGTCGTTTCTTGTACTATCCACATTTGGAAATCCAAAGGTATTGTGAATCAACTCAAGTGTTTTGTTTGTTGGAAATGAATTTTTGGATTCCTGGAGCATCTGATCCGGGAGTGGATCGTGAGTATGAAGACGAGGGTACTTACTTGGTAAACGATACTCAAAACAGAGTGAGCATAGAACAACAAGTAAGCAATCATTTCTGGTTTGCTATCGACTCTAGAGAAAAGACCTGCCGATTTATCGCTACCGAAGGGAGATTTTGTATTTTCTTGCTTTTGGAAGCAAATAACTTGTTAGATATGCTGTTGAAACGAGCCATGTCGTTATTATTCAGGGAGAAACTGGGTGCGGCAAATCAACGCAGATTCCTCAGTATTTGCAAGAATCTGGATGGGCAGATGGAAATCGCTGTATTGTGTGTACCCAGGTATTCGCTCGCGAAGCGTTTTCTGTTTAGCCCCGAAGAATTGCTGCAACGACGGTGGCAAAGCGTGTTGCCGAAGAGAAGCGGAGTGTGCTAGGAGAAACAGTGGGATATAGTGTCCATTTCGATTACAATTTTAATCGCAATGGGAAAATGACTCAAATCAAATATATGACAGACAAGGAGCTCCTGCGTGAAATGACTCACAACCCCATGGTTTTCTCTCTTCATCTGTGTATTATATGTAGCTAAATAACTATAGCGTGATTATGGTTGACGAAGTCCACGAGCGGACGATTCAGAACGACGTGCTCCTCGGCCTTCTAAAGAAGATCATTCGAAAGCGGCAGGATCTGCGAATCATCATCTCGAGCGCATCGCTGGATGTGAATCTGTACAAGCACTACTTCCAGGATGTCGAATACTCGCGTTCCCATGATCTCCTCAAGCCCTACACCATTCTTACTGTTCAAGGACGTCAATATCCTGTTAACATCTTGTTCCTGCGTCCTTTCTTCTTCTCTTATCTTTAGTTATGCTTCTTCTCCTGTATCGAATTATGTGTACACGGCCGCTTCTGTCGGATTGCATAAGGAAATTGATCCTTAGACAGTGATTAGCATCCACAACTCGTCGATTCGAGGCGATATTTTGGTGTTCCTCCCTGGAGAAGACGAGATCGAAGCGTGCAAAGAGCGGCTTCTCGAGCAAAGCCAGTCTTGTCGTTTGCGCAACGGACAGCTCTGGGTTGTGACTCTGTTTTCGTTTCTCTGAGCTTTTTATTCCGCAGCTATCCAAATCTCCCCTACGCAGAGCAGAAAAAAGTGTTCCGCGCGACTTCGCGAGGCTTTCGAAAAGTCATTCTAGCGACGGGGATGGCCGAAACAAGCCTCAGCATCGACGGCGTGACGTGCGTCATCGATTCGGGCTTCGAAATGATTCAAATGTGGCAATCTTGGATTGCGGTGATGCGGTAGATACAACAAGGAAGTCAACATCAACACGCAGGTCATTCAGCCGATCTCGCGAGTAGGCTTTTTTGTTTTCTTCAAGGCGCGCAGGCTTCGGCGGAGCAACGGGCTGGACGAGCCGGTCGCTTTACGCAGGGATCCTGCTTTCGGTTGTACACCGAAGAGGGATTCGCGTCTCTGAAGAAGCGAAGCGATCCGGAAGTGAAGAGATTGCTGCTCTGCGACACAATCTTGCTAACACGACAGCTCGGCATTCAGAACGTATCTCTTCTCTTCCTCTCTCTTCACACCCAGCTGGACACGTTCGATCTTCCCTCGGAGATCAGCTCCTCTCGGTACAGCATTTCGTGCCAGATTCTCAACATTCTCAACACGCTGGATCTCCCCAGCTACACCATCAATCCTCGCGGAATTCTCGTTTCGCAAATCCCGGTCGACACGCATCTCGGTTTTCTTCTTGATTCTCTTGCCTCATTCCCTAGCCTCGTTTCTCCTCTTTGCATTGGAGTGTGGCTGTGTCGAAGATGCGCTCACCATCGCTGCGTTCTCCTCGGTGAGCCATTTATTCAAAGAAGAGCCGAAGGATCATGAGCGGAAGGTCGAATATGAGAAGATCATGGGCGAACTGGTCGTAAGCGCAGCGTTTGATTCGATGAGTTGCAGGATGACCGGGGCGATCAGTTCACCTATCTCAAGATTCGAGAGTATCTTTTGAATCCGCCCGTTTTGGAAGGCGAAACGCCGATTCACTACGATCCTGCGAAGATAACAAGCCGTCAAATCGCTCAGTTCTGCGAGGAATACTATCTGAATCCCTTGGCCATGAAGAAGGCGCTGGAGCTTCGCATGCAGTACAAGTACTTCCTGGATCTGCTGCCGCGCGACGCGGTCCAGAATCTTTCCTCCGAGACTTCCCAGCCCACAAACGACGATCCGATCATGCAGTGCCTGATCAAGGCGTACTTCAAGAACATCTGCATGCTGAGCAGCAATGGGTGCTATGTGCCCATCAATCTGCTGAACACCAGCGGAAGCAATGAGGGGGATATTGAGGTTTATCTGCACCCCGATAGCATGCTCAATTTGGTGTCGAAGGTAGGGAAGGAGCCGTGTGTGCAACGTAGCCGCATCACTGGGTGCTTTTCAAAGACATCCAGCTCACCGATGCCATCTACATTCGCGATGTCTGCCAGGTCAATCCGTTGATGGTCGCTCGCTTGGTGCCACGCTTCTACAAGTAAGACATCGTGTGCTGGCCAATGTCTAGACCGATTACCGGAATGGAGAAGCAGAGAGAAGAACAAGACGATTCCCATCTCGCGCCTGTAACCATTGGACCGTCCCTGCCTCCTGCTTCTTTCGATTCCAAGTCCGTCAGAGTGGATCAGCTGGGATTGGAAAGCCGTTTAAAAGATATATTCAGGTTCTGCGATGTTTGTTTCTACAATGTGAATTCTATCCTTTGTGGATATTGATTCCATCTTCTTATTCTATTTTCTTGTTTGCAGCCATGTTTACAGCCATTATTATGACGGTGCTATGTAGTTCCAGCTTGCGTTTTTGACTGCCAGGTATTTTGGCTACCATTGCCATGTGTCTCATCATTCGATTAGCCGTGTATGGAGTGGACGCATGCATTCGATATCGCCGAACACGCCAAAACTCGTAGAATTCGGAGAATGTGACAAAATAGATGGGGTTCCAGATCTGCGACAACCTACTCAGGAGAAGTCACTGTAGATTCACTTCACGAGTACTACACATACATCGGAAAAAAGGATGTAGCGAACGATGACCATTGAAGTACCAATCTAGATTGAATCAAGAGATGATATATCCCTTGACGACTGCTGCTCGGTTTGTTTGGAAGCTTTGAAAAATTCATCGAATTTGGTGGTACTTCTCGTTGTTTTCAGTACCTAAGAGGTTGAATGCGTGCCATCATATCTTTCATCGGCCATGTATCGATGAATGGATTCTGTAGGCTCCCCTTTACGACTGTGGTGACGAATAGCGCCCATCCTATATGCCCTCTATGCAAAATAGACGTTCGCTCCACCAGTCTACCTCAAAACAGGCAAGACGGGTTTGAAAGGCAAAGCGAATCGCTGACCATTACTGTTTTGTCATCACAAGAACGAAGAGACTCAATCCTTTCTGATTAACTTGTTTTCTTACTAAAACAAATCAAATTGTGGAAAATTCAGCTAATATGAAACTCTTAAAGACTAAATTGAACGCACCTTATTAAAAGGCTTCACCACTTTGGCAACATAAACTGCATCTCTCAAACTATGCTCACTTCCAAAGCGTTTCACAGGTATCCACTTAGAGTAGGGGACAACAAAAGAGCGAGAAGAAGGGTGTTGATTCAAAGAATCACTCTGAGCGACTTGCTCACCTTCGTAGTAGTTGCTACAACGAGGGGATTCCACCTGATCCGAACAGGATTGTTGTTTTTCTACGTTACAAAAACATAATTATTCTACTTAGAAACCTCTCCATCATCTCGCTGGAACAACTATTACAGATAGAATGGCAGTAATTAAGCACAGTTTTAGTAAAGGAGGAAAGGTGCTTTGTCTTACTGCAAACACGACATTTTTTCATCACAGCGCTATTCTTGGTATATAAACGACGTTCTGGTATTGGCATCTCATAAAAAAGAAAAAGTTTTGTTATTATAGAGCTATATTTTGCTTGATGTGACCCAAATGCATTTTTGGGTTATTGATGACGCATTTTCCTATTTCTGTTATTTTGGGGATAGATTTCTGATTTTGGGATTTTTGGAATTGGATCGATTCACTATTTTAATAGGGTCGCCAAAGAGAAAATGGATTTTTGTTATTTTGTGGTAATCGAAACCCATTTGTTTTCTACCATGCTCAAGCCTGCAATGTGTTATTTTTGTGATGCACTCTCTTGTTCATAACACAGTGTATATAGGAGGTCATGAAGTTCTCTTGGGAACATTGATTCTTTTTGGATGTATGGTTTTTACTGTGTGTAAGGACCAATATTAAGAAGGTTTTAATATTCACACCTTGCCCAGTATCGATTTTTACTCTCTCTCCTATTTTGGGCTCAATTGAATGCGGAAACATACTATATTCCACAAGAGAAACAGAGAAAATACATTTCGTTTGTCTTCCAACAAACACTTCATTTCAGAAAACAATACGCAATCAAAATCATAATTATGACACAAACCACAAGGACTGCAATACTGCAAAAATTCCAGAAGGATGGACGAATGGTCTTCTGTGTTGATGGTCTGCTTTTCCCTTCAATGACGCAGATTTCAACACTGCCTGTGCAGTTCCCCACCTCGTTTTGAACCGAAACATTTACTGTCGAACATCCCACTTCCCCAGTGGGCATTCCGCTGATAGCTCCATTTTCCGCATTGAACTCCATTCCAGAGGGAAGTGGAGAGTTCAGAGAAAACGCAGAGCCCTTCCCGCGGAAGGATGGAATGATGGGAGAAACGGAATAACCATAAAATGATTGGATTCGCTTGTAAGGATAGTGTAGATCGTATGGGGGACCGAGGCTGCAATTGCCTGTGACTTCTCCCCAATGAGGAGCTATGTAGCCCTCACACGTTCGGTAATAGGCACCCACATAATTATATTCATCTGTGCAAGGAATCTTGGCGGTCTGCGAACCAAAAGTGAACGGCCAGATTCCGTCTGCTGCGCATCCATTCGATAAGACGCTGAGAATAAAAGAGATCTGCACATTCCCCTCGTTTGTTACAGCTGTGATGACGTATTGTTCCTCAAAAACCTCTTCCACGATTCCAGAAATGACTCCAGACTCTGAATCAAACGAAAGGTAGGACGGAAGAGGAGGCTCAATCATCCACGAAGAAACAGTACAAGAATGAGTGGGTGAGATATTGACAGTACTTCCTTGACGATACGCAATATCTTGCGGATAGGTTATTGTGCATTGAGCAGAAAAGGCCCTCGATGCCTCACTCAATGAATGAGTCGACTGCTTTACTACGAATAATGCAGAATCTAAAGAGAAATACAAAACTGAGAGTTAGATTCGAGTGAGCTTGAAAAGACCGATTCCGCACTCACAAGAAGCAGTAACGATAGGAACATAAAGAACATCATAACGCAAGTAAAAGCAAAATGCGATTTACGAAAATAAAGGATTTATCAAACAAACTCTGTTAATTGTACAACAGGAAAACTAAATGTGAGAATAATAACTGCAAGCGTCAGTCTGATGAAAGCGGTTCCTATCATCAAGGGGATATAGCAGTCGATCCCACGGCGCTTTCAACACTTCCCTCCAACTTTACATTCTTTCCCAGATCTCCTTGTACTATTTCATTCGAACCCTCTCCGTTGCTAGCCGCTCTCTTCACACTGTCTCTCTTTGGTTTCCACACTTGCTGCCCATTCTATGCTCCATCGACCATTCCTCTCCTACCTCCTCCACTGCGCATAATACCGCGTGAGCATGCAGTCGAACCTCCGACGCGGACAGCTGCAGCTCTTTCAAGACCTCCTCGCTGGTCAGTTGTTCGAACCGCACAGGGATGTGCGACTCGACGAATTCAATCAAACGATTGCGAATGGCAAGCGAGCGAACTTCCTGCGCCTGCACCCAGGCCTTCGCGTTGAACACGCCGCGACTGGACGAGCGAGCTGCCCGTCCGAGCTCCTCGCACTTCGCTCGAATCTCCGCGGGAATCTCCAGCTCGCCGTCGAGCTTAACGCAGTCCTTCTCCTTGTCGTAAAGCGAGTCGATCAGCGTAAAAGTGCTACGTCCCTTCTTCTGCGTCACCGCGGAGACAAAGCCTTTCAGCTGCTTGTACGAGAGAAAGGGCATTTGGAAGTGCAGGAATGTCACGATCTCTTGCAGACTTCCGATCACGCCGGCGATGAGTGTGTCCAGGAACGGAACCAGCTGGAAAAGATGAGGAGCAGAAAGGCTCAACTCGCGGAGACTGGGCTTTTCTTTCCGTTTTTCCCTCGCCAGAGCATCCGAAGATGCGATGGCTGCTTGGTTCATTTGCACTTCTTGCGCTTCGTGGGCTTCCCGAACTTTGGCCTGCAGCTCTTCGATTCGATCGTCGATCTGCTTCACTTCCTCCGCCAGTTTGGCCTCCGCTTCCGTCAGACTTTCGTAGTCTCGCTGCAAACTCGCTTTTTCTTCCTCCCATTGCGATACGTGAGTTTTCTCCTCCTGTTGTTGCTGTTGCTGTTGTTGTTGTTGTTGTTGTTGCTGTTGTTGTTGTTGCTTTCCTTCCCGCTTGATCGCTTTCAATAACACTTCGGCTCGCTTCATCAATTCCTGCTCGGTGCGAGAGCGCAAATAAAAATCAAATTGGAGTCGCGGATCTTCGTTCACAGCGCGGCGAATGCGAGACCACTGATCCCATCCATACAAGGCAACCTATCCATCGATTCGGCCCTTCGTTTCTACGCAAATCACCAAAAACGAATCCGCTTCGCGGGAGAAATTTCCCTGCCGGTTTCGACTGAACTCCATTTCCCACGGATTCGCACTATTCAAAACCCGTTCAATCGCCGCATCGCGATAGCACCGAATCTCTTCACGGCGCGAAGCACTCCGCTCCACTCTCTCCGCCAGCTTTTCAAATCCGGGGATTTCGTTCCTGCGCTTTACGTCCACGCTTCGCATTTACGGGCCTCGTTTCCAAAACACCTCCGCATACTGCGCCACTTCCTCCGCCGTTTTCGTACCGATCGCTTCCGCGATTTGGTCGTACGCCTTTGGGCCGAAATCCATCGCAGCCTGCACGTAGGCCAGCATATCCGCCTTCCTCCAATTATCGAATCCTTCGCTTAGCAGCCGCGAAAGCTCCGCCTCCTCCTCCTCCGAAAGCCATTTCTTCGCCGTGTGGTCATACGACGGATCTTCGAAATTCTTCTGCGCAATCGCCGCGAGCTCCTCGATCCTCTGCTTCGCATAAAACTACTCTCCAGACGCGCCAGAATCGCTACTTGGTGGGGAAACATGGAAGGAAGCTTCACGATCGCTCGGACTTTCTGCGATTTGGCGCTCTCTTCGTGCGCGGCGTTCGGATCTTCGTAAATGACACCGCGACGCGTTCGACGCGAACTCGAGACCAATGTCACTTCATTCAGGATCAGCTGCTTCAGTTCTTTTCGCTTTTCCGTGTAATCCACGCCTTCGTAGACGGAAATCGACGAGTGATCGATCTTGAAGTTCAGCAATCTATCCACAATCGAATGGCGCGCAAATCGCTACTGCTCGTCGGACGGAAGCGCCTTTTCGACGCGGTGCGCCAATTCCTCGGTTCGCTGATGACCCGATTCCAAAATGCGATCGATGTCTTCGTCCTGAATCCCGTTTGCAGTCGACAAGAACACTTCGTTGGCTCCATGTCTACGGATCACACGCGCAGCGAAAGCACAAACCGAATCATCTCCATCATCTCCTCTTTGGAAAGCGACGATTTCTCGCGCAAACGTCCCTAATTCGTAAAACTTCATCCCGTTATCGCCTACCTGCTGAATCACCAATGTGTCCAGTCGCAGTTTCAATTTGGCTCGCTCCACAATCATTTCCTCGACTGTCCCTTCCGTGACGAGCCGGTACACATTCACCGTCTTCTTCTGTCCAATGCGATGAGCGCGATCTTCAGCCTGTAAGTCCATCTACGATTCGAGCCGTCCTTCGCCTGCTCTACCTGTGGGTTCCAGTCGCTGTCGTAGAGAATCACCGTGTCCGCAGTCGCCAAGTTGATTCCCAGACCGCCCGCCCGCGTAGAAAGAAGAAACACAAACTTCGTGCTGTTCTCCGCATTGAAGCTGTTGATCTCTTCTTCGCGATCCACAGACTCCGTGCTTCCATCAATGCGGCAGTACTCGAAGCCTCGAATATTGCAATAATCCTACCAATCAGAATCGATTCACCTCGCAGAAACCTCCAAAATGTCCAGAACCCGACGCATCTGACTGAACAAGAGAACGCGCGATCCCTTTTCCTTCAATCGCTTCAGCAGTTTGTCCAGTAACACCATTTTTCCGCAATTCTAGACTCAGATTCCGCAGCTTTCTCTACCGTGATCACGTGTTCTCCCATCGGATCCAGCGAACGATCCTCCACCCCCTCGAATAAATACGGATGACCGGCGACTTTGCGTAGTTGCATCAAAAGATTCAGGAGATGCGATCGCTCTGCGCGCGAATTCACGATCTGAGATAGAACCGCATCATCCATCGACTCACACTTTCATAATCATTCACCAGCACCTTCTTATACAACTCCTTCTGCATTGAAGACATGCCGACATACAGAATCGTCTCGATTTTGGGCTGGAATCATCATCAACAACACAAAAACATCTACAGGCAAAGAATGCTCCACGTCGGACTTCAGGCGACGCAGCATGAACGGCTCCAACACCTGATGAAGCTGCTGAATCATCTGTTCTTTCTGTTGGAGAGAAGCGTCTTCCTCCAAATTGAACATATCGTGGAACACGCTTTGCGAGCCGAAGATTTCGGGCATTAAAAAGTTCAGCAATGCCCACAGTTCGTGCAGATTATTCTACTCATAAACGAGCGATCGTCGCGTCCTACTTGGAGCGGAGTGCCCGTCAGTAAAAGCCGGTTTTTCACCGAAAATCGGCGCAGAACCAAACTCAGCTTGCTGTTCTCGTTCTTCAGCCGATGAGCCTCGTCGATTACCAAATAGTTCCAGTCCACAGATTGGAACAGGCCTTTCTCTATCACACACATTTCGTACGTAGTGATCAGCACGTCCCAGCTTCGGTCTTTCTCGCGAACCATCGGCTTCAAGTCGATTCGCTCTTCTTTTGTGCCATGAAAACGCAAGACGCGGAGCGACGGACAGAACTTTTGGATCTCATTCACCCAGTTGCCAAGCGTCGATTTCGGAACCAAAATCAAGTGAGGACCGCTATAATCGATTCACTCTATCCACAGACAACCTGATCGACAGATATTGCTTCAAAAAGCCCAAGAGAGAGATCGTCTCCAACGTTTTCCCCAAACCTAGCAATCAATCAGAATCGTCCTGTTGAATACCCATTTCATCTGCTAAGATACTATTTAATCCCAGTTGGTGTTGGTGCAGCAGCCAATTCAAAGCATCGATCTGGTAGCTGCGCATTGTTCCTTGAATGCACGAGGGCTGGGTCTGTAGATGAATGATATCTTCATCTCTGGGAGAGAGAGACTCGTCCTCGTCTTCATTCTTATCACCCGTTTTATCAATGCTCAGCCGACGTCTTCAAGTCATTTGGAACTCGGAACAACTACCTCCCACGCGTTGCAGCAGTTTGTTTTTTGCTTGACTCGATAAAACCGCCAAATACAGGGCTTTGCTTTACTAGGAAATCGAGCAAACGCTTTTGCTTTTCTTGTCGAGAACGAGTTGAAGTTACAGATGCCCACTCTATAAACTATCCCAAGTATTCCCTACGTCGCTGTCTGCATCGTCTGCGTTTTCAGCTGCTAACGACTACATTTCATCTATCACTCCAAGCGTGTACCTTTGAATATTCGGATGTTCGATCGCTCTGCATTTCGTCTTCCGCTTCAGCTTCTTCGTGGACGCTTCTTTGGTCTTCATGAGACTATTCGTCAAACTAATCACGATTTTAGATACAGATGTAGTTTGTTGTTCTTCTATTTCCATCGGTTCACTCTACAATCATTACTTTGAAAATGCAAGCCAACTCTACAAAATTAGCATGGATTCCTACTTCCTACCCTTTTTCTGAACGAGCCATCCTGTTTCGAAAAAAACTACAAATTGGTGGGGTCGAAACTATGTCTCTATTACCATATTCTGTCCACTCTGCTATAAGCATTGAGTCACAGAACGACAATTCTAAAACAAACAAGCAATATTGCCAACATCCTTTGACGAATCGCTCCTTTAAGACGTTAAGAACGATCCTATCCATTAATTCAATTGCACAAACCTACTCCCTTGAACTGAGGACGCACGTACTCACGGATGCGTCTGTCCTCAACCTTACGGGCACGGACAATACGACCGTGGACAGCGCACGACACGCAGTACTGCTGCTTGATGTACAGCTTGGGGAGAGTGTACTCTACGCAATTAGCTCACCCTTCACCAAATTCTACGTTCATAGACAGAAGCATCACGAATATCTCTCTGGGACGAGGCATCGACAATGTTTCTCACCTGGAAACGCTTCACGGCCTTATCCTAAACCCATCACGCAAAAACAACAACAACTCACCTTTCCCACACAACGGCCACAGTGAGTGCAACGGACAGGCTTCACATGACCTCTACCCTTCTTCGAACGACCGTGATTTCTAGAAAGCCATTAGACCCAATTTCCAACAACTCGAGCATTGCTTTCACTTTTTCGACTAGAACAAATACTTACCTACGCTTAAATGGCATGACTAAATGAATGCGGCAAACACTACTGATGAAAACGACTCAAAGAGATTGGATGGACCCAAATTCCTTTTTGGGACAGCATCGAATCTATATTCCCTTTTCGCTATTTATATCTACTATGATTTTGCATTAATGGGTCCTATTCGATTTCAAATTATAATTCCTTCCTTGTTGTGGATAGGAAATGAAAATGTTTTGCGAACAATCGAAACAACTATAAACTTCGTTTTAGAAACAAAAGAGAGGAGAATTGAAAAAACTAAACTGAGGAACAGATTACACACTATCACATTCTCTTCGGTATTCTTGTTTGCACAGACGCCATCGTCTACCCTCACAATCCATCCACATTCCAACCTTTCTCGGAGACAGGATCTCCTCTTCTTTCAGCTCATCCATATATCGCTTTCCGTTCATAACGATCTCCCCATACTGCGCCTCATAGCTGCTAATCGCCTGCATGCATTCTTTGTTCACGAACGGTAGTCTCGCCAGCTCCTTGCTCATCTGGATTTCTTTCTGTAAACTACGCTTGAAAATCGCTCCAGTACGCACTATTTATTGCTATATCGCCGATCGGAGTATCGATTCGGGTTGCTGCGCAGCGCCTCCAGCTCCAGTCGAGTGCTCAGCAGTTTCTCCCGCTTGTTAATCTTCTCCACCACGGGGTCCAGCGTGCTCTTCGCCTCGCGCAGTCGCTCGTACAGCTGCTTGTGCTGCTCGAACAGCTCCATCGTGAAGTTCTCTGCCGTCAGTCGGAACGATCAGAAATACCGGGCGAGGCCTGCAAAACCGACAAATCCCAGCTCTGCAGGACGTTGCTGTACGCGCAGATGTAATCGATTACGCCTAACATCGACTCTCTTCACAGCACAAACCCTGGATTTCCTCACGAATCGCGGGGATCAGCTGCGTCAGTCGCTGCTTCACTTGCTCCTGCAGTTGGTGGAGATAGTTTTCGTGCTATTTCTTAACAATGGGTGACTCGCGTACCAGAGAAATCGTCTCGTTCGACAAGTTGATCTGGCATTTGGCCGAAAAGGAATCCACTTCTTCCGCAGATGTGTTGAGAAGACGCCAAAGCTCCGTAATTTGACAGTAAAAACGGTCGATGACCTCTCTCCGCTGGGCCTTGCGTTCAGAAAGCCCTGCAAACGTACTTCGAGAGTGCGCAGCTCTTCGAGTCGTTGATTGATGTGGTCCAACATCGCAGTGGTCACTGGAATGGGCTAGGTGTCATGGACGGACGGAAGAGCTACGCAGTTCGAAAGAATGAGATTGTCCACGTCATTTGATTGGTTTTCTAAAGTTATGCCGAGAAGAGAATAGTAGTTGTGTAACACATCGACTAATTGGTTCTTCATTCGGACCCTGCTTTCCTAACAATAAATTCACTCCCTATAGGCCATGCTTTTAAAGTATATAGTTCGTTGTATCGATCACGTAAAAATGACATCTTCGTCTCTGTTAGGAAATCATCTGGATTTGAAAAACAATCTTCCACCTCTTCTCCCAAATCCTGATAAAGCCCTTTGAGCTTTTCTAGTAATCCTAAGCTCTCCACTTTCCTTTCTCCATATTTCTAGTTAAAATCATAAAGAACAGATCTACAGTTGCCAGTTGCTCATGCCACAACTTCATTTGTGATTCCTTTACTCGTAGCGGATATGTGCGTTCCGAAGGGTCATTGGTCCACGGCTGTTACATTAAATATACGATCCATACCAACATATTTGACTCGTACTCCAAGTTTGGTAGATAGTCCACTGATTGCGTCCTCCTCATCCTTAATGCTCTTTAGCAGTTGGATACGTTTCTAATTTCAAACCAAATTTAAAAATATCACCTGATCCTCAGCGGCATATACACGATCTAGATACTGACAGATATGATTTTTACAGCTTGCTGCAATCGTGGTTTTTCGTTCTTCGCGTTTTCCATCATTAACGCAGCCAATCACATCCCAAAGCTCACAAAGCTTGTTAAATGTTTCGTCGATGGAATCCCGAATCTGATTTAACTCCTCTTCGTAGCCGTACTCCATCGACAAATCAAGTTTGAATATGAATTTATTTTCAAATTTGTTTTATCACAATATGGTGATTAAGATTTTTATATCATGAGTGGATACTATGCCATTTTCAACTCTTTTTAAACAAACACATCGCCGTTGTTTCTCAAGTTCTTTGCTTCGTGTTGTAGTGTGATTCTGTGAGATATCACCCAAAACTAGGATGCTTGAATTCACTTCTACGTTTCCACTTCATCATTTTGCCTCGAAATCTCACTTGCTATTTCTATTCATTTTGATCTAATTGTGTCAACCATGAGTAGCGTTCTTTCGATATACAATGACGGTGTGATTCCTTGTTTTTCGCGATTTTGTAGATTGGAACGATGTTTTTATGCACATTTCTCCGTATTCGCTCTCGTTTATTGGAATTGCGTGCGGTTTAGCTCTGTCGGTGATTGGAGCTGCTTGGTAGTGTTTTCTTCCTGTTCGTTACTTTCAGGGGTATTTGGACCGCTGCTTCCACTCTTATGGGAGGCTGTGTTAAGGCGCCTAGAATCCGATCGAAGAATTTAATTAGGTAGCGGTTTTAACGAGTTTTGAGAATAGTATTATTTTCTGCGAAGCAAACGCTATTTATGGGATCATCATTGCTGTTATCCTTATCAACAAAGTGTCTGCCAGTGGTTACGTCGATGGGAACTTGCGTCCTGATTATGACATTGCCTCAATGTATTTTGCTGGCTATGCGATCTTCAGCGCAGGTCTTAGTGTGGGTTTGTCGAATATTACAAGCGGGTAGGTCTTTTTGTTATTCAGTGTTATTCAGCTTGTCCGTTGGTATTTGTGGGTCTAGTTGCGCGCTGAGTGATGCCCAGAACGGAGAGCTCTTTGCGAAGATGCTTATTGCGCAGATTTTTGCATCGGCTCTTGGAATTTACGGCATTATCATTGGAATTATCGTCAGTAACTTTGGTCAGTTCCCGAATTAAGACATCATTTTGTTTCTTTTTGTCTTGTTTCCTTGTCACAAACATTGCAAAGTACAAGTAATTAGAGTCAGATTGCTCCCTTGGTTTCGTTGTTATTTGATGGTTTCATTCATTCATGTATTCATGTATTCATGTATTCAATTATCTATCTATCTATTTATTTATTTGGTTGCTGCTTCAATCGGTTTTGAGGGAGTGACGCCGATTGCAGTTCTGCTGAAATCAAAGCATCGCGTGTGCCTATGAATCAGCAATGGACGCCGAAGGCTCTACGAATAAGCTCATCTGTGATATAGTTTTGGGCACGCATGATGATAGAAAGACACTCGCTTTCATTGAATGCTTCCCAATAGATCGACTCGGAAGGCAGAGGAGGGATTTTCATGGGCGTCATCAGCCTTTCGTTAAGAAACAGCAATGCTGTTGACAGGATATAATTGGTACATGTACTCTGTAGGATCGCTAAACACAAACTCGTCATAAATCTCGTTGACAACAGGCTGTGGATCAGTTAGAAAGCAAGATACGTACCACGTTCTCCTTGCTAGGCTCTCCATTCACGGGATGAAGGAGGAGAGAGTGTCCAAAAGTCACTGGAGACTCTGCGTCGTTTTTGAATTCCACCTTGATGCCAATTTCAAATTCTCCCCAACCTTGCTCTCGAACTTCAAAAGGAAAATGATCAATGACTACTGTTGATCTCTTTCCAAGTCCAAACCTCTTTGATTTTGACGGAAGCTTGGATGGAGAGTAAACGTTACGCTCTTAATGAAAGTAGATAGATCTTCACCGTTTACGCCACGGATATAGGCTATGCATTAAAAATTGTCATATTATCAAACCTTTCCAGTCGTACATATTGCTCTGATATCCATTGTTACCAAGCCACCAAGAGATGGAACCATGGACAAAGGGAACAACTACCTAGTGGAAAACCCATTCCTATGAGTGTTACATTCGTTCCTTCCTTTCGTTGCATCGAGATGGGATAGAGTGTGATGCTGATTCTTAAAAGGGTCGAAATAGAAAGTCAATGGATGTTTTGGAGTAATGGTGCTATGTAATTTACACTATAACGCAAAGATTTGTGTCGAAGAATTGTGAGAAAGTTTTGAATAGAGTGCGATGGATCATACCTACCGAATTGGATCAAAGGGTTGTTCGATTATGTAAAGTACTACTCGTTCCTGCTTCTACTTCACACCAACGTTCATTCCACACCCCTACTATCTCAAACAAACAATCCGCCTATAAATTCGAATCAACATAGCGATAAAAGCAGAGATACACCGACTGCGCTTCGCTTCCTCCCTTCAACTGCCGAATCGTCTGCCTGGTGACCGCACTCACCTTGTCATCGTCGCACTTGAACCACTTCCCCTTGTTCTTCACCCACCCAATGTAATGTCCGCCTTTCACCGAGTCTCCCTGCCTCTCACGCCTCTCCTCCGCTCCTACCATGTGCGAAACGATCCCGGACAGCTCGTAGAACCCCGCGAATCCCACCGGCATTTCGGAGCTCGTTGGCACCGCGCTGTCTTCCAGCAGCGATTGCAGGATTCCGTTCTTCAAGTCCGGACTGTCCCCATAGTCCTTCACGCAGTCCTGGTACTGCTCGCTCTCCAGCGTGTCGCGCACCATCTACCCATTGTCCGTCTCCTTCAACGCTACGTTCATCGCCAGCCTCACTTCCGGCGTGCAGAACTCGCTGATGTCCAGTCGGAACGGGAACTCCACCGCTCGCATGATCTTGCACGCGATGCCGCCCTCGTGCGTCTCGGGCAGCTGCTTCCAGTAGAACCGCATGAACTACGCCATCAGCCCAGCAGAGAACCGCCACCATCACGCACAGATACTTCGGCAGACTGCTGATCTCCATCGTTTTCTTCCACAGCGCCGTGCGGCCCAGCACGTCCGAGTGCTTCTCCACCTCGCCCTCCAGACCCAGTTTCAATCCCTGCGCATCAGCTCCGCTCGCTTTCCCCACCTGCGCCAGAAAGTTCACCTTCACTTCCTCGTTCGCGCCGCCTCGGATGTTGCAGAACAGCTTTTCCGCGTGCTCGTCCGTCACGTAGGACTCGCCCGACTCGGGGCACAAATATCTACACGTCGCGCAAATCGTGGGATCCCACGTGCAGCGAAAGCCAATCTGGAACAGATCGTCCACCAGGTTGGAGGTTCCAGTGGATGTGTGCGTAGGAAGAGTCGCCGAAATCGCGTTCAGCACGTAGGTACAGAACTCTTCCGCGTCTTGCTGCTGGTACAAACCGCGTTCGCGATGTCCGAACACTTCGCTGCGACGAATTTCCTGCGATGAATCGCTCCCAAAACGGATACGTTGATGAAGGCGAACGGACGAACTGCCTCCGTCGATTTGTCAAGATCACTGAAGGTGTCGCGCAGCTTCTGCACAAGAGCGCCAGGAGTCCCGCCAGGATTGTTGTTGAGACTGTAAGACATCACGCCCTCCTTCAATTCGGGGATATTGTGGAGAACCTGGACTACAGAGTTGGCGTAACAAGTGTTCATTAAATTTGTCAGACCTGCGGGGGCAAGATAACCCTTCGATCTGGCCTCACTCTCAGAAAGATTTTCCACAAATCCTCCACCTAGCTGGAAGGACGCACACCAACGCCTACTTGATATTTCAGCAACTGATATGTTCGAAGAAGCAATTAGAACGAACGAGCAGTAGGCGGGAATAGAAACTGCATTAAACTGGAACGAGTCGTCCAAAAACCCCTTCCATAAGGCGTTACAAACGATATTCTGTTTCTTCACAGGAACGCCTTAGGATAACCTAGCCAGACAAGCTTTCCTTACTCGTTAACTCTTCAATACGCTTTTTAAACTCCAATCCCGTCTCATCCGCAACATCAATATCATAGAGATTTTTACCCCATCTCAATACACACTACAATGAACTAACAGAATTACAGCAATTACAGCTCGATTTGAACTCATTTGAATGTGTGAAGAAAGAATATGAAAAGTCCGCTCCTAACAGTATTGAGACATTGACATGTCCAACTTCTCTAACAAGCAATAGTTTCTCCCCTAAAGCGTAAATGTGCTGTTTGACGAAAGAATAGGAAAGAGATCATCACCACAGCTAGAAGATAATGTTATGGATTCGATTATCTTTTTTGACTGTTGTAATTTCGCATTGGATCAATTCCGCGGGAATCTAGAGTTTCCCATTTTATCGCAACCAACCTCAAGAGTTAATAATGGCTGGAGGTAAGGATTCGCTTTTTGGACACACTATATTTATAGATAAAAAGAGCAAGGAAAAGAGCACAGTCGCAGAGAACGAGTTTGTGATCAAGTCGGAGTCTAAAAGCCCTGAATTGGATACTTCCCAGTGGCCACTGCTGCTTAAGAACTATGACAAGCTGAACGTTCGTTCGTACCACTACACTCCTATTCCTGTGGGAAATTCTCCACTCAATCGTCCCTTGAAGGACTACATATCGTATTGGAGGTGATTTTGGATGAGTATTAGCTATGGTTGCATTAACCTCGACAAGCCCGCCAACCCTTCCTCTCACGAGGTAGTGGCTTGGGTGAAGCGCATATTGCGCTGCGAGAGAACGGGTCATAGCGGTACTTTGGATCCGAAGGTTACGGGTTGTTTGATCATTTGCATTGATCGTGCTACCCGTCTTGCGAAGAGCCAGCAAGGCGCCGGTAAGGAGTACGTGTCGATTGTGCGTCTCCACAACGCGATCGACAACGAAATGCAGTTAAAGCAAGCTCTGGAGAAGCTGACGGGCGCTCTGTTCCAGCGTCCGCCTCTGATCGCTGCGGTGAAGCGGCAACTGCGTATCCGCACGATCTACGAGAGCAAGCTGATCGAGTACGATCCCAAGGAGCAGCTGGGAGCGTTCTGGGTGAGCTGCCAGGCGGGCACGTACATCCGAACGCTCTGCGTGCACCTGGGTCTTCTGCTGGGCGTCGGCGGGCACATGCAGGAGCTGCGCCGCGTGCGATCGGGGAACATAACGGAGAACGACGGGATCGTGACGATGCACGACGTCCTGGACGCGCAGTGGGTCTACGACACGCGCCGCGTGGGAGTTCGGTTTGGCGCTGACGCGTAGGACGAGAGCTATCTGCGCCGCGTGGTGCGTCCGCTGGAGATTCTGCTGCTGAAGCACAAGAAGGTGGTGGTGAAGGACTCGGCGGTGAACGCGATCTGCTACGGCGCGAAGCTGATGATCCCCGGACTGCTGCGCTTCTCGGACGGCATCGAGATCGGGGACGAAGTGGTGCTGATGACGACCAAGGGAGAGGCCATCGCGATCGGCGTGGCGCAGGTGGGCGCGGGCGAGGACGCTGAGGGATAGATGACCACGGCGGTGATGGCGTCGTGCGATCATGGCATTGTGTGCAAGCTGAAGCGAGTGATCATGGAGAGAGACACGTATCCGAGACGGTGGGGATTGGGACCGGTCGCGCAGAAGAAGAAGCAGATGATCGCGAGCGGACTGCTGGATAAGGTAGGGAGAGGGGAAGGAGCGTGAGCGGCAGAACGGAAAGCCGAACGAGAAAACGCCTGCGGAGTGGTACAAGGTGCAGCCGAAGGTGGAGGAAGAGAAGAAGGAGGAGGAAGAGAAGAAGGAAGAAAAGAAGGAGAAGAAAGAGAAGAAGGACAAGAGGGACAAGAAGGAGAAGAAGGAGGAGAAGGAGGATAAGAAAGAGAAGAAAGAAAAGAAGGATAAGAAAGAGAAGAAGGACAAGAAGGACAAGAAAGAAAAGAAGGAAAAGGAATAGAGTACTTTTGTAGTTTATGCTTTTTGTTTGACTCAGCTTTGGATTTCTACCGCCACTACTAGGAAGAAGAAAGAGGGAAGTGACTATGCAGTCGGATATTGGGGTTGTACTTACTCCGCCTGATCAAGTATTGGATTGAGTTCATACTGATTTCCAGGCACTTCTTTTACCAGATCATACAAACAAACCAGTTCATATTGAAAAAGAGAGCACCTGGAAGGAAGTCGACAACCCGAAGATGAATTTGTTTTGTTCTATTTGCGGAAAGAGTTTTTCACAAAAATCAAATCTTACACGCCATTTAAAACAACATGCAGGCATAAAGCCTTATGTTTGCTCTTTCAATTGTGGAAAATCATTTAGCACTGCATCGTATTTCAATGGTTATATATTTTCATCAAATTTAGGAACTGCAAGAGACACGAATTGCAACATACAAATGAATTTCCATTTGTTTGTCCGTATGAAGGATGTGAACGTCGCTTTAAATCCCGATCTGCGCTTAACTACCACACAAAGACACATTCCGGACAAAAGGAGTATGTGTGTACCTTCGGGGATTGTAAAATGAAGTGGGTAGATATTCTATGTTTTTTATTTCTTCTAGATTTCTGAGCCGTTCAAATCTAAAGAAACACATGCTGTCTCACTCGCAGCAAGCTGATTTTCACTGTCCATTTTGTGAACGAAAGTACAAGCGGAAATGGGATTTGTCTCGGCACATAAAGAAGGCACATCAATCGCGAGGCGAAGAGGGAAATAGGTATGAATTGCTTTGTTTGGGTTCGATGCAGTGATCGATTTGCGAGCATTTTGGAGCAGAATCTCCAGCAAGCCGAGATGATCAACTTTTTACTTGAGCGAAACAAGCAGTTGCAGGAGCAGTTGGATGGAAATGTAGTTCGGATTTAATTGTATCATGATTTGTTTGTTTCCTTAGGTATTTTAATATTCTTTTGTGAAGATAACCAATCCATTTCCAGCTTATTCCATTTAATTCCTTTTTGTTTCTTTAGAGTCAAGTGTGGAATCTAGCATGTTTACGAATGAACATTGATGTGTATCACTTCACTGCTACCAATATACTATATTTCTTCTCAACAAAGTCATTGTCTGCCGAATCCTCATTGAAAAGGAATATTAGCACATCGACAAAGCCCTTCCTCTTTCACGCTGTTTCTCACTCAAACAATTCATTTCAAAAACTTCATTATCTTCTTCGCAGCATACGTCACGCTGTTCCAAACTCCAAACGACGCCACCCCTCGCACCGCCTGATCCACACTTCCTCGGAACACCGCTCTTCGCACTCCCATTTGGATTCCTCGCGCCACTGCTCCCTTCGCAGCAATCAGATTCTCATTCTTCATCCCCGGATCGAACAAAGCCGTCATGCGTCGCTCATACAAGTCGCGCAAGAGCTCCGTAGACAGCCCCTCCACGTTCACAGTACGCGGACCGAACGCAAGCTGCGCTCGCACCGAGGAATGAAGCGATGAAGGCAGCGAAGCAGCGATCCGAGCCAGGTTCGGAATGGAAACGTCTTGTTCAAACCAGCCATCGCGACCTTGGATCGGATGGATCAGCGGACAAGCAGCGAGAAAAGGCTTGTAGAGTTGGCAGAAATTGTCAAAATTGCCTTCAACGATGTTCTGCACCTTGTGGGGGTTTTCGGCAAAGTAGGTGCGAATGTCTCCGTTGTAACTCAAACGCGTGATGGCCTGTGGGTTAGACGATGGTCAGAAGACGATTACAATGAAGAGCTGGTAGCTCGAAAATTGAAAAGGAAGGAGGGGAAGAACAGCCAGAATGGCGTTTCGTAGATTTTGATTCATTGCATCGATGATAGCTGGACTTCCTCGCAATAAACGCACCTACAGATCATTCGATAACCCAAAGCGGACTGGCTTTTGAAGCCTTCCCGAAACATAGAGAGAATCCCATTCAAGAAGATCGTGCTTCAATTTCTCCATTTCAATAACCCCGTATTTCACTGGCCTTTCATGCCCTTTCGGACCCATAACCTAGGGATCATAAAAAGATCGGAGTGAAACCGTCGTATTGTAGTAAACATGTCCCAGTCCAAAATTCTAAAATCAAAATAACTCTACTTATTCTACTTCTAACTTTGCGATTGTTGAGCTCCCGAGATGACGGAAAAAGGAGTAATGTTCAGGATTGAGCTGCATATTCACTCGATGCCATTCAATGGGATCCCTAACGCCAATGATAACATCAAGCATCGCATTTTTGTGGTCCTTTTCGGAGTACCCGACTTGCTTAAATACTCCCGAACCGTATGTTATCGCAAAATCATATTCTGGAAGTTTGCTTAAATACTGCTCAAACTCCATATTTGGACAGGCTGTTTTTACGGATCGAAAACCTTTCGATTCTTAAAATTGTATATTTTATTATGTATTTTAGTGTCATCAGAGCAATGTACAATATTTTGATAGGATCGCTCATTGTGGTGTTTTGTACAGCATGGAATATAACGGAAACTGCTGATTGGAATCATCATCAGGAACAGTGTCCGAATCCTTGTATGCCTCGTGTATATTTTGTTCACTCTAGTATTTTCCGACTATTTTAGTGCTTTTGTGTGTACAGTTTCTGGTTTTGTCAACTTGACAGAAGATTCTCCTTTAGCTTCTCGTTATCGCGCCCTTTCCTCTTCATCCAATGCTTTCGTGGATGATGTGAATACTTTTCTTCGGGAAATCCATTCTATTGCTGAAACATCACGCAGGTGTTTATTCGAAAGCCATGGATTAACGAATTTTCCAAGGGTCAATCGGACGGTTGGCATTTGCCTTCCTCGAGCGGGTAGCTACCCTCTGAAAGCGATAGAAGACTCACCTAAATCGGTGGAGAACGAGACGCAGGTTGTTTCCTTCCAAACGCCTCTCATAGCTCAACTTTCTTTAGAATTGGTGGAAGTAGATGATACAGACAATCCATTTGAGAGTCTGTATCCCATTCATCCAATTAAAGAGGATATCAAGTCGATTACAGCTCGCATTAATCTAGCTTCAGCGAAAACAGGTATCTTTGTGTTTTTCATGAATTTTTTTATCTTCTAGGAGCGACGTCTATTAGCCAATCCAAAGGAATGAGCGGAGCTGAAGCCGTGCTCACATCGAACAAGTACAAGTACTGTTTAAGCGAATGCAAGAAAGAAAAATGGTTTGTTTTTGGAATTCCCGAAACAGTCACGATTCTTTTTCTACCCTCTCACGTCCAGGTCATGATCGACGCGATCGCCACTGCCAACTACGAGCGTTTCTCTTCGTCCATTCGCGAGTTTGCAGTGTACAGCAGCACGGTGTACCCTACCACGACCTGGACGTTTGTGGGGTATTTCGAAGCGTTGGACAGCAGCGAACTGCAGGTTTTCAACGTGACGACGTCGGTGTGGAGCAAATACGTGAAAGTGGAGTGGCTGAGCTGGTATCGGAACGAAGCGATCTGCACGATGAGCGAATTTCGCGTGTATGGATTGAATATGATGAACGCGATGCTTGTACGAGCGAGAATGGGGTTGAATGAATAGAAAACGGAGTTTGATGTTCAGCAGAATCAAGTGTCTGGATGTAGAATTCGGATTGAGTGGATGTTGTGTAGTGAAGGATATGATTTCGGAGGTAAACGAAGCTGTGCAGGACGTTGCGAAGGGAAACGAAACCAAAGTCGAAACGGATCGAAAGGAGCCAGGCGAACCGAGTTCGTTTTTTTTCGTTTTTTGACTCGTAGAATCGACTTCTCCTTCGTTGACCGTGTCTCCCGAATTCAAACCGCTCTACGACTTGTGTAGGAGGCAATCGAAGCGAGCTTCCCCATAGACCAACGAACCAAAGAGGAGCAGGCCGATCTCATCTACTCCATCGCCATTCTTCACAACCGAACCAAAGAAAAACTCACCAAGATGAAAGCACGCATTGTGGCCATCGAAAAGGAAGTGGGTCGTTCGCTCGATTCGCCATCGTAGATCCAGCACGTGGCCACGCAGTCCCGTTCTCGAGACAACGAGCTCTATCTGCTGCAGTTGCAGTTGCAGGAATTGCAGCAGACGGTTTCCTCGTTGCAGAGAAGCACGCACATTCTCAAGTCCTGGCTGGTGTTCGTGATCCTGGGCGTGAGCGTGCTCTCTCTCTACAAGCGACTTCGCAAAATGTGCAGAGAGGAAGCGGATCGGAAGAGGCAGCGACTGCTCTCGCACCTGCAGAAGCAGGTAGCGGTGCTGCAGGATCAAGTGAACTTTTTGACGGAGCGAACAGCGCATTTGCAGAAGGAATACTCGCCGATCGGACTGTCGCTTTCGAGACAGCAAAGCGAGAGACGATCGAATTCGGGGGAGAAGGAGGGCGGAAAGAAGCGATCGAAGCGAGGACGCGCCACGCTGAGTCGAAGCAAAAGCTGGCTAAACTGATTGTACCATACGTTCTGTTTGGCTCTCAAACAATCCAATCACTCATTTCAATATCCGAACTCTCATCCGACTCGCTGTCGTCCTCAAACAGCAGTTTGCGACGCTTCAGCATATCGAACTCCTCTTCTACCGGCTGCTTTCCCTCACTCACAGCATTCGTCGATCTCTGCGAGAACGCACCGCCCGGTTTCTTCAATTCCTGCTCCGCCTCCTGCGTCCTTATCATCCTCTCTCTATCCTACAACTCCCTTCGGAGCATTTATCGAGCTCGCAGCACTTCCAGACCCCGCAGATCCGATCGAACTGGTCGGATTCTTCTCGACCTTTCGCAGAATCTGGCTTCTCTACGCGCGAGCCCACGTTCTTCGCCTACCGGCGTGTTTCGGATCTCATCCAGCAGGCTCTGGCTCATCGGGTGCGCAGGACGCGGCGGCATTTTGCTCCCGACGGTCGACGAAGGCGCTGCTGGCTGCGATGGCGTCGAAGTGGCCTCAGCAGAGGGCTTCTTCACGCGTCCCTACCATTCAATCGATGCTCTATCTCCACTCCACTCGCTCGAATCTCAGCGAGAAGCGCGCTCATGGAGGGTCGAGGCGGATTGCCCGCAGTCACGGAAGGCTGTGAAGGCTGTGGAGGCTCCGAAGGCTTCGGTGGATTCGGTGGAGATGAAGCAGAAGAAGCAGTTGGAATCGAGGGCACAGGAATCGAAGGAGGCTGCGAAGAGGGTTTAACAGAAGGCTGTGAAGAGGGTAGAGAAGGAGGCTGTGAAGAGGGCAGAGAAGGAGGCTGTGAAGAGGGTAGAACAGGAGGCTGTGAAGAGGGTAGCGAGCTTCGATCACGGAAACTTCCCGTTTTTGAAGTCGATTCAATGGACGAAATCGTGGACTGCGAGCTAAGCGTGCCCGTTGAAGGGATCGCCGACGTGGGAATCGGCGGAGGCCGCACAGCCTTCACCACATCGACGTTTGTGGGGATCGTTGGAGCCGCAGGCTTGCTCGTCTGGCGCACAGTGGTGGAGTGGAGCAAGGACATTCGAAGATCACTTTGCGATGTCAAATCGTCGATCATCAAAGACACACGCGTGTGACGAATCGGTTCCTCATCTTCCGAATCGCTGATGCCATTAGGGGAATGCGCTGACACATCCGCGATGCTGTATTCATTGTCTTTCATATCGTAGAGCTGGTCATTGCTCATTACTTGGCGGCCAATCCGCTGGATAAGCTCGGATGAGTCATAGATGTGCTGCATCGATTTGAACTCGTTATTATCTTCATCGGTCTACACATCCTAAATAGCACGAACAACAAACAACCAAGGCTGCGGGCGGTGCAGTAGAGTACAAGGACTGAATAGAACAAATACCACTCATATCAGCAGTGTTTCCCTGTAACAGTTTGTGAGGAACCTAGCTAACATCAGTCTCACAGACCTACAGCACTTGAAATCGAGCTTTCCTTCTGAACAAGCGACCGGACCTCACCCTCAGAAATGCTTTCAATATCCAGCGGCTCTAGTTGCTCACAAGATGTCTCAGTCATAGGGAAGAGCGGCGCAGAATAAAATATAGTCATGACATCATCCTTTTCCAGCTCTCGTACCGCCGTAGTGACTTTCTGGATCCTCTATACTTAGATTGCCAAACGAGTCAAAACTTCTTGTACTCCTATTATTCGTGATGCCGTGTGGTCAATTTGCTTCTTTATTCGGAGAAATATCTGGTCCGCAGACTGTTCTAACATTGTAAAAGACACAATTATATTTTCAATAGTCTTATCGTCCCATGATGAAGATTTTACTACTAGTCCTAACTCAAAACAGATTGCAATCTACAAGGAATATCATATGGCTCTTGCATTTGTAGCAACGCTGATAAGCAAATCAGAATATTACCAATGCAAGATCAAACAATAATTGTTGAGAAAAACAATATCTATTCAAAACGGAAAAAAGGTCGTTTTTTTGATGAGTAATAGAGTCAAAAACGTTTCAGACACCAGATCAACGTACACATTTCTATTGTTCATGCTTGATACAGAGAACACTAAAGTGAAGAGAATGCTATGTGTTTCCAAAATGTTGCTAGGGCCAGGAAATGCAGCGCAAGAGTATTATTTCACTTCATTTCTTCTCCGATTCTCACTGTAAGAGAAAAACAATAAATCACAAGGGGATTATTTGAATTATTAAATATTTTACTGAATGAGGACGATCATCAAGCCCTTGAATCTCGAGTCGACTTGTATTCCACAATAGTATTGTCCAAAGCAGTTCAATAACTCAAAATGGCCCCTCCTGCCCCTGCCGGTGCTGCTACTATTAGTAAGTAATCGAACTGTACTGTGATGTGTTGAGTGTGCTCTCTTTTGTGAAAGAATTTGCGTTCTAACAATGGCATAGTTTATCTTCGTGCTGTTGGTGGAGAAAGCGCTTCTCCTGCTGCTCTTGCTCCCAAAGTCGGTCCTCTGGGAATGGTATGGACCAAATGAGTTAGTATCTAATTTCTAGGCTCCTAAGAAGGTCGGTGATGATATTCAGAAGGCGACAATGGATTGGAAGGGTTTGAAGATCACTGTAAAGCTGACTGTGGTGAACCGTCAGGCCACTGTATGGACGGTGCAATAGCATTTTTAATTTGTAGGTTGAGGTTGTTCCTAGTGCTTCCTCTCTTATTATTCGTGAGCTGAACGAGCCTCCTCGTGATCGCAAGAAGGAAAAGAACGGTATTTTTCTCCTGTGCTATTTAATTGTAGTGAAGCACAACGGCAACATTACCCTCGATCAGGTTATCAAGGTAGCCAAGGTCCTCCGTGAGCGCTCCTATGCAAATAGATTAGCTGGAACCGTGAAGGAAGTGCTGGGAACATGCTAGTACGGTTTGGGTGTGCGCATGACTGGTTAGCTCTGTGGGTTGCACGGTCAATGGACAGCATCCGTCTGACATTATCGCTGCGATTGACAACGGTGAGATCGAAGTGCCTGAGGAATAAAGTGTGGTTTAATGGTTGGACAATGTTGATGAAGTTGGTTGGAACAAACGAGCCAAGTCATAAAAGATATACTACTTAGTTTATCACACGAATTAGGCAGTAGATGCGGTCTCCGTACTTTACTTTTTCGATATGCTTGAGCTCTCCCTCCAGACTCATCAGCAAGCCACCATACGACACATAGATTAAACTATACATTACGGATATATACCGCGCCTACACTTTACCATCGTCTTTGTACTGATATTTGAAAACTTTTCCGTGCATGCAATAATCATAATCATCCAGCAAAGTGTGCTAAAAAATAAAAACCCAGGATTTTACGAAATACTTCCTTCGAATAGTCCATATAAACGCCAGGGTCCGGTCTGTTGTCCTTATACAACTTCGATGCAAGAACAAGAGAAAATCTGTCAGTTCCCTTCAGAGGATAAATGTCGGTGTTAATATCGATCAGCATGTCCATTCCGTAAGTAACCGAAGTAGCGGCAAACCGAGTCACTGCACTTCAGGGCAAAATGGTAAAAGTACCCTTTTCGAAAGCCTTTCCATCAGGATTCACGCTTCGCACTTCGAAGATTTCCTCAAACAATATAGGACTATCAGACATCGTATTAGTGACAATCGTTCAATCTTTCGTATTGATGCATAAGGAGGTCAATAGAAAGGTTGATTGTAGAGGCCTGCTGGTCTAGTGGTATGATTCTCGCTTAGGGTGCGAGAGGTCACGGGTTCGATTCCCGTGTAGGCCCTTTTTCTTTTTCGAATTGTTCCCTTCTTTTTCCATTTCAAATACATTTATATTTAAAATACATTTGTTGCTATTACTCTAACTACATATCTTTAAAAATCTACATGAAGGAAGAACTTGTAATAAGTAATATTGGATATACTATTGGAATCAGTGTGTTGCTCTTTTTTGTTGTGGGACCTTTAATGTAGGTATTCATTCCTGAACACTGAATGCTATAGATTACAATACTACTCCATTCATAACCGAACTGATCGATTTGATTAGTCTTTGATATTATTCTGTTATCATTGTATGTTTTATTGTAGTATCAAATGGAATTCTTTGTTTCACACACTTTTGTTTAGGTATGAGTGAAGAAGAGTTGTTTTAAGGTTCTATTCTCATCTCTAGAGTTGTTGAGAATAAAGAAACATACGAGAAGATAATTAAACTCCTGCAGGAGAATCATATCGAGTATGAGGAAATTGTTCATCCTCCCTGCAAGACATCGGCCGAGGTACACATTGAATAGGTTGGTATCTGATTTGTAGTCGGCGCAAGTGCGAGGAACGCCGCTCGAATCTGGAGCCAAAGCTATGTTGGTGAGCAACAAGAAAGGAATGTGGCTGCTGGTTATGAGTGCTGCACGCCAGATTAACTGGAAACTCGTGAAATCTGTCGTGGGCAAGGTGGAGCTTGTGGCTCTGGACCAAGTTCCGCAGATTACTGGGTGTATTTCGGGTGCGGTTCCTCCCTTTGGAAGTGTGCTAGGGGAGCATGGAATTCCGACCTATATGGACTCTTCGTTGCAAGAGCAGGGGGAAATCATTTGTTTCAATGCGGTAAGTGCATTGCGTCAAGATGATGTGTAGGGATTACGAACGAACTCAATCAAAATGAAGTGCGAGGACTACCTCAAACTGGAAAAGCCAACCGTTGCAAGCTTCACGAAGTGGATTGTTTGTTAAACAAACCTCAAGATAAAGGTCGCTCTCCAAAACAGCCATTAGGACAATTATGCACTGGTGACGGTCGTCTGGAGTTGGTGGAAGTGAGGAACATTCACAACTTCAACAACGGTATAGAACTACATATCACTCCAACAGAGCGGAACTCACATGCTTGCTTCCATCCTCGCCATCCTGGGAGATACGGCTCATGCGCACTCGAATACGAGCAGGCACGGCATGAATACCCTTGTTCCACACATACTTGTTGACGGTGGGGTCAATTCTGACGTCCTCAGTGCACATAGCAGTCTGAGCGAACTTGCGAATCATAGCCATACAACGAGGAGCTCTTCTCTTGTAGCAACTACAGACAGTTAGGGCGACCACTCACAATGCAAAATAAATTTGTCTCAACCACACACTATCAAGCATTTCGACTTACATCTTGTGGCTAATCTTAGAGAGACGAATAGTGTACTCTCTGGTCACGGGAGTCAATTCCTTCTTTTCAGTGTTCATAGTTTCCTCAATGGTGGAGAGTAATACCGATTTTTGAAAAGGACAAATTAATGAACCCCTGGATGAACAAGGGGAGTATTTTTTGCTTAGTCAATTTGTCTATCCCCACATTTCATTATTGAACTTTTTTTCATTATTTGTAAACAAATTGAATGCGACCAAATATTATTGTGTTATATTACGAAATTTGCTGTGATGGCGTATCGTTTAGGAGCATCTCCAGACATTCTAGATGAATGCGAATCGATTCGTTCTCTCCATATCTTAACATGAGTAATCAATACGAAATGTACAAATCGGACTGCCGTTTCACAATTGCGATATCTTCCTGGATTTGACTCTTGTACTCTCCGGTCTTTTTTAGTTCCTTCAGTAGCGTCTGTGGTTCATCTGGAATGGAATACTCTACTTGTCTTCTGGACAGCGCTGAATAGTCCTTAATATGTGTTGAAAAGAACTCTCGATTTCTCTGAATCTCACTGCGGATCTACATTTTTGTGAGCTAAAAATAGGTACGTTTTCATTACTGTATAAAGGAAGCAGCAGCTGCAAGGTGGTCCACGAATAATAGTTCCGAGGGTACAGATCGCACATCGTGTAGCAGTGCTCCACCTCGGACTGCAATAATTCTGGTGTCACTACAAATTATCCATGCAGACAACTCTGTATGTACGATGTTTATTACGGATTAAACACTTTAATACAAACCTTCTATGATCCCAGAGTTCAGGGACTTTGGGATACTGCTCTACTATTCACCAGAGATAGGAAGCTATCTACTCTGCAATAGATTGATTCGCTTCAACTCACACACAAGCAGTTCCGTGTTGTTACAAATCATATCCTTCCTGCGATTGTAAATCGTGTAATCGCGTGGATTTAAACAGCAAAATACGAAGGAATACAGTAAGAACTGTATGTTTAAAGAGTACTAATGATACGTTGTCATCTCGGGTCTCGCACAGTTGCTTCGCTTGCTTCAAACTAGAAAATCATGCACTCTCCACACTCTCTACAATTTAATGTGTATCTGATTTGAAATTCCAATATGATTATCAACACATAGGAACGGAGAATCGATTCCATAGACAAACTCAAAAGAATTTCTACTTTGTGAGTCGGAGTGCCTTTTGTAATTACAAATTCTCCAAATTATTTGTCATAGACAGAAACGTTTCTACAAGGTTCATTTGGCTTCTGAGAAAAGAATAATGTTTTCGTTGCTGACTCGTTCTTCTTTATGTGCGCTTTCGTTTGGGAAGTGTACGGTGCGTTCAGTCTCAAATGCATTCCTCGGGAATGAGCTGCAGAAAGATCTCAAGCAGTTTTACTTGCTAGTACATCCAGATGTCATGTCCTCATTTCCTGATAAAGTGAAAGAAATGAATAAATCATCTCTCCAAGTAGGTGTTATAGTTTTCTCGCTTAGTAGGTGCTAAACAGCTTTCTGGAGGACATAAAGCCACTGTGTAACGGTATTTCGGGGAGTCCCATTGTGCCCTATATCTTTTTTTGTGATTTTCGTTAATGACTTAACCAAACTGGAGAAAAACCTGTACAAGTTGAAATTCGTCGCGAAATCGAAAGAATTTCCGAATGATGTTAAGAAAGCTCGGAATATAGAGTTCGACATCTTCATTCCTCCCTATCTCATGACGTAGTACATGATTTTTATGGTTGAGTTGTAGTGGATCAATCACGGGGCCGGTGTTTCGAAAGCGATGGATGGAGTTTGTCAGTCGCAATCTGATCAATTTGTTCCAAAAATCGGGGGTATTTATGTTTTGTGTTGGAAACCTAGGTAATCAATGAGCAGCAGAAAAAGCGAATGGAGAAAATACAGGTGTACAAATTGTGGGATGGTCGAATCGAGTCGCTTCTGACCGTTTTCGTTTTACACACGGATTCAATGTAGGCCAATCGAAAAGTGTTGCAGGAACTGCAGAAAGACGCCATTCTGGAGTACGAAATCGATATTACTTCTTATAATCAGATCGAGCAAGCATCCGATCGGCAGCATGACAAGCACAGAGGAGGATCGAAATCAGTATCTTGCTGCGAAGTATAAAGAGAGGATCGAGGCGATGCTCGATCGGCAGCAAGTAATTCTGCATGTGTTGGTTGGCTTAATGAACAGATTGTTCCAAGTGGACTGTCTGAGAATGAAAAGGTGTTCGGAATGGATCGTTTGATTGTGTGTTTTTTGTTGGAGTTGGTAAGTTGTAGAGCACGATGCTGATGAATTCCACAGAGTATGAACTCGAATCGCCTCTTTGGCAGTATGTTACGATCCACCTACACAAAGGAGACTATCAGGGGATTAGGGAACCAGGAGCTGATCGTCGTTATCACATTTACGTTCCTTACATGTTTGAAGAAGATCAGCTACCAGGCTTTCTTCATTCCTGCATAAAGCAATTACAATTGATCCAGAGCACAAAGCGACCCACAAAATTGATTCAATAGATGACATTCGGTTTTGTTTGTTCCAATGACAATAAAAGGGGAGATTTTGTGTTTACCGTTCTTTCTTCATATATTATTATAGCGTTCTGTAAACTATGGAATTAGAGCCAGCTCTGCTTGAGGAATACCCAGCGCGTAAGATCGCTGCTATGGGGTAAGCTTTTAGAAAAAGCCTGTTTTGATTTCTTGATTCACGTAATCGAGGGCCAGGATTTTGCTCTTTCCGATAACTCAGAGTCCACCTCGTTTTCTTGCAAGATTGCTGTTGGCAATGCTGAAGTGGAAACTGGAGTTGCGATAGCTTCGGAAAGTGGCGCTGGTAATGCTTGCTAGTCGTTATTTATTCTAGTATGGGACGAGTCGTTTTGCTTAGTTTCTTCTCAGTCGGACATTACTATTCAAGTGTAAGGGATCCATGATTTCTGTGAATATAGCTATGTTTGGAATGGAACAGAGTCGTCACTTTTGGGCCAAACGGTATTGGCGTTTGATTCGTTAACTCAGTCTATTCCGGAGGATTCCTGGTTCAGTGTCAACGATCTATCCGGGGAGCACGGCTTCACGATCGTGGGCCAGCTCCATCTGTGTGTGACCGTGAGTCCATCCTGCCAAGCCGACCACACCGAAGGCTTTGTGTATGGCGATGGCCGTCCTCCCTCCATTTCCGCCCCTCCTCCCCCGCTCCCGACGGCTCCCAAGCCCGCTCCGGAGCTCCCTGCAGCGCCCAAGCCGCATTTCGTCGAGTCTCCGTCTGTCGAGCAGCCGCAGCCCGCCGAGGCGCCGCAGCCCGCGCGGCACGTCTTCCCCGCCACGCTGCCCACCTATCCCTGGGACCACAAGCCCAAGCCCAAGCCCGAGCCTCCTGCGAAGCCTGCGAAGCCTGTGAAGCCCGCCAAGCCGCTGCCGCCCAGGCCGGAGCGCCCCGCCAAGCCTGCCAAACCGGAGAAACCGGAGAAACCGGAGAAACCGGAAAGGCCAGAGAGACCAGAGAAGCCAGAGAGACCAGAGAAACCGGAGAAACCGGAGAAACCGGAGAAACCTCTGCCTGCGCTGCCCGCCAAGCCCGCCAAACCGGCCAAGCCGCTGCCCGCGCTGCCGCCGAAGTGTACCAAGCCGCTCCCTTCTCTGCCTCCCACCCATGCCGCGCAGCCCGCACCCAACGCACCTGCTGTCGCTCCCGAGGCTCCCGAGGCTCCCGCTCCCACGGTTTGCGTTGTAGTGGAAGAGAACCCCGTGGAGATTCCGCCCGTGGCTGCTGAGGAAAGCCCCGTCGAGGAAGCTCCCGTACCTCCTGCTGCTCCTGCTGCTTCAGCGGAAGAGAACTCTGTGGAGGAAGCTCCTGCCGCTGCTGAGGCGAATCTCAGCGTGGAGAGGACGACGGAAGAAGAGCCAACGCACGCGGAGGATCTTGCGAATCTCTCAAACGGGGTTCAAGCCGAAGAGAACGAGCCCCCAACCGCTGCGTTGCTCGCCCCTCCCGTCTCAGAATAATCCGACCAGGCTGTTTTTCTCGAAGACCTTCCAAGATCGCTTGTTTTCTAGGATCTTCTCTCTGTTTGTGCAACAAACACCCCAAAAGACGATCAAATCGCACTTATTAAAACCGTCACATGAACCTGGCTCGATCTGAGCCCCGTGAGTAGAGCTTCCATGTTCAGCGCCATCTCGTTAGTTCAACACCAGCCCCCTAAGGTTTACGGACTGGCGCATCATGTCAACAAGCATGTCGCTTCCCACAGTCGCAATCCGCGCTCGGCCCCAGCGTGGACCTCGAGAACACACCATGCAGGGCATGACTGCACAGTGCGCCCTCCTTACTCACTAGCGACCGAACCCGATTCATGCAGACCCTCCCCTCTACTTGCTGCTGTTGTCGCTGTTCTTGCCACGGTACTCGCGCCACTGCTGCTTAATCGCTCCGCATTTGTCCATGATATTCGCGTTCCACAACGCAGCCACGATCAGAATCGTGAAGCCCACGTAGGTCATCAGAATGGTCATGAACCAGCCCAAAGGCGACAGGCAGTGGAAGTTCTCAATGTGGCAAGTCTGACGGTATTCGCTAGAGCCAGGAGCCTCCCACCACTCCAAGTCCTGCAGGACGTGGCGGAAAGGATCGGCGCAGACTAGCAAAGAGGCGATCACGATCAATACGAAAGGACCCCACTTCTTCCACTTATCGGCAATGTTCTGTTTTCTACGATGCTCGTAGATGTACCAACTCAATCCTAACATCATCACAAAAGTCATGCCAAAAGAAATGTAGTGGCCTGTTGCACGAGCCGAGGCGGATACGGTTCCGCCGATCAGCACCACAACCAAGGCCGGCCAACATCAAGCACCAAGCAGGGCAGGAATACTGATAATCATACTCAGAACAGACACGATCAAAGAGTTTCTCTCACTCTTCGCGATCGACGGTCTCTAGTCATAAGCTACACAGAAATCGGTTCTACCTTCGGAGCAGACGAAGATCAGTTTCCGTTTGCACAGCCACCTGCTGCCGGCGCCGCCGAAGCGGACGCCGCGGGAGAAGCCGGCGTGGACTTCTTCAGCAGGGGAGACTGTACCTGGAACTTGCTCGGTGAAGCAGGCGATGTCGACCTCAATAAAGGAGATTTCACCTGGAAAGGTGACCCCACGTTAACTGAAGCCATTAACCTTTAAGTCCGAAACAAATCTAGAAAAGTCTGAATGATCCACACTTAGTGATGTGACATACTTATTGGATGAACCAGGATAGGCCAATCAGATCGCGCAAATGTACTTGGTTCACCCATTCCTTAATAGTGTCACTAATTACTATTCATAACACAAACAAATCACAACGAAATGAACCTTGACTCGTCAAACATTGTGTGTAAATTTATTTTTTGCCTTTTTTGCATATTCCACAACCAACTTTCTTCCCAGCAAGTACGTACTTGCCAAAGTTTTGATAGCGGTCTTGGCATCGTCACTAGAAACATATTCTATAAGTGTAAACCCTTGTGACGTTCCGTCAAACTTCTTCGGCTGTCGCAGGGACTTGAGCTGTCCGAATGAGCCGAACAATTCTCTCAATTCGTTTCTTGGCGCTTCAAATAGTACATTTCGCACAAGCAGTTTCGTCCTCTTCTCCCCTTCTTCCTCTGCGCGTACTATTAGCTTTCTTTTCTTTGTGGTGACGATTTCTGAGCGTACAAGGAAGCTCAAGTCTAGTACATGACCATTCAACACCTTTTGCTAAGCTGGTTGGGGGCTCGCAGAGTCTGAGCGCGTGTCTCGTACACAGCGAAGCCAAATCTTATTGGCAACAATATTCCTGAGGGTTTTTTCTTTTGAAGTAACGTAGTAAATTTGAGTTCCGGCACCGAATTGAAGAACCTGCGAACCGCCTCTTCCGTCGTCTTCCAGTTGAGATTCTTGACGTAGATCGTCGTGTCGGAATGTTCATTGGCCCAGATTCTTCTGAATAATCTCACTCTGTTGTTGTTATTCTTATTAACGGTAAAATCTAACTCCTCTGTAATTGATATATATATATTTAGTGGTGTAATATTCGTAAATGCGTAAAGATATTCGATAAATCCACCAAAAGAGAGTTGACATATAACTTCATATTTTCTTTTTACCTATAGGAAAGAAAATGTTAATTTTTACACTTATTGGAATTCTCGTCGTAATCGGCTTTGCTCTTTATTTTACCCTTGGCATGATGGCAGTATGTTTGGGCTTTACTGCAGCAGGTATAGCCAAGGGAAGTATTGCGGCTGGTTTTATGAGTTTATCATGGACATCTGGCCTTTTTATGCCAGTCATAGCATTCCTGCAAAGTATAGGGACAGCATTTGGAGCCCTGGCTGCTAGTTGCTGGCTATAATTGAAATTGTCTATACTATATGGCGCTATTCGAATACTATGCGGATTCTATACTATTTGTGAGTAATAGTGTGGTGATAGCAGATGAGTTGTTTTTTGTAAATCACTTTATTTTATTTGTTTTTGTGGAAATATTATATTGTTTGGAAGAAAAGAGAATAGAACTATACATTAGCATCGCTTATTGGATCTATTGTGTATGGAGGAATTCTACTCTTTCCAAATACATACATAGAGTAAACAAAAATAGATAATGCATAATATGCCTCGTTCCTATCATATAATACTGTTCAGTTAATCGATCTAAATTCAGATAGACAAGATTCACTGTTATCGATTGTAGAGTATTACAAGACTTGATCTTAGAAATGATATTGACTAGAGGAAACAAAATCAAGAATACGATGTTCTCAATACAATTAATACTTTAGATTATTGTTCTTGAAGAAATTGAATGAATCAGTCAGCGCTGTGATGGTTAGTTACGTTGTGCATATCCTTTTGGGTCAGCACACTTTGAAAGAAGATAAGAAACATCTAAGAGTCAAGTGAAAATCAAATCGAGACTTGAAATAGATTTGGTTTGAACCTCAAGGAATGAAATCGGTAGACTGACAATTCGCACATACGGAATATCTAAATCAATCAAGCTTAGAGCCGAATGCAACTTTCCAATATTACCGAACGAGTACAACAGAAGCTATATCCAATAACATTGATAATTGAGACCAGATAGGGAAGGTCTACAAGTCGCCCCTCATAACATCAATACTACTTCTCATCTCTAAATTGCATTTTGAATCACCATGTCTGCCAAAGAGTGAATACCAGCCCAGCTCGATTGTCTGGAGTCTAGGAAGATCTATGATGTAAATCATTTGACCATGACAATTTATACCTTTGATTACTGTTGTTAAGGATTGAGAGAAGGCGTACGCACCCAAGGAAATCGATTTTAGATTCGGAAGATCTAGAAAGTCACTCGGTTTTATGTCACAGCGATACCATGAACAACAAAAGAACTCCATAAGAAATTGTTGGAATCTTTATCAATTTGGCCGATTTTGATAGACTGCAATGAATAAAGATTTGCCAACTCAAATTCTCCTCCAAAGTCACTAAAACTGTTTGGACCGATTTCAATGGATTCTAACGATTGACACATCGTGATTCTAAATGATTTGCACTCATTTTTGATCTTTTCCCATTCTTTAAAAGTGTGCGCTGCATTCAAGAAACTTTGCTCTGCTTCAGTAAATGAGTGGCTTCCTATCTTTATACTTTTCAATCGAGTTAGTCCCTCAATTTTGAAGGTTTTCACTGATTGAAAGCAATCGTCTCCGATTTCGATAGACTGCAACCATTTGTATTTGCCAATGTCGAAGAGATCCAGGTCATTGTAGGAATTCGACGCGATTATCATATCTTGCAGGGTCAAACTCAAATTATCAAGTCCTTTCGGTTTGGAAAATTTCCTAAGGGGATTATCATATTGAGGGTTTGAATAAGGCTTTGGAAGCGATGATACAGTAAAAGCATTCGCCGATTTTGGGTCGTACCATCCTTCATACAAGTCTCTTCCACTCACTTCCTTACCATCTCTCCATTCACACTCTCGAGTTGCAATTCCAGTCTTTTCATCAATCAGACATCCTTTCCCTTCACGAATAAATCGTTCATTATCTTCATCATAACGAAATCCACCTGTATAAGTCGGAATTTGTTTCGTTGGATCCAAACTATCTGCTCCGTTTCTTTTCAATTCCGTCATAACATTTCCGTTAAAACATCGAATTACTTCTTTCAATACTCCATTGCTCCAAATACCTTCTAAAACCACGTTTCCACTTTCCTCATCAAATTCGATGCCCCAACCATCTTTCTGATGTTTGTCATCGAACATTCCATGGAATATCACATAATCAGTTGTAACTGATGTGATTTCCAAGCGAAGTCCTCTCTTGTGATTGACAATGCGTGTAAAATCTCGTTTTTCATAAATCTCTTTGAATTGTTGACTGAAATGGGCTCGGCCATTCTTGTAGGCTATAAACGTTTCCGATTTTATTCCCTTTTCCTTCTCCTGCCATTTCTGCTTCAATATATTATTTTCAAACAGGTAAACAGTACCATTTTCGGAGCGTAGTGTAAACTCGTTTTTATGTGCCCCCTGATACCGTTGAAGAGTGTATCGAACACCATGTCGAGTCAATGGTTGGGGATTCCCAAAGGAGAGGTAACCATGGAGCAGATACTCAGCTCCCTTCAATTCAGAAGAGCCGTCTACTATTTAACATCCAAATCAAAGTAAAACGGTCATTAATCATTACGATATAGATAACTTTATAAAGAAATGAGCTTATTCAGTTTACTGATTGTTATTTTTAAACAACACAAAATCGAGGATCCATTTATAGAATCAATATATATATTGCAGAATATAAAATATAATCTTTGAAACACAAAAAAGAGAACCCATTGAGATTGGATAATGGAAGGTATCATTGTGCCTATCATCGTTCATATTGCGAATATGTATAATAGCCACACATTGCTATTATTATTATTCGTACTATTGTCTGTCAGAAATAGCTATTTTGTTTGTGTTTTGTATATAATCTATTTTTCTGATTCTAGTACACTCAACAGACTATATTGTCACGTATTTGTGAGATTTGAGGCTATCTACCACCATTATCAAGGAATTGCACATGTATTTCTTACTCACATCTTAAAAGGCTTTCAACTGTTATGCAACATTTTATGGTTTTTAAGTGTATGATAAACCAATATAGACAAGAGAATCCAATTAATACGACCATATCAACATCTTCTGCTTAGAATATCAAATAGCACCTTTCTAGATTCTGCTTCATAGGAAAAGTAACTCTTTTCGCTAAACAAAACGCATTCCATCATAGATAATCATATAAATCACGCACAGCGTTCGTACTACTGTATTCCTATTGAATCAAAAACACATGGCTCACAGTTTGCCTCGAATGACCAATTCTTCAATGAAATTCACAATAGAATGCATTGTATTTATCACTACCAACATTTTATAAAAGCAGAAAGGTAAACTATATAGGTTACAACTTCAAGCCATTCCATAATCTCTATTTACGTAAATACTTTCTATTTTTAATTCTAAAGCGTTCATTTTACAAGATACCATAGTATCTGAATATTCGTAAATTAGGCTGTTATTTTGGACTTGAATTCTGTATACAATCTTTGCTGTTGATATTTATTTGGGGTGGAATTTATTATTGATACTGCTTATAAGAAAACTACACTATCAATCATGGAAACTCCACTGAGGGAAAACCCTAAGAATAAGGATTATCTTATTATCATTTCTGTTGACGGCCGTGAACAAAGAGCAAATGTATATCTTTATTGTTGTCGATTAGCACTAGTTCCCTATTAACTCAATATCTTGGATCTTGGTTGGTAAAAATTTCTGGTGACGACTCATTTGTAGATACAAGAAATGGGAAATCGGTGATACAGAAGGAAGTTGATTTCGATAGTAGTGTTAATTCGTCTTCCATGGTATCAATATCCTTTTCCATACAAATTTTTTTTACAATTTCCTTAATAGTACTGTATCACTTCCTTTACTAGTACCTTCTTTGAAATCCAGGATTCTTACTCACAACACTCTACAGAAATACTGCAGAATCCATGTGTGGTTTTTCCTGACCGTGAGAACGCCTCTTTGCTCATGTAAGCCTTTTTTGTTGCTGTGATGCTAGGAGCTGTTTCAAGAAGTTGGGAATACGCACTCCCTCTATTCTTTTTCGTGTCTTTTTGTTTCTGAACGAATTTAACCTCTGCCAAGACCAAAATCAGAATCGTTACCCAGTCGAATCCGCCACGGATTCTGCTCTTTTCGTCTGCAACAACCGCAAGCCGGCTTCTTTCGGTCTTTCCCGCTGCATCGATGTGAAGGACGCTTTGCTATCGCTGTTCCAGAAAGGCCATTGTCTCGCCAGCTCCACGCTTCTCGTGAACAACGAATCGCCTCTCTCCGCGCCTCGCCATGTTTCAATGGACGCCACCGACGCGCTCTTTCGCATGTACGAGCCTTCTTTCCACTCCAACACGCCGCTCCTTCACCCCAATTCCTTCTTCGATTCTCGCACCTATTCCGGAGACGACTTCTGCAGTTCGCAGTGGTCCTCCGATTTCTCCGCGTTCCGCAACCCCTCCGTCCTTCCCGCCGTCTCCACCTCCTCCATCCCCACGCGTCCCTTCGAGTTCTCCGATCCCCGCGGGGCCGAAGTGTGGAACCAACCGCTGAATCGATGGGACTCGCAAGAACGTTCGCTGCGCCCGTCCATTCGAACGGGGAGCCTGTTTCAAGACCTCCCGGCAGAGCGTCGCCGGTCCAATTCGATGAGCGTGATGCACTCTTCGTCTTCTCTCTTCTTCCAGAACACGTACTCGCCCACGCCTCTTTCGTTCGGCTATCTCACGCCCGCGCAGAACGCGCTTCCTCTTTCCGAGACGGACGCGCTCGACGACTTCTCGCTCGGAGATGCCGCGCCGTTCGACGCTTCGTTCGCGACAACCGAGCTGCAGCCGGTTGCGGAGCGCAGTTTGAACGAGGGGCTTCACTTAGCGAAGCTACCGAGCGAGGAACCGATCCACACGGGATCGGCTTTGAATCCGAACAGCGCGGAGTTCATTCCGGGAGGCAAAAAAACGGGGAAACAGGGAAACCGGGGCGAAGCGGAGCATGGAAAGGCGGGCGTGAAGCCGCGCGATCTGTTGGAGCAAACAATGCTGCAGCAGCGAATCGTGGAGAATCGAATCACGACGTTGAAGCTTCGCGGATTGCCGTACACCGTGGAAACGTGGAAACAGATTGATGGATAGGCGACAAAGGAGGAAATCGCAGCCTTCTTCGCTCCGCTGGAAGTGCCGCGCGATGCGAAGGGCGAGTTGACGATTGTGATCGGACAGGACAATAAACAACGACCCAGCGGAGAAGCGTTCGTGACCTTTTCGTCAGTCGAGGACAGCGCGAAAGGACTGGAATACCACCTAAAGAATCTGGGGAAGCGGTACATCGAGATCTTCCCGCTGTTCAATAAGGATTATTACCGAAGATGTGGGTGGTGAGGAAGGTGTACGAAGTGTAGATATGATCTATTGTTCCATTTGCAACAAGTACGGACACACGAAGGAGTCGTGCGTGCTCCGCACACACTCGTAGATCATCCAGGGTAAAAAATGTTTTGTATATCGCAAGTGTATTATGGAGGGTTTCGATGTTTTTTTGGAACAAACAAGACGTGTGCTCTGCTATACAGCCTAAACGTTGAGCGTTTATCGGTAAGACTTCTGGTAACGGGCACGAGCCGATGGACCTCCGTACTTCTTGGGCTCGCAGCGACGAGGATCTAGCAATGAAACAATCGACGAAGAGACTACCGGCAGCGATCAGGGAACGATCGAAGGAAACGAGGAGATCCTTGATCTCACGCTTGGCCTGCTCATCGACGTCTACAGATCAAACACTCCAGACAACACTACATTTCTGGTAGAACGCAACGATCGCTCTAGAGATAGCCTGACGAATGGCTGTTCATTACCAAAACGAATCGAAACTACCATAAATCTGAGCAACGCGACCTCCTCCCTTGACAGTCACACGGATGTCGAGGTTGGCAAATCTCTCAGCTCCGAGAAGGAGAACCGGCTCAATAGCCTTCATCTTCATGCATTCGGGCTGCATAATGTCAATCGGTTGATTATTCAATCTCATGACTCCCTTTCCATACTTGCAGTGAGCAACGGCAATGGCGTTTTTCTAAAACGGAGATTAGCACAATGTTCAAGAAAAAAGAAACGCTCTCCAAAATTTGCTTACCTTACGGCCAAAGGTTTGCACAGAAGGCTTAGCTTGTTCAGTGGACATCTCAAAGGCACACTTTCTAAGTCCAATAATAACCCCTGGGTAAAATCGTTAGTGCGGTGGGGGTGAATTCACATTTTTCCTATGATCTTGGTTATTCCTCGCTGTTTTCAACTGCTGCTATATGAGTGAACTAGATGCACGATCCAATAGAGTTTCGCACCGAGACTGAAGAATAATGTTTTCTTGAGGCATGTCACATATTGGAAGATAATAATGAGGAGACAGTAGGTGTATTTCTGGGTGGTATTTGTGAATTGACATTCCTTCTTCCTGTTTCCATTTCACTCCCATAGACTGTTATTGGATTTCCTTTCAATATGGAGAACACAACAACAATCGATAAAACGACACAGAAGCACACAAAAACGAGATTCCACTTTTTTCGCTCGCGCAAAAAATAGTGTTTTGGCTTAGTAATAGATAAAGTAGAATGTCGAACAGCAATCTTTGGGGCTCTGTGAGTTCGCTCGCAGGCAACCTGATGTCTAAATTCGGAAATAATGTCAGCAAGGGCATGACCACAGCCGTTGCTGCTGTATCGGATACAGTGGGCTCGATCAGCGAGGAGATCTTTAACGATGGAGAGGAGCACTATTTTGAGGAGGATCGTTCCGTATGTTGTGTGTTTTGCGGATTATGTGAATAGGAGCAGGAAGTGCGTGAAATTCTGAACAGCGGAAGCGGCAGAGACCGTGAGGACGAAAAGATTGTAGTTATGAAGTGGATGATTGCGGTAGTGTTTAGTTGTTGTGTTTTAGGCCTAGCAACTGAGCAAGGGCGTCGACATGTCCGCGTTCTTCCCGGACGTGGTGAAGCTGGTTATTTGCCCGAGCGTGGAATTGAAGCACTACGTATACACATATTTGATCCACTACTGCGACTACAATGACAACTGCCGTGAGAACGCCCTGCTCTCTGTCAACACCTTCCAGCAGGACATGAAGGGAAAGAATCCCGTACATCTCTAGGATGAACCTAACCCGCAGCGAATCCGCGCTCTGGCCCTCCGCGTGATGACCTCCATCCGCGTGCCGGACATCTGGCAACTGCAGTTAATGGCGGTGAAGAACTGCGTGGTGGACAGCGTTCCGTTCGTCCGCAAGATCGCTGCGCACTCGCTGCTGAAGCTCTACCAATGGGACCCTTCGCAAGAAGAGAGCGTGATCGCCATTCTGAAGGTGCTGCTGCGCGAAGTGAACGCCTTGGTGTTCAGCAGCGCGATCATCGCCTACAGCGAGATCTGCCCCACTCGCTACGAGCTTCTCTACCCCTGCTACCGTCGCATGCTGGACATGCTGCCCATGATGGACGAGAGCGCGCAGGTGGTGGCGCTCACCGTGCTCATGAAGTTCGCTCGCACGCAGTTCCTCCAGCCGAAGGCCTCCGACCTGCTCGACGTGGAGCGCGTGGTGAAGAAGCCGATCGTGGCGCAGGCGACGACGAAGGCCGCGAAGAAGGAGGCGGCCAGCAAGGCCGCGAAGAAGCTGGATGGTGAGCTTCGTGAGGTGGATTGAACGTAGCTTTTTATGGAGACGAGGACGACGAATCCTATTCCTACAGCGAGAGCGAGAGCCAATCCGAGCCCGAGCCGGAGCCCGCCGCGGCGGAGGCCAAGCCGCAGAGCGAGCAGTCTGCGGAAGCCGCGCCGGCGAAGGTGGACGAGGACTTGGTGCGCTTGCTGCAAGTGGCCATGGAGCAGCTGGAGTCGATCAACAGCTCGGTGGTGCTGGCCGCCGCGTCGCTGCTGCTGCATTTGGCCCCCGAGGACACGTCCTTCGTGACCAAGAGCGTGGACGCGATGGTCCATCTCCTCAACCGCAACGCGCGCTACAGCTTCTTCGTCCTCGACGCCATCGACGAGCTCTCCGCGCTCTACCCCGACTACTTCCAGCCATGGATTCAAGTGCCCTCGCACCCTCTCCCTCACCGCTAGTGGTTCTTCCCGCGGATCTCCGAGCCCGGCTTCGTGATCTCGCAGAAGACGCGCATTCTCTGCCGTCTCATCAACGAGGACTCGGTCGCCCAGGTGCTGAAAGCGCTGCAGCCCTTCGCCGTCCATCCCTCCAGCGACGTCGTCGTCAACCTCATCCAGGTTTCCACGTTTCCACGATTCGATGTAGACGCTGCTGGTGATCGCGCAGCGCCACGCGCCGTCTGCGAAGCTGTGTCTGCGCGTGTTCGTGCAGCTGTTGGAGGTGCGCGCGAGCGACGACACGATCGTGCACGCGAGTTTGATGGGCATCGACCGCTTGCTGCCCATTTTAGATGACGCGGCGAAGCGCGAGGCGCTGCTCTGGGTGATCAAAACGGTGCTGAAGCACGAGGGAAGCGACGTGTGCGACGGACTGCTCGATCTGCTGCTGCGCCACGGCGACTGCGTGGTTCCGCAGACCGAGGAGGTGTGTCGAATCATGACGCAGCGCTACGCGACGCTGTCGCAGTCGACGCGTCTGACGCTGCTTCTCTTGCTGGTGAAGCTGGTGCGGATCGACTCGGAGAACGAGCAGATCCGCAAGATGTTCGACTACGTGCTGGAGCTCAACGCGAAGGACATCGACGTGGAAGTGCGCGTGCAGGCGCGGAACATCCGAGCCGTACTTTGCTGTCTCCCATCCACTCACCCCCAGCTCTTCACCTCGGAGAACCCCGCCGTGGAGGCGATTCTGGACAAGATCACGAAGCCCGACAATCGTCCCAACGAGTATCTCTCCGAGTGCCATCTCTCCGACTACTACCTCGGCTCGCTCTCTCTCGCCGTAGGCTTCTCTCTCTCGTCTCTCGCTCACGCACAGCTCAACGAGAACTTCCACGGATTCGTCCCGCTGCCCGACTGGACCGACACGCCCGTGCCCGGCGAACTGCGCGACCCCGCGGCCATCGAGGCCAAGCAGCGCGCCGAGGAAGAGGCCAAGGAGCGCGAGCGACGCGCCAAGGAAAAGGCGGAGCGCGCGAAGGCGAAGGCGAAGACCGGAAAGGCGATCAAGAAGGAGGTGGAAGAAGAGTATTCGGATTATTCGTATTCGGATTATTCGTACTCCGATGAGGAAGAAGGAAAGGCGAAGCCCAAAGATGGCAAGGCGATCAAGAAGGAGGTGGGAGAGTACTCGGATTACTCGTACTCGGATTACTCGTATTCGGATGAGGAAGAAACCAAGGAGAAGAAGAAGAAGGAAGAAGAAGAAAAGCCGAAAAAGAAGGAGGAAGGAGAGGAAAAAACAACCAAGAAGGATGATGAGAAGCCGAAGGAGAAAGCTAAAGAGAGCAAGGAAGAGTACTCGGATTATTCGTACTCGGACTACTCGTACTCGGATGTTTAAGTGGCTTGTTTGAGAGAGACATTCTTTGAAACCGGAACATGGAAAGGAGAACGGCTAAGAAGGAACAGGGTGTGGGTAGCAAACAAGATACAAAGGCCATGCTGCCGCTTATGAGCACTCCTGCGGATGTCGTGGAAAAGATAAAAACAATCAACGAATCGATCGCTCGCGAGGGAGAGGACCTATTCTTTCGTGAGCTTCCCCAGGAAGTCTTCATCCTAACGAAACGCATCAAGGTAGAATTGTTGCTCACCGCGGTATGTTGTAGGAGGAGAAACTATTTCAGATGACTCCAAAAGATCTGGAGGAGGAGTTGTATCCCAATTTGGATGAATTATCGGCGCAGATTGAGAAATCGAAGGAAGAAACCAATTCCTTTATCCGAGAAACGCGGAAGGATTGGGAGAAATGGGAAAAAGCGCAAAAGAAGTTCATAAAGAAGTCACGCAAGCGAGCGGCGAGTGCTGCAACCGAAGAAACGGCCAAGATACCTCATGTTGCGCTGAAAAAGGAAGACTATTTCCCGAACCAATTCCGAATCCCTTTAAATGAAGTCGTGATTGCTTTGCAATTGACATGGTAGAAAGTGAGCTCGCTGATCTCCTTCGTAAACGAGGAAATGGACCGAGTGAGCCATCTCGTGAACAGCATTCGTCTGTGGATCATTTTGATGAAGCCCAAGATCGAGGATGGCAACAATTTCGGCGTTTCGGTGCAGGAGGAGTACATTAGCATGCTGGACGGTTTGGAGCGCGCGCTGGCGAACGTGATGAGCGGATCGCTCTCTTACTATATCGATCGTGGGAAATATTTGAAAAACGTTTTCTCCGAATTGGCACTTTATCGTAGATTTGCCAATACCCTGACAACGAGGACTACAAGCGAGCTCTAGTCTACTATGACGAGCTCCACTTGCAGCAGTGTCGCATTTACATGGTCGAAGTTCGGAATTCGCTTGCGCTGGTGTTTGATATGATCGGGAAAAACATCAACTGGCTGTACATCCCGCGCATGGAAAACGATGTCCAGCACATTTTTTTGTAATATCATTGTTTGTTTTAAACCTTCAATACGTCGCTCTAAAAGGTGCGTTATGATAGGTTCATGCGCTCGGCCGTTTATTCTAGGTGGCGCTTACTGGTACAAACGTGATGCGTAGGTGTTTGTCTAGCATTTTGTTTTTTCCATGGTTTAAGCTCCAGTGAGGTACGTTTCCGTAGTGTGGAGTGATTCCACAGGTTAATACGCTCCCTCAAACGCAGAAGGAAAATCTTCCGGAGGGTCAACGGCTATCGGGCTGTGGTAGGTTTGTTTTGTCGAGAGAGTAAGATTTCAGACGCAAATAATCAAAAGAATCCAAGAGGTTTTTTGTCTCCTCTGGGTGGAAAGCAATCCATTTCTGAAATTGTTCATAGGTGTCCTCTATCTCTCTCTTCTAAGCTGGTTCATACAAGTCCAGTGAGCGTTGTTTTAGCCGTTAATGTCACACAACCGTGCCATGTGTGGTGTGACGCCTGGACAATTGGAAGCCCAATCAATGTCCACGAGCTGATGAAAGAATCTTCAGGGAAATACATGCAGTGTAGGTTTTCTGCTCTCTCTGTGAGGAGTAGCAACGGGTCTTTACGTCATTTCAAACCTCAAGCCGTTGACGACGTATGTAATCACCTGTACAGCGCAGAACGATTTTGAAATGTTCTCAGATGCGGAGCGAAACCGGCAGGTGATCATCACGAAGCCCGCCATGTTCCGAATCACTTCAGCGAGCCGCTCTGGGTCTCTGATCTACGTGGGGATCGCTTCGAATCTGGACAGTACCTTTGTTTGCAACCTGTTCAACGGCAATGGCTTGAATGTGGCGTCGAAACATACGATCGATGAGAATGGCTTTGTGACTTTTTTGGTGGACAGCAATGAAAAGCATTATAAAGTGCAGTGCTCCGCTTTTTCTCCGTCGAACGCTCGTAGGCTCTGCGTGGATCGAGCTGACGCGTAGTCATCATGCAAACAAAGTCAGTTTTGATTCCAGAAGATAATACATTGTTCTGGATGCTAATTGACGTCATGATTGTTGTTGTACTATGTTCTTGCGTTATCTCGGCGGTGTGGATCGGGAAGTATCTTCACTCTTCTCTGGTTATGTGCTGTAGATCGCGAGCTACCTCACACGCAATGTATGATCTAGATTCGGCTGAGATCGTTTGCTTATTATCCAAAAGTCCAGAACCCTCCATGGTCGACGAGAACTTCAGTCCTTTCGAAACAGAACTGATTCCGAGTGAGACTCACAGTGTTATATGCTCGAAGTGCAATTTTGCCAATCCCGCTCGTGCAACCGTTTGCAGGGAATGTAACTCATTACTACGTGGGAATGAAGTTTTTTCGTCATCTTTTCGTAAGATGTATTGGACTTGTTTGTTGCCAAGAAACTCAGCAGGGGTGGATTCCAATTAGTTTCTCTCTTCGGGACTGATTCGATCGTGTACTCCCTTTTTGTGGAATTTCGGTTGTATTTCGTTTTACAGCATCTGCGATATCCTAGAATCGATGAATTCGGCAATGAGTACAGAAATCTCCTGCTGGCTTATCTGGATCTCAGAGAGATGAAGAGGGAGCATCCGGATTCACTGCTATTACGAATGATTTACTCTAACAAAAAAGAACTAAAAATTAAGTGACTCAACTATTTGTTTCATATTCTCCTTAAACTGTGCAGCCTTCTCCTACAATAATGAACGATATACAAAGAACACAAACCTTATCCTCACTAAGCCTCTTCATCTCCCTCAACACCTTGAAATACGGGCAGTAGGTGCTTTGCCGCATCTCCATGTTTTTCTTTGCGTTCTCATAATGTACATCAGGCAATTCCTTGGGCTCTTTGTCTCGATTACTGCCTCCGATCACTGGGAGACTTGGCTTCATCATAGGCGGCTTGGCTTGAGAAGACGACATTCCCAACGACGGCATCATTTGAGACATCATCTGCGGGTATACATGCTGTCCAGGAGTGTACGACTGCGTTTGCATCTTCAGAACTCCCGGATGTTGGCTTTGCACCTGCTGCATGTACTGCGCAGTGTTTTGCTGAGCATAGGACACGGGAAGACTCGTTGGAGAAATATGAGGGCGCTTTTGTTGGAACGCAGCATTCATCTGGTACTGCTGCTGCATGCGCATATTTTGAACTTGCTGCATTCCCATTCTGCTTTGCATCATGTCATACTGGCTCATGGAAGGATTCACATTTCTGTATTGGTCTTGCTGACTCATCTCCATCCTTTTCCCAGCTAAATCTAATTGGGCTAGTTGCTGTTGCTGTATAGGGGGCGAAATCATCGGTTTTCCCCCCGAATTCATAGGATAATTCGCGTATCGATACGCATTCCCAGGGATACTACCTTGGTTCATGCAAAATAGTGAAGAAAACAAAAACAGAAGGATGGGTGTTTTGTATATAGGGTGATAAGACATAATAATTAGAAATGGTTGTATAGTTTAGTTGTTGGTTTTGTTTTTATTGTGTCGGGTGAGGTAGTTCGAGTTCTGCTTTCGGACTTTTTTATTCATCCTATGGATGGAGTCAAGTCATTTTGATGATATTCTTAAAGAGCGCAGAGATGGAAGAGAGGAAAGGTATATCGAAATGGAGATAACAAAGGATCATTGTGTTTTGAATGGGAGGCAAATGGTAAGAGAGAAGAAATTGGCTATCGAGTCCATAGCATAGCATAATAATAGCAAAAGAAAAAAGATCAAAAGTGTACACAGTAGAGAGTAGCTTGGGAGGGAAATCATAGGCATTGGAAAGAAGCATGTTCATTCTACCAGTATCATCAAAGCTGGCTTTCACACTCATATTCAAACTTAAAATTTATTTCAATTGTAAGTTTTTCATTCCTATATATGGGATGGTTGGGCTAGGTGTGAGAAAGTGCCTGCAACGTTAGATATGTGCTTTGGACATGGGACGAGAAATTGACTCACCGGAATATAGAAATGTCTGATCTTGATTTCGAAGTAGCGAAAAAGCACATTGCCGATTATTTAGAGAGTCTGGACGTGAATGCGTATGGATGTGCTCGTGATATGAAATCTAGTACGCCTGTGTTTCGAAACATCCGAAAGTACGTTGAGAAAAAGATGAGCCTTCCTCGTAATTCCTTGAATGACCAAAAGAAGGAACTAAAGAAGATTTGCGCTGTTGTGTCGAGTTGCACAATTAACTATAGGAAGAAATCGAGAAGTTGCGCGCTTCTCGGCAAGAGAAGGAGAAGAAGGAGGTGGTAGAGAAGAAGGAGGAGCCTAAGAAGGAGAAGGTAAGCGTTTCTGCGGTCTCTCACCCTCAAGAAACAAAAGCAAAAGTCCAAGTCGAAATCCAAGTCCAAGTCCAAGGAAGAGACCAAGGAGGAGCCTAAGGAAGAGCCTAAGGAGGAGCCTAAGGAAGAGCCCAAGGAAGAGCCCAAGGAAGAGCCCAAGGAAGAGCCCAAGGAAAAAACCAAGGAAAAAACCAAACAAAAGGCAAAGTCTTCCAAGAGCCAGGACCAACCCTCCACTTCAGCGCCCTCCGACGACCCGGAGCCGCGTCGCTATTCATCGAGCTTCATGCTCTTCTGCAAGGAGTTCCGCAACGCGGTCCACGACGAAAACCCAAGTCGCTCTCTGGCTCTCCCTGTTGATTCATAGCTCTCTCCTTCACCGAGCTCAGCCGCGTCCTGGGCGGCCGCTGGAAGGAGCTGAGCGAGGCGGACAGGGCCAAGTACATCGAGGAGAGCAAGCGTCAGAAGGAAATCTACGACCGCGAAATGCAGGAATGGCGAGCGCGACAGTACAAAAACCCGCTTTTTTTGACATAGTCCGGAGGTGCAAACCCGCGCGGACCGCAAGAAGGAGAAGCGGCAGGAGAAGATGTCGTCGCAGACCGGCTTCGATCTGTTCTGCAAGGACACCAAGCCGACGGTGCAGGAATCCGAGGGTACTTCTGGAAGTCCCATAAAACGCAGGACTGAAGGGCAGCAAGCTGAAGAAGAAGCTGGAGGCGCTGTGGGAGGCGCTGCCCGCCGAGGAGAAGCAGGCCTGGGAGGCGAAGCTCCCGAAGGCGAAGCGATCGAAGAGCAAGCGGACGCCGACCGCGTACCAGCTGTTCATGACGGAGCATTACGCGGAGCTGCAGCAGGCGCATCCAGGTAGCGGAGGGTGGGGCATGGGACGCAGAGGTGACGCGGTCGGGGATGTTTGCGGTGGTGTCGGAGGCCTGGAAGAACGCGGACGAGGCGACCAAGGCGCGGTATAAGGAGCAGGCGGAGGAGCTCAAGCAGGCTGAGCGGGAGACAGAGAGCGAGGAGACCCAGGAGGACGCGAAGGAGGAGACGAAAAGGAAGCGGACGAGTCGGAAGCAGAAGGAGGGAGAGGATGAAGCGCCCGCGGCGAAGCGGAGACAGCGAGCGTTCCGAGAACTCACCGGAAGCGCGCTGTTCGCGCAGGAAAATCGGCAGAAGGCGGTGGAGCAGAGTAGGGAAAGGGGGATGGTGGCGAGTAGACCTTTCTGGGAAGGAGGCTAGCAAGATGCTGCACGAACAGTGGAAGGCTCTCGATGTGGAAGCCAAGATCGAGTATGAGAATCGGGCGCATGAGGAGAACGTGCGGAGACTGAGAGAGATGGAATAATGCCAAAACCAAAGCCAAAACCAAAGCCAAAGCCAAAGCCTAGGCCAATGCCATGTTTGTGACAAACAGAACGATAAAGAAACAAAAGAGCTTTTTCGTTAATGCACTGGACGAGGAACCCATTTGCGAGTGTTGTACACACTTTCACCGACCTTCCAACCCGGAATGTCCTTCATCACTTCTCTCTCCTTGTTCAGCTTGGCAGCTTCGGCCTCGCAGTAGCTACGGTAAAATTCACGAAAAAACAGTCCTACTGAATATCTTCTTCCGCCTGAAGGTACGGGGCCATGGCCAGGCGGCAATTGAATCGCTCTTGATCCATCTCGCTAACGATTAATTTCGGAGGCGAGCAACCTACTTCATCTTGCGAATGCCATACATCATTCTCCAGAGTCCCAAACCAACGGTGGCCGCTCCAATGAACCACATCGTAGCTCCGGACACTCGATTGGGCAGATTTCTTTTAGGACTAGTGAGATCAGTTCAAACATTCAAAAAGTACTTCACGAGAGGGTAACCTCCTTTAGGAGGAAGATCCTGTACAAATACCTTAGGAAGAGGAGCAGACATTTGTGCTAAGTAGTATTAATATAATAGAAAGAGAAAGGTTTGATAATCATCGATTCGATCGATCACTGTACGCCGAGAATCAAAGAAACGCAATGAACTCGATGATTTCGACCCTCTCCGGATTTGCAGAGAGACTGAGTCTGTATGTCCGCGATCCTCTAACCGCTTTGGGAGTGGAGGTTCAGAACTCGGTCTATTCTGGAGACGACAGTAGTATAAATTATCCTCATGTAGTCCGTTCTGGAGACATTAAACCTAGTTACTTCACCTGGTTGAAAATTCGTGTGATTTACAGTCGTACGAAGAAGTGTGGCATATCTTATCAAAGGCCTTAAGCAACGAGAATAACGTAGATGGGAGAAACGTCATGTTGTAATGGTTCTTGACATCTGTGATGATAGGATATCAAATTTCTTTCTGTCCAATTGCAGTGAATCGTTCTGCAGTACTTGTCCCCTATACTTCATGAAAAGTGTAAAACAGTTTTTGTTGGTATGTATTTTTTCACAGCATGAAAGGTAGTCCAAAAAAGACAATGAAGACAAAGAAAATTTTGAGCTTTTTTCCGACTTTTGTCATGTTTTGTATGAATGGAAGCAGCGTTTTTCTAAGAGTTCTTTTACCAGCTGCAAGCCCATTCTAGACGGAATTCAGGCTATCGAAGAATGCGGCATCGTTCTCGAGCCCTCTCCACAGTTCGCTATGATCTCCCCTCGAGAGGGTTCTCGAGAGCAAATTTCCACGGAAATGAATGGAACCGGCGCGTTGAGCGCACATGACGAATCTCCATTCCCTGACATAAGTGACGAAACGCATCTGAATATGCGAAGTGGATTCGATCTGAAAATTCTTTACCGGCATGTGAGTCAGTTGCTAGCCAGTTTAGATGAGCAAGGAGACGCGATTTTCCTTGACCCATCGTCTCGCAATCTTCTCCTTCTCTGCTCGTACAGCCAGCCGGAGCTTCGTCATATGATCGAAAGCGAAGTGCTTTTAGGCACGAACGAAAAAGTACGCTTCCCTTCCACTCCTGATCCGCAGCTCATCAATCGGCTTATTTTATTAAACGATAAAATCCAGCTCGTGATGGATCGCTGCAAAGAGTACGAGCGAAAGCACAGTTTTCTTTTTTCCGTGTGTGTCAGCCGCAGATATCACGTGGAACTCGCTCCAAACCACGCCGACCTTCTCCTCAGCGTCGCTCAATCTCAGCGAAAACGACATTCCGCACTGGAATGAGGAGTCCCACACTCATCACGAGTCGCGAGGCGTCAAGAAGGTTCTCAGTCAGGTGTACGATTTTCTGAGCAGTGACGAGGACTCGGAAGACGATGCTCCCGTTCTTCGAGCGAAATCGGATCAGCCAATCGGAATGCTGGAACGAATTTCGTCCAGTCGATGGTGGCCAGGATCGTGGGCGACGCGAACGGAGGAGCCCACGCTCGACTTGACGATGGAAGACCAGGATTTGATGGGGGTGGGGCTGGTGGGAGCTCCGAAGGAGGAAGAGAAGAAAGTGGTTTCTGCGTCGATTGATTTGTTGGATGATTTGTTTATGTGAGAGAGGCGAAGTGGCAGATTGTTTTATTGTAATGCTGTTTAGATCGATTGTTTGTTTGAAATAGAAGGATAGAGAAGGAGAAGTGGTGGTACTTGATGGTATTGTATTGAAAGGAGGAATATTATTGCGTCTTATGCTCAATTGATGTTGAGGAAAGCAATAGAGAGATATAAGACAATAAGATAAAATGACTGTAAAAAAGGTGAATAAGGCGAGAGTCTGGAGATTGTATACCAGGTATTGCAGTAAATGTTCATTGTGTAATACAAAATGTGGATAAATAAATATGAGTATTTACCATGTAATATGAAGAAAAGCTACAATATAAGAAAGTCCGTTTATTTCAAAAGTATCTTATATTAATGCAAATTATTGTTGATTTTTTCAATTCTGCTATTAGTAACTATCATATTGATAGTTCCATTATTCAAAATGTGCAGGGATACCTGAATCAAGAATGGAAAGTGGATGGCTGGATTTCACTCATATTGAGTAATAGAGAATGTGTAGTACTGCAATTCAATAATGGAATATTCATGAATCAAGGATTTGTGGTCAATGAGCAGAAAGTGTTGAAAGTGTTTGGAAATCATCAAATTGGTGCTATTTCATATAATGAAGAACAAGCCATAGAAGTAGTAGAAGAAGGAATCGTGGATTTGGATCATGGAAGTCGATTTGAAGGATTGATATTGGCAGAAAACAAGTTTGGAATTCCATTTGGATATGGTGAAATGTATGATGATGATGGAATATTGGTGTACAAGGGCATAATGATCAATTGGAAACGATTTGGCTATGGAATGAGTTATCATAATAATGGATGTATTGAATATGAAGGATATTGGTGTGATGATAATCGATTTGGAATTGGAAAAGTGTATGATCGAGATGGTAAATTAGTGAATGAATGTAAATGGTATAATGGAATTGAATGTGATACTGATTATGAAGGAGATGGAAGCAAACCAATGAATATGGGAATGAAACATTTGAAACTGAGTGACAATTGTGTATTGGTTGATTGGGATGTTTCATTGTTGTATAATTTGGAATCAATCGAAATCGGCGATGAATGTTTTGGATCAGTGAAAACATTCAAAATCGATGGATTGAATCGATTGAAAACTATCAAAGTCGGAATCAATTCATTTACTCAACTGAAAAAAGCCGAGTGGCAAAAGATTAGTAATGATGAAAGGGTCAAACGATCTAGCAATTCAAAATCATTCCATATTTTGAATTGTGGATCATTGGAATCGATAGAAATTGGTGACTTTAGTTTCAGTGATTTTGGAGGAGACTTTGAATTGAAGAATCTACCACTATTGTAGTCCATTCAAATCGGTTCCAAAAGAGGTTGGTCATCCAATTTCTATCTTGGTTCACTTTTGATTCGAGGTATTGATATGATATTCAATATTACTAATGATTAGATCTTCCAAATCTGCAATCCATTACAATAGGTTGGTATGCATTGAATGGGTCACCGACATTTGAGTTATCAAATCTGACATCAGTCCAATCTTTACAATCTATCGAAATCGGCGATTATTGTTTTGAATCAGTGCAAACATTCAAAATCGATGGATTGAATCGATTGAAAACTATCAAAATCGGCAAGAATTCGTTTACTCAGAATATGAATAGTTATGGGAATATCAAATCGAAATCATTCCACATAATGAATTGTGAATCATTGGAATCTATTCAAATTGGTGAATATAGTTTCAGTGATTTTGGAGGAGACTTTGAATTGAAGAATCTACCACAATTACAATCCATTCAAATTGGTTCAATTGAAAGAGATTATTCATACAATTTCTATTACATTCCATTTATGATTCGAGGTATTGATATGATATTGAATATTTGAATGATGCATAGATCTTCCAAATCTACAATCCATTACATTAGGTGATTATACATTCCATGATTCCTTAGTTACAATAATTGAAAGTATTGAATGAATTCGAATGAAATGATTAATGTAGATCTTCCATCATTACAATCCATTCAACTCGGTTGGTATGCTTTGTGTGGAAAAGCTAGCGATTCTTGTTCCTTGAGAATGCGAAGTAATAATGAAATGATTCGATGTGATTTGCTTTGTAGATCTTCCTAATCTAGTGAATATAACGTCTAACAGAAATAGTTTTGAACATCCTCGCTCCATATCATTGGAAAGTAGCTCTTAATTCGGTTTATTCATTGTACTTAGATATTCCAAGTCTTCAATATGTCAGACTACCTGAATCATTCGAAAATGTTAAGAATAAAGATGTTCGGAGTAACTGTTTATTTTGCAATTGATTTTAGACGATACCAGTTTATTTTATTCATGGTTTTATTGTCAAAATTATATTCAATCCATCAATTCGTCTGCCCTTTCTATTGTTATTCCCCATACAACTTGTAATGATATTGATTATACAGTATTTGATTTCTCTCGATTTACACAAGTTGAATCAATCCAAATTGGCGATGAATGTTTTGAATCAGTGAAAACATTCAAAATCGATGGATTGAATCGATTGAAAACTATCAAAATCGGATACAATTCATTTACTCAGAAACAGAATGGGGGTGATGAGTCTAAATCATTCCACATATTGAATTGTGAATCATTGGAATCCATTCAAATTGGTGAATATAGTTTCAGTGATTTTGCTGGCGACTTTGAATTGAAGAATATACCACAATTACAATCCATTCAAATTGGTACAATTGGAAGTCAATCATGGAATTTCTGGTGGAGTTCATTTGTGATTCGAGGTATTGATATGATATTGAATATTTGAATGATGCATAGATCTTCCAAATCTACAATCCATTACATTAGGGAATTGGGCATTCGCTTATTCCTTATCAACAATAATTGAAAGTACTGAATGAATTCGAATGAAATGATTAATGTAGATCTTCCATCATTACAATCCATTCAACTCGGTGAATCTGCACTTTATGGAAGATGGAAGGATGATTCAACTTCATTGAGAATGCGAAGTAATAATGAAATGATTCGATATGATTAGCTTTGTAGATCTTCCTAATCTTACATCCATTATCAACTCTAACCGTGGCAGTTTTGTTTTTCCCCGTTCAGTGAAATTGATAAGTAGTTCTAACTTTATATTATGAGGGTATTTAGATATTCCAAATGTTCAAAACGTCAGGCTGCGGGATGCATTCCAGGAAGTTCGAAGTAAATCAATTAGGAGTAGTCTTTGATTGATATTATTTGATTCATAGATGTTAACAGTAAACTCGCTGATCTAGTTAGAATCAAGAATATTAATGAATGAAAAATACTCAATAATTATTAAACATATATTTATATATATGCTAGATACATGTATATAATTTGTGTAAACACTTTGTCCTTGTTTTTGAAAGTACATTATCTGGTTTTAATACAATTTCTTTTAGTAGTAATACCACATTATATCATTCACTTACATTGACTGAGTTATTATTTCTTTTACATATATATTCATGTCTTATAATATTATGGTTAATAAACATCGTTGTATTATGTGTACTTTGCGATCTAATACATTATCTATATGTTTTTGCCGCATCTCTCCATTAATCAGCATAGTTTGCACTTTGACTACATGCTTGTTTGAGAATATTGATCGAAAATCACATTTCCTTGTAAACATTTCACTGTGTTAATAGTCTATTTCGATGATGATCCATTTACTGTATTATATGCTTGATGCTTGTATTGATATGGTATCATCATTTACAATTTGAAACTATTTTTTATTCGATTCAGAAGTGAGTCATTTGTATTCTATTATTCTCTCTTTAATGCAATTCGATCATTTTCATTTATATAATCTGATGTGTAACTATCTTATCAACCATACAACAATTATTATCCTTTAAGCATATCGACATATTGTTATTATTGATTTCGCAGCAGAATGAACCACTGATACAGCTGATAATGGCAAGCTTGGAGAAAACCATGTCGAATGACAGTGTACTGGCTGCAATAGAAGTAGAAATGGAAATGAGAGAATGGTTGAATCAATGTGGACATGTACGATGGTGATCAATGAATTCCAATCGGTGTTGTGTGTTCGAATCAATCAGCTTATTGTCGACTCCTAAACAATTGCTTTTAGAAAAATACTGTTTCCCTCCATCATGGTGTTTTGTGTGCAGAACGCTGCGAAAATCGATGAGGAAATCGAATTTACGAATCGTCTGAACGGGGAATAGAATATGTTGAAGCTTTTTGGTGTGAGTACTGATTTTGGGAACTGAGAAAAAAATAAAATTAATAGAAGATGTATGTGCGTGCATCGTGGAGACAAAGCTGATTTTGGGCATTATGTAGTTGCATCTCGCGAGAAGGTGGTAACGAGTGGGTGTGATGCAACGATTTGAAGGTTGTTCTGGCTGCAGATGCTCCGATTACGGAATGATATTTTTCGTTCTGTGAGAAAAAGTTGTGAATTGTTTGCATAAAAATTCTTTGAGAGCGATTCGATGAAACGCCTGACTTATTGTTTGGCTGAGGTTGAAAGGATAATCAATAGAACTCCTCGCTTTTGGACGAATCAAAATGGTACGCTTTATTGTATCTACTTTGATTGCTGTAACTCTAGAACGAATTTACTGAATACCATCAGAAGCGACATGGAGTTCGTTATGATTACTATGAGAGAAAATGGAATTTCAAATGGTATTGCTGATTTTGCTCGGAGACTGAAGTAAACCACAAGAAGCCAAAAAGTACTCCATTCTCTAGTCTTCTGTACAGCAGTAATGGATTTATCACCTTTACGTTGCACCTCTGCGCTTATAAAGAAGGAATTCATCTGTCATTTTTGATGCGCGTGTTATATCGCAAAAATTCGAGTGAAGTCTTATTATCAAATTGAGGGATGATGAACACGATCAAGCAGAATGATCAGATTAGTGTTATGAATATACGTCAGAGTATCGCGTTTTAGCGAAAGTGGTAATGTAAGAGTAAATAATGAAAAAAGAATGGATCATTTTGAGTTATTAGCGATGTCTTTCTGGGTCCCATTGAACACAAGCAAACAGTATGATTTTAAGCATCAGTATACATGTCCGTTTCATGTCGTGGCTCCCTATTTGATCCATTTTTTACGTCCCAGAGAATCTAGCATGGTTCAATTCATGGTACTGGTTTTTTGTATCCATAGCTGCAGGTTGTAACTAAAGATTCTGTGTTTTCTTTCATGGTCTTTTTCTATATATGAAAGTCTTATTATAAATTTTATCAGGTTATTCGTTGTTTCCAAATTATTCGATCAAATTAGTATATTATTATTATCATCTTGAGATAGTAAAATATATATTATATTTTATATTACTCGAAATGAAATCTACAAGTACGGTATCCAACATTTAGAAGACTTTCTCTATGTGTCATCTTTAGAATGATGTCCTCTTTTATAATAAACATCCCTTTTATCCCTGTTTATAACGAATTACACTTTTAAAACTATTTCATTAAAGTAATGATCTATAATAAATTCCCAGATGTTATCATTTGTTTTCACTCAGAATAATAAAAGACATTAAAGGTCATATGGATCCTATAATATAGTATATCCATAGTAAACACAGATAAAGAGAGGAATAAGAGCTACTTTGTCATATTTTCAGGAATGAGGCATGAACTGAAGAGAGGACTGTAAGATAATACCAATAAAAAGTATTTATTTATAAATATATATTTATATTGGTTCCATTATGTATCTCTTTGAGCAATGTAGTAACACTTATGTATTATCCATCAAACATACTATAATAGTACTATTCATATATGCCTCTAATCCATCTTGAGTGTTCGTTTATTTCAACAATTACCACTTGTAAATAGTGCTATTGTCTACTTTATCATTTTTTAATCAAAACCATTGATTCTCATCTTTCTGAAAAATCCAAATGCTTGTCTAACAAACACCCAAGTTCGCCTTTACTACCACATAAAACACTGGGATTTCTCTTCCGATCAATTTCTCCCCCAGTTCTCTCAAAAATCCTTCATAACTCGCTGCTTTTCCATCCATCTCCACCAACAAGATTGCTTCCACACTCTCAAACTCGATTCCCTTCAATTCGCAATCGATCAACGCCATCTAGCGATCATCCTCTTTCTCTCTTTCTCTACTTGCAACGGATTGATCGTTGGATTATAAGCCGACGACTCCACACACCCGCCAAATGCGTCCCCTGTTTTCGATAAAATAACCGCGGAACTCGCATGGCCCGAATACCAAGCAAACGATCGTCGCAACAAGTCCAGCAATCGAGATTCGATTCGGTTCCATCGATCCTCAGTGAGAGAAATCGCGTGCTGTTCGATTTCTGAACGAATTCGGCGAAGATGACTTTGACAAGGCGTTTCAAATTGATCCAATGGGAATAAGGAAGCGGTTTCGAAGAGATGATGAACGATTCCATCGATCGGAAGCTCGAAACTAGTTGTTAATAAAGTGATGTAGAGATAGATGCATACGAATAAGGAAGAAGATCCGAGAGCAGATGATCAACTCCAGCTTTCTGAACGATCACGCGAATATTCTTTGCGTCTGGTAGTTCTTGCAAAATCTGGCGACAATGTCCACAGGGAACTTCAGAAACTAGGGAAATGAACAAAAGAGGTACAAAAAACACCAGCAAGGATCCGGATCTTTTCATTTTGCCCAAAGGCAGTGTGAAGATAAACGTTAGACAAAGTACATTGCTCCGCGTGTACAGTCTATTCAGGATCCATGAGTGAGCGTTCTACTTGGTTCATTGCCACATTTTGAAACTCCATGTTTGTTCCCAGAAAGATCCGACCACTCTCTGTATACGCTGCAGCACCAACACGAAACTGGGAAATGGGAACACGCGCTTTAGGTTTAATCTGCAAAGTTAGAAATAGTCATGGAATGGAAAACGGCCTCAATAAGGAACTGGAGTAATTCTTCAACGGAGACTTGATTCGCCTCAAGAAAGGCTTCCACTTCCTCCTTCGAGTACATAAACCGAACATCAGAGAGATCAATCATGATTCAAAACAAACATGGCAGAAATTTACACTTTGCATCCTCTCCGCCTCCGTATGCAGCCGCATCACGTCGTTCTACGGTTCTCCGAGCCCCCGTCCATCCTACATCCATCGACTCTTTAAACTTCGAAATCGCGTCAATCAGCAGCATCACGCGCGTGTGTCGCTTCTGCTCCTCCACCTCGCAGTCCTTTCCGACCGTCACCTTCGTCTGCTGCACTTCGATCCTCCTCCTTCGCAGCGTTTCCAGCTCGCGTTTTTTCTCTTCCAGCTTCGCTTTTTCCCCCGCCAGCCGCGTCTTCTCCTCCTCCTCCTCCTCTCCTTCCCCCTCCTGCAGCGCACGCGCCTTCTACAATCCACCCGCGAAGTCGATCGAACCTCCAGCAAATCATCGCGCTGCTTCCGCAGTCGATCGCCCTTTCCCGCCAATCCCGCGCTCTCCTCCCGCTCTCTCTCCATCCCCGCGGTTTTCTCCTGCACTTTATCCTACGATCGAGATCGCCTGGCAATGGAACCTCGAGCTGCACGATCTGCTCGCGTAGCGCGACGATTGCGCGCTGTACGCTCCGTCTGTACTCATTTAAGACGCTCTACGATGCCATCGCCGTAATGAAAATCACATCGAGTCGTTCCAGCACGCTATTGCAAGAAATCTGCTTTTGGTACTGCACTGCATCGCGCGACGACGCAGACCCGCAGTCCTCGACATGTTCTAATCGAATTCGAAAATCGGTTCCGTTGGCCAGCGGCGCCGTCGCAGGGAAAAGCTGCAGCGCGAGAAGCAGTTCATGATACTGATTTAATTGTGTTTCGATTTGTGTCGCGGTCTCATCAATCGCGCGTAACACTATTTCCACCTGACTCTGATAATTGTGTTTTTGTGTTTCAGCCGCGGCAATCTTCGTCCCCCACGCCGCCGAATCTTTTTTTATCTGTTCCACCTGCTCCTGGCTCAGCTCCTGCCGACTCAGCTGCTCCCGCACTCCCGCGGTTTTTTCGCGGATCTCTCCCAGCGACCGCTCTGTCTGACCCTCCCGCGGTTCTCCTACCGATCTCGCGGCGTCGCTCGAGGAGCGCGGCGCGCTTGGTGGCCTCGCTTTTATTCTCGCGGGAATCGCCATCGACGATGTGCCGGAATTTCTCGACGTCGCGCCGCAGCGTTTTTTCCCGCTCCTGCAGCTAGAGGTGAGGCGATTCCCGCGGGGAGACCTCGGGAATCTCGCGTCCGACGGCCTCGAGCGCGCGAACTTCGTCGTCGACGTCTTGTTTTTGGTACTCTAATTGAGCGAAACGACCCTCCAGAGAGTCGGTTTCCTTCTCTAGCGAATCGAATAGAAGAATAGAATATTATTACGGAGCTCGGCTTTGATGTCGTCGATTACGGAGTCTTTCGAATCATCATCATTGCTCATGAAGAAGCGGTACGCTTGGCACATGTTCGCGTACAGCACGCTCTCGCTGGTTTTCTCGCGGTGTTGGCGAGCAGATTGCGTGGCTTCGCTGTACTGAAATTTAAAAAAAAAGAAAAAAAAGGAAACTTCCACGATTTGGGTCAGCCAGTTGATAGCTGCGAGGAAGGTCGGAGCGTAGAAGGGAGTGCCCAGACTGTTCATGAAGCTGCGTTTGAACGGGTAGTTGTAGCTGCGGGTGACGTGACCCCAATCAAAAAGGACCCGAGCATAGACATGATGCGAGGGAAATCGCCTTTCACGTTTTGATCGATTCGCAAGTTCGGATCGATGTGGCGAAGGATGAAACGAACGATCGACTCAAAATCGGAATCTTTTAGCTGGCGAAGCGTACTGGCGCTCACTTCTTGGTTGTAATTGTGGAATGACAAAAATTCGATGATATGCTTTATATTGGAACCCAAGTTCTCTTTATCCAAATTTCGTTGACCATTGAAACCTGCTGGATCAGGAATCGATGTCTTTCTACGAATTAGGCCCAACAAATTCAAATTCCTACCTTCTCTGCATTGAACCGGCCATCGACATGCGAAGCGATGTACTTGTGTTTTGACCACCATTTGGAGCCATCGATACGCGACTTGCCATACTCATCCGTCTTACAGGACTTCGAAGACTCATTCTTCTAGTATCATCCATCTACATCCAAAATTCCTTATTCAAACCAGCATACGATTTCGCAATCACACCAAATTTGGGTGATAATAAAGTAAAGTTAAGCAAAATAGTGCCAATTTTGTTAATTCCACAATTCGATTATATATTCAAAAATTTGAGTATTTCCTATCATTATTGTCTGTTTTGAAGAGTCAAGGTGAATGAAACTAAAAATCATACCAGACAATGATGTTTTTCAGGTACTACTTGTTTAAGGAATTGGTAAGGATAAGGATGTAATTCGAGGGAAAGTGTATGCAACAGGTTCCTTTTGTACGGCCAAGAAGGATGTCGCAGCAACAATCACTTTAGAGGTTGTGTTGATGCTCGACTCTCAGTTTTTGTCATTTTTTGAGTTGATTGATTAGCTCTGGGTTGTTTTCGAGAAGTCGGAATCTTTTGTACAGAAGAACTCTCTGTACCGTCCTTCATCCTGAAGAAGGTGTGCCTTTTGAGTTTGTTCTGAGTAATATTCAAAACAGCTTAACTGTATTATTATTCTTTTATGCACTCCTAATGCTTTCTAGAATAAAATGCCCGATAGTTATATAGGTCGTTATCTCAGAGTGGCCTACTACATTACGGCGAGGTGCTCTCCAGTATTTTGTGGTGGAAGAGCGAAACAAGTTGTGATGGTGAAGGCAGTTGTAGGGATTTTACCATTATTGCTTATTACTCACCTTATTTTTATATAGAGAGAATTAAATCCTTCTCCACTCGATTTCGTTCTCAACAAGAATGACATTAACGATTTTGATGGTTTGCTTTGTGCGAGCAACATCGACTTCATCCCAGAAATCCACGTGTCTTGTCATTTGGATTCTACAGTGATCAAGATAGGACATGGTGTCCGAGGCTGGATTAAAGTGGACCAATGCAACATGGAGATTCAGAATATATCAATAGGAATCATTCAGAACGAATTGATCAGTACGCTTTCGAATGATTAGCAACTCACTTTTAGAATACCTCACTCCCGTAATTGACCACCGTTGATTTTGCAGATTTCGTATTTAAAATGTAGAAATTTCTAGAGATACCGTCGAGATTGTGAGCGGTGATTGTCGTCGAAACCAGGAAATTCCGTTTTTGTTTTATCCGGACATTGCGGGCGCTTCCGGTGATTTTGACTGTAGTTTTGTGTCGCTGACGTTCTCTTTGTGTATTAAGGTGCTGTTCTATAACAAGTTTTACTGTATTAAATATGTTCCTATCCATTTTACTTGGTAAACTCCATGCTTTTAGTGTTGGGATGTTTGTGTAAATCATAATTTCGTTTTTCGGAGAGGAATTAAACGTAGTTCCTGCTTTGTCTCTCTTAGTTGAAGATTCGAAAACAAAATTGGAATGGTTTGGTGGAGGGTCCTTCCAGTCTGCATTTCCTTTTGTTTTTATGTATCCTCTGTATGTACGAAGGGACTCGACTTACTCTGTAGTGTGTGCCCCAGTTAAATCTGTGCTCCCGTGAAGGTTCGATGGAAGTACAAAAGTTGATCGAAAAGGTAGCATACTCTTTGCTGGTGTGTAACGGAATAGCACGTAATACCAGTTATTGAGTATTACGAGTACACTCTACCAGATAGTTGTCCTCTAAAATTGGAGAACTCATATTATTATTTGGAAGTTTGATTATGATGGTTCGGGGTGAATGGATAGAATCTTTACAAAGAACGGTTAGACAATGGACAATATCGTTGTAGCAAATGTGGGAAGAAATTTGTTCATGAATACTATTTACTTTTGCATTTTGAACGAAAACATCCGGAGTTTCATAACCCTGTTTGCTTTCTTGCCTATTCCTGATTTTCTAGTCACAAATCTGCTTAGATAAGTATATGAATGTGTTTGACAGCGTTTCGGGTAAAAAGCCCCCAGATTGTCGAAATGTGGATTATCAGCGAAGTTTTATTCAATGCCAAGTCGGTTCTTTTGAATTCATTGACCACACAGAAAGTGATGATGCGTTGCTTTCCCGCTGACGAGTCCGATTTTGAATCAGATCTCTACAGTGGCTTCTTTTCTTTTTTTTAATTGATTCGATGTAGAATACATGTTTCGGTCCCTTTGCTCGCCTATTTCGTGCCAAAAATCGGCAATTCAACCGAAGGAGGAATACGCTCCGATTACAGTGACAGCGATCGTGCTTCCGGTCGTTATTGTGGTGATAATCTTTATTATTCTTTCGATTTTTATGTACAGAAAGTAGGAGAGGGAGATGCGCCATGTTCAGGTTTAGTATCCCGAGAGAAGATTTACAGGTGTCTTGGAAGTTGGACTGAGCAGCCGTATCTTTAGAACTGTTTCATATTTGAATTCTGTTTGAGAACAAACATGATTAGGCGTCTTCTTTCTCGAGAGCCTTTAGCAGCTTTCCCTCGTCCCAAATGTTCTTTGACACAGTCTACGATTGATTCGCGCGATTCCTGCCCTTACATTCGTTACTTTCAATTCGCCAAACTTGGGGATGTACTTTTCGATCTACCAGTGAGCCTTCCACGGAAGCGAAGCAGCGCCTACCAGCTTTTCACTTTCGCTAATGTACTCCTTTGTAGCGTATTTCTCGGTCCACTCTCGAGCCGTCTTCAGGTACTTCTCATTGTCGTTGCAATAAACAACCGCAACTTCGTAATCCTGCATCTAAATCACAAAATTTACGTACCTGTGGATCTTCAGGAACAGCATCTGTTAGTAGCGACTGAATGGAGCGTAGGCACGTATCTAAATTCATTGCCGCGGTCCAACGATCTTTGAGAATGTCAAGACAAATAGCACCAGTCTAGATTGAATAGAATTAGGACAAAGTACTTTACTGCTAATATTTGGGTGGTACACCGGTGTCATAAACTTGACAACGGGAGGTTTAAATGGATATTCAGGGGAAAGATGTACGAAAAGTTTAAAATAACCGTGTTCAAAGGGCGAGTCGTCTGGTCCCCTGATAAATGCATAGAAACTTCGTTTACCATCAAACTTCCTGTAAATTCCAACCTCATCCTCTGGATCCTAAATGGAACTGGTAAGGTGAAGCTATTACTTTTGATAGCTTTTTTACTTCAACATCGATTCGCGTGTTAAAATTCATGACTCGGAGTAGAATAAAAATGCAGTTAGTGGGAACAAACAACTAACAAAACAGTGTTAGATAACAAAGTCGCCAAGCTATTATATGCGATCTTGTCTCCAGTGCGAATAACATTGGCTATAAAATTATATAAATTCTTCGCTATTGTCACGTACCTGCATCACAATTCAGCGGGCTTGACGCATCTGGATTGGACAAGAGTACCTGGATGGCTAGACAAACACTCTATTGATCACCTCCTCGTATTTTTTTACTTCGAGACTCCATGCAGGGCTCCAATTCGATTTGAGAATATCCAGGCAGACTTCTCCTGTCTTGAAGTGAATGTTGGGGTGGAAAATTTGAGTGAGGAATTTGGCTTTGGGGGGATGGAAAGGATAATCTTCAGGAATGCGCAGTAATACGTGGAATGTTTTGTTTCGGTACGGACTCTCCTCAGGTCCTTTGATGAAGCAATCCCACTCGAAGAGAGACAATTCGTTTGGCTTCATTTCAATTCCATTGATTTCGGTGTTTCGAATTCTCTCATACTCCTTTTGAATGCGTCGTACGTTGCTCATTGACAGAAACTCTTTACTATGCTAACGAATCACTTTTCTGGTTTGCTGAGAGTAGGAGAACAAAGGCGGAACAAACGAGCCTATGTATGATAACAACACAAAAAAGGTGTATATTTTTGTCAACCGAAAAGCGTATTACTTCCTATGCAGGGTAGAAATATAGTAATATTGATTGTGTCTATCCTGTTCGCCTCGTCGTTGTATTTGCTTGGCAGTTTGGAGTAATGTCTAGTCGAGCGTTTCTCGCAATCCAGAATGGATTCTATGAAACTCTAAATCATGACAACTATATGATTGTATTATTGTTATGGTGTTATTGAATCTAGGTCAAAAAGCTGCTTGATTCTGGGTCACTCAATATTGAATTGGTGAAAGCTAAGAAGATGAGTTTTGTAGAACCCTATTTGAGTGACTTGGAGGATGAAGTGATGATTGGGGAAACTACCCGTCCGGTATCGAGTCTGAAACATTTTGCAAAGAAGGTAATGCAGTTGATTAGCAATAAGCCCAAACCGATTCACGTTCAGTTTAAGGAGTTGAAAGCGGAAGCGCTGAGTCTCGAGAATGCATCTGCAAATGGCCAAAATTTGAGTTTAAGTCCGAGTCCAAATCCAAATCCCAATTTAATTTTATTGAAGCAAAGAGAATCCGATGAAAGTGCGTCCCAATCAAAATCAATCGAGGAAATAAAAATGGTTGTGATTGAAGAAAACAGAGAAACCAAAAAGGAGATAGAAGAAGAAGAAGAAAAAGAGAAGAGTCAGGAAGTGATGGGAGAAGAAAAGGAGAATGTAAAGGAAGAAGAAGAAGAAGAAGAAGAGGAAGGAAGTGAGAAGGATTTTGCCGAACAAAAAGATGGGCAGGAGGATGAAAAGAATGATTCAAAGGAAGAGCAAGAAAAGCAGGAAGAGGACGAGAAACAAAACGAAGAAAGCGAGGAAAGCGAAGAGCAGAAGGAAGACGAGGGCGAAGAGAAGGCTACGAATCAAGTCACTGTTTTGAACGAGGGAGTGGACGTGGAGAAGGTCAAAAAAGAGTTTGAAAGCACGTTGACCAAACAAAACCGAGAGAATCTCCCTCACATCCAAATCCTCAAAGTCTTTACCACCACTCCTTCGCCCACCACACAATTACCCACTACACAATTGCCCACCACACAATTACCTACCACACAATTATCCACCACCCCCAATCTCACGGTTTCCACGGTTTCCACCTCCCAATCCTACCCAAGTCCCTGGAAGAAGGGGAACAATAAATTCAAGGGCGTCCGCGTCAGACTGTTTGAAGGCACCCAGGAGCGTGCGTTCTCTCTCTTCGCCAATCGTAGTCCCCACCAACGCCCGCTTTTTTCTAGGCACTTTCTACGAAGGCACTTCGACGGAGGTCACCATCGTTTCCACCTCGACGTAGCCTCCGCTCTTCTTTCTAAACCAATAGGCCTCACCGTCTTTTCTATCTTCCCTACTTCGCAGAGCGTTGGCCGGGGTGGGTTTCTGTCTCTCTTGTTAGTTTCAGACTGTGCGTCATCGTTTTCTACTGCAAGCAAAGCGAAGTGCAGGCGGTGATCGACGAGTACCTGCGAATGAACCTCCCCGAGCGCTTCACGGTGATTTTTTACAGCTATTCACCGCTGAACCCCTTCGCGAAGGACTTCCCGATGAACCTGCTTCGCAACATCGGAATCTATGCGGTGCGAACCAGCCATTTCCTCATGCTGGACATGGACATCTGGGTCAATCGCGACTTCGCTCGCGAGATCCAGCGCATTCCTCCCTCGCTCCTCAACGATCCTTCCAATCTCTTCATTCTACCCATCATCTTCCTCAACAAAAAGCTCGTTCTCCCGCAATGCCGATCGCTCGCCTCCTGCGTCAACGTGTACGCTTTGTTTTTCCCCTCCAGCCAAGCTCTCTTCCCTTGATGCCCACCAGCAAGCCGCAAATCAGAAACTGTCTGCGCAAACACAGCTGCTTATTGACGAAGGCGGGCGCCAAGACGCACGTTCGCTCGTCCTGGGAGTGTGAGTTGTAGTTGTATCTCACCATGGATTGGTTCGCGATCCCGCCGTCGCAATCTGTCGTGAAGATCGGATGTTTCCAAATGCTGCAGCAGGAGCCGTGCGAGCAGGGAGCGGGGATGTGATGTAGATACTTCATTGTGCGATTAACGCCGAGCACGCCGCTGTATAACGAGCAATTCATGAATTATGGGTTTAACAAGATCCAGTACTTCGAGTATTGGAGACTGAGCGGAGCCCGGTTTTACTTGCTCACGCAGAGCTTTGGCGTGGATATTCCGCATTATAGGTAGAGGAGAGGGGAGGAGTTGAGGGTAGTTCGTCGAGACGAAAGGCGTACGTGATGATGTACAAGGGAAGTGGGTCGTCCACGATGGAGGTGCTGTACTGGAAGTACCAGAAGAAGTGGGCCAAGAAGTTTGCGAAAGTGAAGAAAGTGAATGTATGTAAAAAAGGAAGAAAGCAATACGCGTGACAGAATGAAAGCTGTTTTCATCAAACACGAAACACCCATATGGAGGGGATTAACATTTTAATACTCTAACCAGCAGGACGAATAGCCCGAATCGAAATTGCGCGATATCACTCTTTGAAGAAAACTGTCAACCTTAGAAGATAAACTGTCCGTCTCGGGTTTTTCACTGTAAGAAACCATTTCAAACGCCGGACAGATGGGGTAATCAAAGGCTGAGGTGGAAGAACTATCATCGGAACAGCTTTCCAATGATGAAAGGGATGCAACCGGAGAAGCAGACCTTGTTACTGAAGTGCAACCATGGGTAGAAGGATCCATCCTGATATCAACAGCACAAAATTTTCCAGAAGGGAATATCACCACTCGAAAAAACACCAAATCACCGACCTGTAAACTTCTGTTGAGCGACGGATCAACATCCATATAGTTGAAAGTGATATCGCGTATTCCATTAATTTTAGACCGAGAGCGTATGTAACCATAATCAGCTTTCAAAAATTGTACTTTCCCAGTGAATTGCTGTTGGGAACCATTGTCATAAAACTCCGTTTTACGTTTCCCACAATTTGATAACATTTTTTGAGAAAGCACATTTGCTTAAGTCACTGAAGATACTTCAGACGTAATCGGTCGGGAGTTTCATCGTCATACTCAAACATAACGATATATTACTCTCAGTCCAATTTTTCATTTTTCAAATTGTACGAATACTTTTTTTAACATGTCTCGCCATAGGCAGTTGTTGACCACCTTCTCCAGCTTTAATAGCACACTTATCCTAATACTAGTTGTGTCTTTTCTTTTTCATTATTCTAAAAACACCTGTCAATTCCTCTTTATCTCTCAAGTTTAAAATAATCAATAAAACATTCTATCTCCGATTCCACAAAAAGGCAAGTCCTTCACTCCTTCCTCAACGTCCTCCATACGAATTGCACTCCAATAATACGTAATCCGAATTATCTATTTGAAACTCCCGAATACAAGGAATGGTGTAGAATGGAGTGGTTTTCTCATCGAATTCGCTCGTTCTCCATCGAACTTCTTATAGAACCATGTCCTTTTCAAGAACTTCATTTATCATTTATTTTTTGTTTCAAAATTTAATGAGCTCGGAAGTATCTCCCGATAATACCAAAGAAGATAAAGAGAAGCAAGTGGAGGTAGAAGCAGTTTCGCCAAATAACGAGTCCACGGAGAAAAAACCGGCCCATGATTTCAAACGAACCGACTTTATGGCCAATGAGTCGGTTGGCAAGGTTATGTGGAAATTGACATATCCCTCGCTGATCGCCAAAGTGGTGTCGGCCATGTATGCCGTGTGCGATTCCGCGTTCATTGGTAAGCTTGCCGGAGAGACCGAGGCAGAGCGTCTTACCGCTCTGTCTGCAGTTTCGCTTGCAATGCCTTTGGAGCAAGGTATTATCCACAGCTTAGCAATGATGGTAAGCAATGGTGGATCAACCGTCTATGGACAAGCGGTGGGAGAGCACAATGTGGACAAGGGGAAAAGGGTGATCGGGAATACCTATTTCCTTGAGATTTGTGTGGCGATTCTATTGATTATTCTTGCTCCGCTCATTAACAGACCCTTGCTCATCCTGTTGAAGGCAAGCGAGGAAGCGAACACTCTTCCTTTGGGTCTGGACTACGTCAACACTTTGTTTTATGGTAGTATTTGTTACTGTATGTCGATGGCATCCGCTGATTTGATTCGTGGTCAGGGATCGGCCATCCTGTCTTGTATCGTATCGATCGTATCTGCATTGTGCAATATCATCGGCGATCCAATTTACATCAAAGTGTGTGGCCTGGGAGTTATGGGCGCTGCTCTTTCGACGGTCCTTGCCAACCTTGTGAGTTCAGTGATCGGAGTGTCGATCATGTGCAGCAAGAAGGCGGTGGTTCGGTTTGGAATTGCCGATATGAAGCCGTCGTGTGAAATGGACAAGAACATCATGGTGACTGGAATGTCTGGACTGGTGTCAGGCTTCGCGGGCGCGTTTGTGACGATCATCAGCAATTTGTTGGTGATGCATTACTCGAAATACCCTGCAGAGAGCATTGAAACGAAGGCCGTTTTGAGTGCCTGGGGCTCGATGAGCAAAGTGTACTTTGTGAGCTTCATGCCCTTGATCGCGTTGGCGCAAGGCGTTCTTCCCTTGCTAGCCTACTCGTTTGGTGCGAAGCTGCACTCCCGCTTCATGCATTGCTCGAAGATCATGTTCGTCTGGGAAATCGGCATCACGATCGTTCTGGAAGTGCTCATTCTGATCTTCACTCCCTCTATCGCCAAGATTTTCTCAAACGAGGAGCACTTCCTGGAGTTCTTCATCCCGGCCATGCGAATTATGGTGAGTGGCGTGTTTTTGCAGCCTCTCGTGATGTCGCTGTTCCCTATGCTCCAGTCCGTGGGGAAGGGAGGTTTGGGTGGAATGTTGCTCGCCATGAAAACGTGCTTCATCCCGCTTGTTTTGCAGCTGGCTATGAGTTGGATGGTTGGCGATTACTGGGGCGCGGTGTACGCGTATCCGGTAACGGAAGTGGTGAGCGCGCTGCTGGCTGTGTTGTTCTTTGTGAAGAATCGTCATTTATTTGAAGGTTCCCAGGAACTCCCTGTAGTTTCAAAAGAATAAGCTTGCTATATTCTTATGTTGATGGCTTGTTTGTTTCTCAAACACTCCAACCATTGTAATGAACCCGCTTATTGGATTCTTCCCATCGTTGCATCACGCGTCGATCCCTCGATTCCAACTCTCTCCTTCTCTTCTCCACTCGCATTTGTTCAAAGCACTTCTCCTTAATTCCTCGAAACAAATCCTTTCTCTCCTCTTTCAGCTTTGCGATTTCCATCCACAATTGTGCGCATTCCGCATTCTTCTTCTCCTCCTCCTCCTCCTTGGGTTGTATATTCATTTCCTCCTCCTTCTTCGGTTGTATATTCGTTTCCTCCTCCTCCTCTTCTTCTTCTTCTTCTTCTTCTTCAGTATCATCGCGAAGTAATCCCAACTTGGCCAATTCTTCCATCAAAAACGGCTCCACTGCCTTCGATTGCGCGCGATTTTTCTCTTCCTCCACTCTCCACATCGCGTCCTTCTCCCACTCACCCTCCAATCCACTCACTCCCATTTCCACAGGATTCGACAGAGGCACGAGACACGACAGCAGTCGATCGACCACCGTTTCATTTGTCGAATTCGGTAAAGAATTGCTGAGGGAATCAAGTTGGAGATCGGAGCCAACCATCAATTCGATGTGTGATGGCGTCAATGGTTTGAAATAAAGCGACACCTCGTTCCACAACGTTGAGCAATTCTCGATGACGAGAGGGGAAATGGGGATCAGCGAACGGCTCGCTATTTGCACCGGCTTCGCCGAAGAACTCGTGGAAACGATGGGGGTAATGGCGTTGCGAGTACGCCCTCGCTCTACACATCAGCGTGGGCAATCGATCAGAAAAGTACTGCGGATCGCTATGGGCTTCTCAGGTGGTTGAGAAGGACCCGCGTTTGAGTTTGAAACGGAATCATCGTCCGATGAATTCGCTAGGAAGCTATCTCTTCTGATGATTTGGAAAGAGATGCGGTTTGTTTGAGGAAATGTGGATGGAGAAAGGTCATAGAGCTTGCACTGCGGGATTACAAAAGATTCACAAGCATTACAGAGTCCGCGATCTTGTTGAGTCTGTTCAAGTCCTTTGTATCGCGCTGTTTGCGCAACTTCAACTGCTCCTCAAACTCTTGAAACACGTCCAAGTTGTTTTTCAGCCGCTCTTTCCTCAATTTTATATCACTTATAAAATTCTGCACGTTATTTCGTTCTAAAAATTCAAACGCTGAGGAATAGACGCGCTTGCTTGTAACTGGACACATCTCCTTTATTTTTTATTTTGGCAAGTTCCCTCAGACCCACAAAATACCCCACATTCGGAGGGACGAGCGGAAGGATCTTTTCTAGCGGAAATCGCTTGTCCCCTTTCTTTTTCTTCCCCTTTCCCTTCTTTTCATCGTTTGGACTTTCCATCCAATCCTGAAAAACAAGATTTTTAGAATTCCACAATTCATGCCTATTTCGTAGAAAGCAACACTCTCCTCTTACCCTCCTTTCTGGATGCCTAGAAAAAGTCATCTTGTAAAAGAAATCGTTACAGAGCAGAACACACCTCGGTTTGGAGCGGTTTTGGGTGGTGACGTATAGTCCCAAGAAGATTAGTGCTATTCAGTACAGCGTCTTCAGTGGACGTGATATGAACCGGGAGTCCGTGGTAGAAGTGTGTGCAACGTAGATTGCGTCGGGAGTGCATCATTTCAAGAGATATATTTTGCCAACAGAGCCGCGATCCAATGCCAAACGGTGTGCTGGATCGACGTCTCGGCGTCTCCTCAAAATCCGAGATTTGCCAGACTTGTGGGAAGAATATCGCTACTTGTCCTGGACACTTCGGAACCATTCACTTAGTAATGCCAGTGTTTCACATTGGTTACATCAACATGATCATTGGTATTTTGCGTTCGATCTGCAAGGTTGTGATTCCTCTCCCTCCTGACCGCTAGAAATGCGGTCGTTGCCTGCTGAGCTACGAAGATCGCGAACATTACCTCCGCAAGTTCCTCAATCCGTACACGGACGTTCTGCACAAGCGTCAATACAACAAACAAGTCATCGATCTGTGTCGAAAGGTCTACGAATGCCCCTACTGGTAGGCTCTTTCTTTCTTGGTCTGTGCGTCTAACGAGCAGCCACGCGGTGAACGGCGAAGTGAAGAAAATCCCGGGCACGGCTTCGATCCGCATCGTGGTTTCGGTTGTTGTCTCTGACCGATAGGAGCACATCCTGCCTCCGAACAAGCTGACGGAAGAGGAGCAGCGCGCGATCCACGACTCCTTCGCCTCGGCGTGCAAATACAACGCCGATCTCCACTCCTACATCGACCGCGCCCACGTATTTCTTCTACCTCCTCCCTTTTTCTCACGCCCAGGAAGACCTCACCGCGCAAGTCGTGCTGGATCTCTTCAAGCTGATCCCCTCTGAGGACCTGCCGCTGCTCTGGATCAACGAGCTCTCCGGCCGGCCCGAGAACCTCCTTCTCACCGACATCATCGTCCCGCCGGTCACGATCCGTCCCTCCGTCGTGATGGAGAGCACCAACGGGAGCAACGAGGACGACATCACGATGATTCTGCAGGACATCACGCGCACCAACTCCCAGCTGCAGCAGTCCATCAACAACGGCGCCAGCATGCGCATCATCATGGACAACTGGGACCATCTCCAGATCCTCTGCGCCGAGCTCATCAACGGCGACCTCCCGGGCATCTCCACGCTCGTCAAGTCCGCCGTGCCCAAGCGCTCGCTCGTCCAGCGCCTCAAGGGCAAGCAGGGCCGCTTCCGCGGCAATCTCTCGGGAAAGAGAGTGGAGTTCTCGGGGCGCACGGTGATCTCTCCGGACCCGAATCTGTCGATCGAGGAGGTCGGCGTCCCGATCTTTGTGGCGATGAAGCTCACCTACCCCGAGCGCGTGACGGCGTTCAACATCGAGAGACTGCGCGGAATGGTGCGGAACGGCGCGAGCCGCTACCCGGGAGCGAACATGATCCGACCGGGCAACAGCCGAGCGATCTCGCTGATGTACGGCGATCGCGAGCGAGCGGCGCAGAATCTGCAGATCGGAGACATCGTCGAGAGACACTTGATCGATGGCGATGTTTCGCTGTTCAATCGGCAGCCGTCGCTGCACCGCATGTCCATCATGTCGCACCGCGTGAAGGTGCTTCCGTGGAAGACCTTCCGCTTCAACGAGTGCGACTGCTCTCCGTACAACGCGGATTTCGACGGGGACGAGATGAACATCCACATCCCCCAGACCGAAGAGGCGCGGATTGAAGCGCGCGAATTGATGGGCATCAAGCACAACATCGTGAATCCGCGCTCCGGCGAGCCGCTCATCACCGCCACGCAGGACTTCATCACGGGAGCCTTCGTCCTCACGCAGCGCGACGTGTTTTTGTCCCGCCTGGACTTCTGCAGACTGGTCGCGTTTCTCTCCGACGCGCAGGAAACCGTCGAGATCCCGACGCCCGCCGTGCTGAAGCCGGCCATGCTGTGGACGGGCAAGCAGGTCTTCTCGATGCTGCTGAAGCCCAACCCGCAGGAGGGCGTGGTTCTGTCGCTGGAGATGAAGGCGAAGAACTTCCAGATGTCCAAAGTCGACTCGAACTTGTGGATGTGTCCGCAGGACGGGTACGTCGTGATCCAAAACAGCGAGCTGCTCTGCGGAAACATCGATAAGAACTGCGTAGGAGGGAACAAGAAGGGCCTCGTGTGCGTGCTGATCCGCGACTTCACGCCGGAAGACACGGTGAAAGCGCTGGGACGGCTCACGAAGCTGACGTCGCGGTTTTTGATGGATTACGGGTTCACGATCGGTCTGGACGACGTGTCTCCCGACGAGCGTCTGCTGCAGCAGATGCACGAGATCGTGGCGAAGAACTACGCGAAGGTGGACGAGACGATCCACCAGTACAACAGCGGGAAGCTCGCGCTGCGACCCGGATGCAACGCGGAGCAGACGCTGGAGAGCATCTGCTCGGGTTTGCTATCAGACATTCGCGACACGATCGGCAAGATGTGCATGACCAACCTCCCCAAGACCAACTACCCGCTCATCATGGCCACGTGCGGATCCAAGGGCTCCGCCATCAACATCTGCCAGATGATTTACTGCGTCGGACAGCAGGTCGTGTCCGGAAACCGCATCCCCGATGGGTTCATTCAGCGGTCGCTGCCGCACTTCCTGCCCAACGCGAAGGAGCCCAACGCGAAGGGCTTCGTCGCCAACAGCTTCTACTCCGGACTCACCCCCATGGAGTTCTTCTTCCACACCATGGGCGGCCGCGAGGGACTCGTCGATTCCGCCGTGAAAACCGCGGATACCGGGTATATGCAGCGTCGTCTGATGAAGGCGCTGGAGGATTTGTGCATCAGCTACGACAACACAGGTGGGCTTTTTTTTTCTTGAAGGGAGTAAAACGCAGTGCGAACCGCGGATAACGAGATCGTCCAGCTGGTCTACGGAGACGACAGTCTCAACGCGGTAGTTTCCACGTTTCTACGTTTAGAATAGAGCTTCATGGAGGCGAATAACGGTCCGGTGGACTTCGAGCGCACGTGGTCCGTCGTGCAGCTTCTCTACCCCCACGCGCAGCACGTGCAGAATTCGGTGAAGAATTCGGTGCAGAATTCTGAAACGAACTCATCGAATTCTGAAACGAGTCCATCAAATTCTGAAACGAACTCGTCGAATTCTTCGTCGAATTCTTCGTCGAATTCCGCGTCGAACGACGAGGATTCGGTGCTGCTGCCGTGCGACATTCTGGAAGTGGCCGAGACCCTGCTGAACCACCCGCGGTTTTTATCGATGTGCGGCGGCAGCGTGCACGGGCAGAAGTTCCTCGACGAGATCGCGCAGTTCTGCCGCACCATCGCGGCGCGCGCGTCGCTGGAGCGCGTGCTGCTGGGTCTGGACGATGGGTACCACTACCTGGGCAACGCCCCGTCGGCTCGGCGGTTCCCGATCGACCGCGCGCCGCTGTCCATGCGGCGGTCGAAGCAGCTGGCGTTCTGCCACGTGACGCGGCGGCAGCTGTCGCACTTCTTCGACGTGGTGTACGCGAAGTACCGCCGGTCGATCGTGGAGCCCGGCGAGGCGGTAGGCGCGATCTCCGGACAGTCTTTCGGCGAGCCGGCGACGCAGATGACGCTGAAGACGTTCCACTTCGCGGGCGTGGCGTCGATGGACATCACGCAGGGAGTGCCGCGTATCAAAGAGATCATCAACGCGGTGCCGTCGATCTCCACGCCCATCATCACCGTGGAGCTGCTGAACAACCAGGACGAGATCAGCGCGCGCGTCTGCAAGGGCCGCTTGGAGCGCACGCTGCTCGGCGAGGTCGCCGCGTTCATCAAGGAGGTCTACACGCCCGAGATGTGCTTCCTCGACGTCCAGCTCGACATGGAGGCCATCCACAAGCTCTATCTTCCCGTACTCTCTCTTCTCTCCGCCTTCTCTCTCTCTAGATCACGCCCGACTCCGTCCGCAGAGCCATCATTCAGAGCAAACTCAAGCTCAAACTCAAAGACGAGCACGTGACCATCAGCGGAAAATCAGGACTCCGCATTATCCCGCCGCCCCCCGTGATTACCGCCGCCAAACGTTTCGACCCTGCCTCTCTTTCACTCGCAGCCAACCGGAACCGCGGGGACGACCAGTATTTCACGCTGCAGCGGCTGAAGGAGATGCTTCCCGCGGTTATCGTGAACGGAATTCCGACGGTGCATCGCGCGGTGCTGAACAAGGTGGAGAAGCCGACGGCGCACATGAATTTGCTGATCGACGGCACGGGATTGCTGCAAGTGATGGGGACTGTGGGAGTGGACCACACGAAGACGGTGACGAATCATGTACTCGAGATTAACAGCGTGCTGGGAATCGAGGCGGCGCGCACGGTACTGATTCAGGAAGTGTCGAACACGTGAGATTGATCGGGTTTTGCGAGTGTAGATATGGGTCGTACGGATTGTCGATCGACATTCGCCATCAGATGCTGCTGGCGGATTGCATGACGTAGGAGAGCGGAAAGAGGGTGAATGGCAGGTTTAAAGGACAAGTGCTGGGAATGACGCGGTTCGGAATCGAGAAGATGAAGGAGTCGGTGATGACGCTGGCGTCTTTCGAGAAAACGGCGGATCATTTGTTTGACGCTGCGTTGCACGGACGCAGAGATAATATTATCGGCGTGAGCGATCGCGTGATTATGGGAATTCCGATTCTCGTGGGCACTGGCGTCTTTTCGATCATCTACAAACCTACAAACTATGGAGTGGTGCCTCCGATGAAAAAAACGTATCTTTGCGCTGTTTGTTCCAAACTTTTTCTCATGCTCTCCTCTACCGGAAGACTTCTCTCCCGCGTGTCCCAAGTCCTGGCTCCCGCCTTCACTCGCTCCGTTTCGGGTTGAATTGCACGCTCGTTTTCATCATGTAGTGTCGTTTCGGATTAAGTCCTTCGTCGATGAATTCACTACCGAAGAGGTGGATGTAGAAGCGGAGGAAGGACGTACCATCCTTGATGTGGCTCAGGAGTACGGCGCAAGCATTAACTGTACGTGATTTGGAGCTTTGCTGTGATGTTTCAGCCTTCTGTGGCGGCAATTGTCATTGTGGAGGGTGCCATATCAAGCTCGCGCAGGCAGTATCGGACTTACTGCCGAGACCTAGTGAGAAGGAGGCCGAAGTACTGAAGAAATGCGTCGACGTGGATGAAAGGTAAGGTCGAATTTGTGGCTCAATGCGCAGCTCTCGCCTCGCTTGCCAGACGAAGGTGAACAAATGTATGGAAGGAAGGGTGATCATTGTTCCTTTGGCCATTTGAATTGTTTGTTGGAAAGGCGATTTCCTGAGCTTGTGTCGTAGTGTTTATTTTGCATGTGTCGTAGTGTTTCTGCAGATGACACTCGGGAACGACCTCTGTCTCGTAGAATAGAGTAGGGTAGCAATGCAAAATCACTTTTATTCACAGTATATGTCAAATTGCGAATGTTCTCGCATGAAAGAAGCATTTGGGGCTACTCGCGGTTATTCCGTTTGTGTTTGTTAGATATAAAAATAGTGGACCTGGCGTTCCATTCTTTCGTATTGAGAAGAATCTATCGCCTTTCGTGATTTAGAGACTCTACTTAATCGCATTTTTTCTAGTTTGTTTTCAATGGATCAGCAAGATAAGATTTCTGCTTCTGAAATGCTAAGTAGTAAAGAGTACGTAGGTCTAATCCGCAGAGGATAGTTCGCTCTATCTCCCCATTTCCACAAGACCTGGAGACGAGATATTCAGCGACTTTCAAAGCGTTGAAGAGGTGGTCAGTCCGATCGATAGAGATCCCTATTCTTCCGCTCAGCCGCAATCCATCCATATTACGCATCACTCGCTTTTACCTGATAATTACATGATGGGAGACGACACTCTTTCTGGTTTCCGTGACGATCCCTACTCTGTGCGCGACTTTCCCCCGGACTCCTCATTTCCTCGTTTTCCCTCTTGGCTTCCTCCCAGCGCGGCGCACCCTCCCTTTTCTCCTTCCGATCCTTACTCTCCGGACTACCCTGACTCCTACCGCCTCCCCTACTACTCTCCCGGCCACACTCGCCATCGCACATTAGGCGATGGCCTTCCTACCTACACCGACGCTTTCCATCTCACCAGCGAGCCGCCGCTTCCTCCGGACTCCGACCTCCGCCCCTTCCTCGCCTCGCCTCCGCCCTTCCGCGACCCGCGTCCCACGCATTTCCGCTTCAATTCCTCGCCCGCATTCCCCGCGGGAACCGTTGGACCCCTCCCCGCGGGACCCTCCGCTCCCTCTGGAACCGCGGGAAATTACCGAAACCGTCCGGGCTCACGGGGGCTGCACTCGCGCCACGCCTCGGAAAGCACGCTTCCCCGCGGTTCTCGGCTGCCTTCCCGGTCCCCCGAAGACACCCCGCGGGAATTGCGAGACCCGCGGGAATGGCCGGTCCGGTCGGAGGAGGTGCGGTCTCCCGCGGGGAATGCGTCGAAGCCGGCGAAGGAGCCGAGCCCCGTTCCGACGAAACTCCCGTACGAATGCCGCGATTTTCGGAGCGGGAAGTGTACCCGCGGGGAGAACTGCAAGTTCATGCACGTGCAGGATCGCGGTTCCCCGCGGGGCGGATTTGAGTCGAAGCCGGTAGGGGTTTTCCGCGGTTGTGAGGTAGAAAAGCACGCAGCTGTGCCGCGATTATCTGCGCGGAGTGTGCCAGCGAAAGAACTGCAAGTTCGTGCACGCGCGCCCCGAAGGGTTTCCCCGGTTCCCCGATGTGAGCGGGAGCGCGCAGTTCGGCCCGTCGCTTCGCCCCGCGTTCGGAGAACTGGAGGGCTACGCGTATTACCCCCATGGCAATTATGCCCCCTATCTGGGTAGGCGAAGGAGCGGCGTTGCATCTAGACGAGGTCGTGGAGTACGTCGAGGAGCCTGCGCAGACCGTCCTGGGTCCTTCTCCGATGGGCCAGCCGATGGGTGTTGCAATGGGTCAACCGATGGGTCAACCGATGGGGGTTGGAATGGGTCCTTCTGCAATGGGCTCTGCAATGGGCTCTGCAATGGGCTCTGCAATGGGTCCTTCAATAGGTCAACCAATGGGCCAGCCGATGGGTCCTTCTGCGATGAATCAACCGATGAATCAGCCGATGGGTCCTTCTGCGATGGGTCCTTCTGCGATGGGTCCTGGCGGGTACTCTGTGTCCTTCATGCCCTACCGGGCTGGCGGCGCGATGCCCTCCATGGCTCCGCCGATGGGGCCTTCTGCGATGAACCCTTCTGCGATGGGCCCTGGCGGGCTCTACGGGTCCACGGCGTCGCTGCGCACCGCGGGCGGCGGGTCTTTTAGCGGGGAGGGCAGCGAGGCGGACGTGCAGAGCACGCATAGCATGAATAGCGATGAAGCGTCCTCTCCGTAGGGAGAGACAGTGTTTGGCAACTTCTCTTTGCTCCGTCTTTGTTCAACAAACACGCCACCACCAGCTCAGCACGCTTCGCACGCTCGACAGCAGCCAGTTCGCGCGCCGATCCTTCCGCTCCTTCTTCGCCTTCGCCAGCCGCTTCGCCTCCAGTTTGCTCTCGATCGACGCGAACCCGTACGTCGCCAGCGCGTCCCGACCCGGCTCCGCGGGGTTGTATAAATCGTCCACGAAGCCGTCGTCCGCCTCGATCAGCGTCGAAGTCGCGTCATCCTCCTGGAAGAGATTGCTGCAATCACAGGGCACGGACAACTCTACCAGAGCGAAGTGTGGATCATTTCCTTGCGAGACTCGCCTTTGATTTCGCGCACGTTCACGATTACGCTCTTGTTCACCTTGTCGAACGTAATCGACACCACGCCTTCGATACCCAAAATGGTTCGCTGAATATTCTCACACACCACCGGATCGTCGATTCCGATGATCTAGCCTCTTACTATCAAGACCAGAACCTACATCGTAGCGGTAATACCTGTTTTCGGTTCTCTTTTGATTGTACAAGTCGATATGCACACGACTCATCGCTTGCTGGTTCAAACTCACTTTAAAGTACTTTTTCACGTTTGTAAAGATCTCCGACACGTAACTCTTCTCCTTCTCACCTCCACTGTGTTCTAGACGTGTCTAGCATTTATGCACTCTCAATCAATGTACTAGAGCCGCAGTCAACTTGTCATTATCGGCTAGTGTCCGTTTAAAATGGTTATTGCGCGAAATATATACGAGAATAGACAATGCATCCATCCGAATGCTACTATCATCCATTCCAAGAGCAAGTATTATATTATCCATAAAATCTATGCTCATTAGTCGTTCGACACATATTCGTACAAGGCATATTCATTAGACTCTCATGATAGTCACAATCCGCTGCTAAGAGAACCAATGAGTGAATCGTGCTATTGATATTCACAATATCGTCATCATCCATTGTATACTCGGTTTCTAGTTCTGGAAAATGCAGATTCTAATTAAGAAAAAGACTTTGAGGATGGCCGCTACAGCAACGTTATTCCCGCGATCATGCTTCAGTTGATGTTTTTATTTCCTTGTGAGCCGAAATGAAACTGAAATGGTAAAAAAAATATAGAGTATAATAGTAGGATCAGACTATGAGGTTATAGCAAAATAAGCAGATTGGAGAGAATAGCCACACAATGCTTATCATTCAGGAATCTGCTTTTCTCTACTCTACTCCACACTCATTCATCCTTTCTCATTTCTTCAACAAAACAAAGCCACATAACCATTCCTTAATCAATTATAAAGATTCTTGGTAAAACTAATAGTAGACAACAAAAGTACAGAACAAGTGAACTAAAGAGAATTGAGGATCGTGTTGCTTATCGTTATTATCTTGTTAGCATCACCGCTGTTCACCCATACCTGCAGGTCATACCATCCCCTCTCACTTACAAAACCATTCAAACCAATCGCACACTCGTAAGGAATTTGAGAGCCAATCGTTTGCAGAATATCGCATCCCGGGTCCAGTAATCTATATCGTCATAACAATAATCCAAAAAGCACTGTCGAGCTTGTGTAACGGAAATCTTAAAGACATAGCCATCTTTCAATTCGCCAAACAGAGAAGCTCCGTTCACCCATTCCGATCGAGGACCATTCGCGACTGTGCAAGTGAGTTGCGCAGCCATTCCAGGAAGTGCCTGCAGCACTCGACAGTACACGAGACAGCCAGGCTAAATGTAATCAGCGAGCGGCAGAGCAGCCTACTTTCAACATGGGTTTGTTTCGCTTTGTTGCTCCTTCGAATGCGACATGATTCAGTCGCGCTGTGAACGCTGCGTTAATATCCACTTCATACTCTTCACTAAATCGGTCGGTAATCACTCCGATCACGCAATCGTCCTTTTGAGGTGTATAAACTATTCGTAATCACACGGATGTTCAATATACAGCGCATAGTGAATAATAATGAATCTTGAAAAACGATCGCGGTTTAGATGGGCCTTCATTCTTTATACCTACAAATTCCGATTCCAAACCGGTCTCAAGTTTTTCATCCAGAACTCCCAGAATTATTCTTGTTTCATCGAGTGTACTGAATCATGGGTCGTATGTATGGAAAAGGGTAAGTTGCACTGGGTTGGTGTCGGCAAAACACTCATGTTTGTGTAGAAAGGGTATTTCGGCTTCTTGCCTGCCCTACAAGAGAACTGCTCCTTCCTGGTGCAAATCTACTGCTGAGGAGGTTGAGGCTTCCGTCTGCCGTTTGGCTAAGAAGGGACTCACTCCCTCTCAGATTGGTGTGATGCTGAGAGATCAGAAGGGTATTGGTCAGGTGAAGGCCGTGACCGGCTCTAAGATTCTCAGAATCCTGAAGAAGAACGGTAAGGTTTCGGCTTTCCGCTCTTGACGCCATAGGACTGGCCCCTTCTCTGCCTGAGGATATGTACTTCCTCATCAAGAAGGCTGTCGCCATCAGAAAGCACCTGGAGCGCAACCGAAAGGACCGCGACTCCAAGTTCCGTCTGATTCTGATCGAGAGCCGTATTCACCGTCTTACTCGTTACTACAAGCGTACTGAGCAGCTTCCTCCCACCTGGAAGTAGTAGGTGTTGAACGAAATGCTTCACGTGTAGCAACTCTGCCACCGCTTCCACTCTGGTCGCTTAAACAGATAGATTGGTGAAACAAGATTTCGATTGTTTGTTGTAGCACATTCGTTATTTTGCTTTGCTTTGCCACTCTCAATATGAGACTCTCTCTTTCCATTCAGGAAGTGTGAGTACAACAAACAAAGACTACAGAATGTGTATGCTACAGCCGTAACACTCAGCCTACCCTTGGATTTCGCTCTCTACATGGGACAGTCGCGAGCCTTGTGACCCGACTGACCGCACTTGTGGCAAACCGTCTCATTCGGGCAATCACGAGCAAAATGGCCAGGCTGATTGCAGTTTCTGCAGACAGCCTGGTTCGTGCAGTCGCGGGCAATGTGGCCAGGCTGGCGGCAGTTACGGCAAACAACCTCATTCGGGCAATCGCGAGCAAAGTGACCCTCCTTGTTGCAGTTACGGCAAATGATCGTCTTCGCCGCTCTTCCAGTCGGACGGCTGGTTCTTAGAATAACAAAACACAACCCATGCAAACCTCTCCTCAGGGCAGTCAGCAGCAATGTGACCAGGCTTGCCGCAGTTGTAGCAGACAGACTCGGTATTCTCGCCATTCTGATTGGGGCAATCACGAGCAACGTGACCAAACCCTCCGCAGACATAGCATTTCTTGCCAGCTCCAGGCTTCTGCTGGCTTCCTACACAGTCAAACGAAACGATCAAACGTACTATTGGGGCAATCACGAGCCTTATGCCCACTCTGTCCACAAACGTAACACTCCATCTCCTAGAGCGTGAACGGGGCGAACAATACTTACCACGATCAATTCCTTTAACCTAAACTATGTGTGGTAGGGAAATCACTGCAGAATTTGAGTTGCCACATTATACTTGTTTTTACTATGGGAGTTTCAGTTGTGGGGTTTGCTCAATAGTGCTTTAGATAGGTCACTTTTGGGAAGCGGAATTCGAGACAACTTGTCCGAGTGGTTAAGGAGACAGACTAGAAATCTGTTGGGCTTTGCCCGCGCAGGTTCGAATCCTGCAGTTGTCGTTTTTTCTTCTTATTTTTGATTTACATTTTTTGAATTTTACGAAAGATTGACGCATCAAGGAATGACTAATATGATTTAGTAGTAGTAGTAGTAGTAGTAGTAGTGTTGGTCATGTCAAATGATTTGTGTTTTTGCACACTACTTACACTGAAGTTCATTGCTGATATCTACAACAATAGTGGACATAGAATAGTGCTGACGAGAACAACAGTCAACCTTGCCAATTGCTTACTACCAACAAACAATGCACTCAATCTTCTTCGTAACGTGGAATACACGGATTCCCAAGCGGCGCTTAATCTGATCCACCGTCACAAACAAGAAGACGATGTAATAGAACATGAAAAATCCGAAGCATGCAAACAACATCGCCGATTCGTTGATGAGTCCAATGAAGTGGTTCAACGTAAGCAAAATCAGCGAATACATCGGCGAGAAGTGATAGCCGAGTCGTCGTCTGCACAGGTGCGCTAAATTCACTCGAATGGACAGGAACGAATAGGTCAGTCCACAGAAAACTACAAAAAACCGCGGAAACACAGCCTACGCAGCAGATAAATGGGATGTTCCGCCGTGAGGGACGATGTGAGCATCACGTAGGTGCAAACCGAAATGGTTCTACGCGTCAACCCTCATCCAAAGAGGCACAGAGAGGGAATTAAGCGGCTGAGATAGGACAGTCTGTCCATGTTTTTGTTTCCACGTTTCTCCATTGGGATGGGGCAGGCGCGCACGAAGTAGATGAGCAAGTAGAAGAAGCAGATGGATCCGACGAGAGTGAGGAGGCAGATGTCAAGGAAGCGAGGGATTTGAAGGGAAGAAACAAATCGCTCGAGGAAGGGGAGATACGGCACAACATCGATGCTCCAGGCTTTGGATCCCTTCAGGCCGGTAAGCAGAAGGAATGCAGAAACCAGAATCATGGTCTCAGTCACACCAAAGAACTTGCTGCCCGCAAGGAGAATGTTGCTTTGGTACTCAACGAGCTGTGCGCAGACAAATACAGAGTACAAAACTGACAGAGTGAGGGCGGTTAGTGGGCCAACTCCAAAACCTGCGGCGGAGCAACTGCAGATGATGATGAACAGAAGGTTCACAGCATCACAGCCATGGTCGAAAATCTGGCCCAAAGGAGAAGAGGCACTCAAACGACGAGCTTGCTTTCCATCGGCTGCATCAAGCACAGCATACACTTGGAGACAGATTGCAGCGTTGATGTAGACCCATCCAGGAGCATTTCCAAGGAGATAGGGATCGTACAGCAACACCAGCATAGCCGCAGATATATTAACAATCAAACCAGTGAGAGTGATCAAATTTGGAGCAAACCACGCTGGAAAAGCGTAGGCTACTTTGTACCAAAAGGGATTCAGCAGATTATCCACAAAGGTGTATTCTCCTCCATGATACTCATAATTTTCCAAGTTGGTGAGATCCTCTTTCGTGAGGAACGTTATTTGCTGTTGGTTCATTGGATGGATAAAAAGAATATGCGTTTGTACAGACTGCGCTGATTTGTTAATTTAATGAAATGTGTCAGCACGTTTTGCGAGTGGTGAGAAAATCGATAATGGAAACTAATTGGGTTCTAGCCCTGGGATTGTGTTCTCCTTGGTTTCGTACCAGATCCAGTTTTCGATACTCTTTTTTATACTCTTAAGCCTTCTCGTTTTCACACTTTGAAATTCATCCATCTCCTCTATCACATTGATTGATTTGTGTGGAATACAAAAGATGGATTTTGAGGTACAAAGTACCTGTTCTTGTGTTTTCGATGTGAAATGAATGAACTGGATACAAGAGTGATTTCTGCACCTTGAGTCTTACCAATTTGCATCCAATAGAATAGACGTCGAATGCGAAATCGGCAAAGCTTGGATGCTGTGCACGCAACCAACACACTATTACGCCATGCATCTCCTTTGTTCCACAAACAGCCCATTTATACAACAAAAACAGTATTAGTAACGAAAATGACAATGCAAACGGGAAATAACAGCAACAGCAACACTCTTTAACTCAGATATCCCATTTCCCTTCGAATCTGCTCTCGCAGATCTTCCATGTGCTGGAGCAAACCATCCGTGACCTCCGACGGCACGCACACGCGCGTATCCTTTAATCGCTCCTCCCATTGCTCACACCTCTGATCATTCCCATTCATGCGTTTATAATTCTCCAGCAACTCCGCCGTGTCGAGATAAATGAGTTTATGTCGCTGCATGAGACTTCCGTCGCGCTGCCATACACCGACTTTATTCCTCAGCTCTTCGAGCAGATCGTCATCCAGCACGACTTTTCCATACACCGTGCACCGCATCTCCTTCTGGCCCAGCTGATGATACGACAAGTCCACGCACCCTGCCTCGTCCACCTTCACTTTCACCACGATCTGCGCGCGGCCATTGCTCCCCAGCGTCAGTCCCGACGCCTTCAGCAGCCCCAGCTCGTGATTCTTCGTGCATTCCAGCAGGTTCGAGCCCTGATAGAGCTGCGTCTCGATGACCGTCGGCGACCCCGCGTTGGCCTGGAACATCTTCTCGCCGACGTAGGGCAGCGCCGTGTTCTTGGGGATGATCACGCTCATCTTGCCGCTCCGCACCTCCACGCCGATGTCCAGCGGCAGCACCGCCTTCACGAACGGCGGAGGCGGGTTGATGGGCGGCAGCGACATGGGCTCCGCGCTCGGCCCGCTGGAGCTCACGCCGGAGATCGAGAGCGGGGGCTTGGACTCGATCTGGCGGATCTGCTCGCTGCAGCGGAGGATGAGACTGCCCTTCTCGATGCAGAGCTTGATCTGCTTTCCGAGGAAGTCGTATTCTCTTCCGTCCAGATCGATGTGGAGCTTGTCGCTCACGAGCACGTTGCTCTTATTCACGTCGATCAGCTCGCAGTTGTTGCCCTCCAGATCGTGCGACCACGTGATCGTGTCGTTCCGCTGCAACACGAACTGTCCGTTCGCGATCACCTTCAGATAGTTCCGTCCCGGCATCAATTTGATCCAGAACGGACCCATCTGCGGCGCGGGCGGCGGCACCACGCTCGGCAGCGGCGGCACCACGCTCGGCAGCGGCAGCGGCGAGATCCCTGGAGGCTTCGGGAAGGGCTCCTGCGACGGAGACGGCGGTACAACGCTTGGAGGCTTGGGGAAGGGCTCCGGCGGGGACAGCGAGGTGTTCAGAGTCGTGCTGAGGGTCAACGGAGTGCTCGACGAGGTCGTCGTCAGGCTCGGCGGGTTCTCTCCCACGGGAGTCGAGAACGTGCCGATGGCCTCCTGAACGACCGAGTTCACGATGGCGGTGCCCGAGGCAAGAGGCGGCTCCACGATGGGCTTGGGAGGTTCTGCCGTGGCCCCGCTGCCTTTGGTGGGAGTCTGCATCGGAGTGAAGTCCTGTTCACGGTCAGACTGCCCAAATATATATTCCTCGTTTTCCGTTCCCACGATTGGTTCCTCGTTTCTCGGTTCCTCGTTTCTCGGTTCCTCGTTTTCCGTTACCACGATTGGTTCCTCGTTTCTCGGTTCCTCGTTTTCCGTTTCCACGATTGGTTCCGGAGACACTTCGTCATCGATCGTGTCTAGGACCACCGCGGCGCTGATGGGCACCACCAATCCGCGGTCGCCGTCGCCGTCGCTCGGCGCCATCGTCGTCGTTGGCGGCAACGTCTTCACTACCGTCTTTCCGAAAGCCACGGGCAGGCCTTCGTCCGAGCGCATTCCCGCGGGATCGTCGGCCAGCGGGACGACCATTCCCGCGTTGGCCTCGCTGGGGAGCATGCGAACCTCCATCACAGGGGTCACCAATCCCGCGTTGAAGCGCGTAGACGCGTAGATCAGCGTACCGCGCGACACTGCGAGACGCGGGTCGTCGCTCCCTAAAATCTTCCCGGCGTCGAACATCTGCTCGATGATGCGCGACACGCCCGGCCAGTTGGAGGATCCGCCGATCAGAATCACGTGGTCGATGTCGTCGGGCGTTAGACGGCAGGCGTCCAGGCAGCTGCGCACGCGGTCCATCGTGGGCTCCAGCACGGGCACGAACAAACGCTCCAGCTCGTTGTAGCCGAGAGCAACCTCGTATTCCTGGCCGCCCAAATCAAACATGTGTGTGGCTCCGTTTTCTTTGGTCGTCGAGAGATTGATCTTTAACTTCTCGCACTCTACGTTGATTCTCTCTTTGATGCTCTCCGTCAGCTCGAAGCTCGCGTCCTGCTCCTGGATCTGGCGCACGATCTCGTCGAAAACGATCTTGTCCAAGTCTCTTCCTCCAAAATGACTGTCTCCGTCCACGCCCAGCACTTTGTATTCACGCGGCAGCTTTCGCATGATGGACACATCGAACGTGCCTCCGCCCAAATCATACACAAGGATGGTCTTGTTGTCCTCCACGTTTCGAGAGGTGAAAGAGATAGCGGCCGCTGAAGGCTCGTCGATCATTGCGAGCAGATGGCGATTCGCTGCCTTTACAGCAGATTCCGTGCATGCTCGCTGGTCCGCATTGAAATTCACCGGAACAGACACCACTACATACTCAATGGGGCGCTTTGTCTTTTTCTCGACAAGACCACACAGATAGTTAATGATCATCGCATAAACCTGCTCGGGATACACAATCTCTTCCTTTCCCTGCCATTCCACCCTAAATGCGGCACGGCTGTTCTTTCCCTCCACAATAGGAAAGGAATAATTATGAATTATCTCCTGGACGGACTCGTCAGTAAACCGTTTACCGATAAACCGTTTACTGTCATAAATCGTGCAAGCACGATTACGGTATCTGCTTCTACAGGCATCCGTACCTACTACGATATGATCTTGGTTACATACCACGGATGGAATGTAGGGAGTATCGCCACCATCCATGCCAGCCTCTTTCCCGACCTCAATGGTCCGATCTACGGCATAGTATGAGATGGTAGAATAAGTAGTTCCTATATCAATTCCAGCCGTGTTATACTCAGTGGCCGGAGAGTTCAGGGGATTACTTGGATTATCCATTACGTATTATTCAATACACAAAAATCCAAATAAAGTTTTAATGATAAACTGATATGTTGTTAATTTTACCAAATAACTGGGCTATTTTTCAAACAAACTTGATAATGCTATATCTAGTATGATATCCATTCTCGTCTCTATTATTTTACTGTATGCGCTTCACAAACTACTACCAAATTCCATAACCGTTGGTCTCATTATCAAGTGCTATGCTATAGGTTGAGAAATGCGCTGTTTCTCTTCTCAGAGGTACAGGCACTCTCTTTTCCTTGTCATTTTCACAACTGTCTCTTCGTCTCATGTCGACTCTCCAATTGCAGAGTATCTCTATTGGGGAGCTAACTGTTCATTTACTACCAACCAGATGGTGCTTTCTTGGCGTGTCTGTGAGATCGCTGCATGTTCGACTTGTGACCATTAAAAACGAAGGAAGCATTTTACAAGAGTATATGAAAGCAGGTTTGCGTTTAGACAAGTGTGTTTTATTTTCATAGAGGATCCAACAAACACATTCTGGCTGATAGTGTATGGAATTATTACGTTCCTTCTGAAGAAAATACTTGTTCTGGCATTCTGGGTCATAGAGGTGAATGTGCAAGATGCTGAAGTTTGTATCGTGGATGGCACCGAAGAAACGACTCAAAGTGCTATTTCCCTTCATGTCGACTCTCTCTCGTTCCATCGGTATCAAGATGCGAACGACAGCTGGAAGCAGTTGACAATCTCTTCTGTCTCTGTAACATACTCTTCCGACATCGCCAAATCCACGTTTCTTCTCGCCCACTTTCCAAATGATCTCATCCTGCGTGTACACGTTGTTTTCGTGTCGAGAATAGATCGAATCACCCATTCGCTATCGAAACAACCAGATGATCATCCACATTCAATCTTCTTCTTCTTCTTCTCCCCTTGAATTCTATCCTTCCGACTCTCTTTATTTTATTCTGCCGCTTTTTCAATCCCTTCTTGCTCCCTCTCCTGATTCTTTCGAATCACCCGTAATGCTTTATCCGGACCTTTCTATCCATTCATCATCTTCTTCTATTTCTTCTTCTTCATCCTTTTCTTCTTCCAAATCGGGCTTGTTCCGATCATGGCTTCAATCCATGCGTTCCTTCCGCTGGTTCGTAATTCTCGATTTCCCGGGCATTTCTCTTCCTTCTCTGCATTGCTCCGTCCAGCAAATTCATTTCCAAGCAGGTCTCGCCATCGACACCATCGCCGGTCCTTCGCTCTCCGACAGCGTCGAACTCTCCGCCACGCTCTCCCTCTTCGACTCCTCCACCGTATTTCCTTTTATTTCCTGCGCATCAGACGCTCTCTTGCTCCATCACGCCCCAATGCGACATGTCCCTCGCGCTCACGCCATGCATTCTATCGCTCTCTCCCGACGAAATCCAGCTCTTCTCCGCGCTCTCGCGCTATTTCTCGCTGCTACCGACATCGCATCCCTCCATCATGAATCCGCGGCTTCTGCTTTTCGGCTCGGAATCCAAGCGATCGCGGCTTCTTCTCTTCGAACTGCAGCGATTCCAATCGAATTCCATCCCCGTCCGATCGCTACGAATCGCAATTCCACTTTTGGAATTGTGTTTCGTTGACGGAACACAATTCGAACCAATGATTCGACTCCGAATCGAGGAAGTCGGTTCCGAACCGAATTCCGGAATTCTGGAGATTCGGTCCATTCGACTCACCGCGGGGGAGAAGGAAATTGTGTCTCTCCCGCGGTTCTGCGCGGTGTTCCAGCGCCATGCCCCGGTTTCTCCGTCGGTTTCCACGTTTTCGACGTTTCTGGGATCGAAACACAAATCGAAGGAAGCCGTTTTCGTGGATGTTCCATCGAATTCGTCGAGTTTCGCGCAGTTCTTTCAGCATTCCAAATCGAATTCGAATTCGAATTCGAATTGTTCCATTTGTGTTTCCATCTCTCTCCCCGCGGTTCTGATCAACCTCGACCAGCAGTCGGTTCTCCCGTTTCTCCAGTTTCTCCAATCGGTGGAGAAAAACGCATCGGCTTCCCCGGTTTCCCCAGTTTCCCCATTTCCCCATTTCATTCCGGCGGTGTACGAAACTCCCTTCCTGGGCGTTTCATTGACCTGTCCGGGCGTTTCGCTGCACGTGGCGTCGGATTTGTTCCAATGGAAGGAGCGATCGCGCTTTCTCGCGCTGTCGCTCGCCTCCCTCCGCGCCGATTGCTTCCTGGGGACGCAGAATTTCGACTGCACGCTGGCTGTGGGTTCCGTCCGCGCAGCCCTCCGGTTCATTCATCTCGCATCGCCGCTCACCCTCGAAACGCTCACCGGCTATCCGCCGCCCCCTTCTCCCATCGGAGAAACCGTGGAAACAATGGAAACCGTGGAAACGGAGTCGTGGGAAGCGGCGAAACTGCGGTTTGCGTCGCTGCCGGCGCGGGAAATCGAGGTTTTGGCGGTCGATGCGTCGCGTTTCCACGTTTCCACGTCGCTGCACGTGCTGCCGTCGCTGCACACGTGGCTGCTAACCGCGGGGGAGCAGAGCCACAGCAGCGTGCAGGTGTGCGAGGTGGGCTGGGGGACGCGAATTCGCGCGGATTGCGAGCTGGGAATGATCGAATTGGTGTGGGACGACGTGGGAATTGCCGACTTGGTCTGGGCAGTTCTCACCGTCTGCGATGTGCTGGCGTGTCTGCTCCCGCCGCGTTTCGAGGAGGAGAAACGGGCGGGAGAGGCGCTGAATCATGGTTCGGATTGTTTGTTTCAATTCACGTCTCCTTTGCTCACATTGACGCTTCTTTACAACCAAAAGCCCTTCCAGGAACTCAGCGTCCCCGCGGTGTTCTTTGAGTTCGGCTTCGCCCAGCACGTGGCCACCGACGAAGTGTTCCCGGCGCAGTTTGTGTGCGGGCTGCAGACGCGCGGCGCGTATTGGACCGATCTCACGAACGATCTGCCCACCAACCAAGTTCCTTTTTTTCCGCCGCACGCTTCCCACTAGATTTTCCGCTCGCGAAGCAGCGATCCCGCCGCGTTCTCGGTCCGCTTCCAGCTCACTTGGCGCGTCGACGCCGCCTCTTCGCTCTTCAGTACTCTCTCTCTCTTTCTTCATCTCTCACACGCAGCTCCCTTCGTGGAGGTCGAAATCGCGAACGGCGAGTTCCTCCTTCTCGTTCGTCAGCTCATGGAAATCGCAAAGTTTCTTTTTCTTTCTTTCTCTCTCTCACTCCCAGCTGGTTCTTCGCCTCTTTCTACCCCACTATCATGTGGATCGCCTACTACGATCTCCCCTATCGACGCTCCTCCCGTCTCCAAGTGTCTCCTCTCGCCGAGAGCCTCCAGCTCCATCCCGACACTTCTCTCCACTTCCGCCAGCCCGCCTGTCCCTCCGCCTCCGAATTCCGCGCCAACGTAACCGTCTGGCCGCTCGTCGAAGCCGTTCTGCGCAATCTCCTCATCCGCCTCCCCCAGGCCTCCAATCGGCCCGACGGCATCTCCCTCGAGCTCGTCGAGACCCTTCTTTACACCGCCAAACCGCACGGCCCCACCGTTCCGCTCGGCTCCTTCATCCGAACCGGCTACAGTCTCGCCGAGATTCGCCGCGAACGAGCCAAACGCCCGCGCGATTCCTGCATCACGACCGTGTTTCGAACGGCCTGCAGCGATCCGGAGCGCATGATCTTCCCTCGCTTCCTCATCGAGGCGCAGAAGGCGCGGCTTCTGAGTTGCCACAACGGCCAGACGATCAGCAACAACCTCCAATTCACGGTGCAGTTCCGATCGAAAGTCGTGCTGCCCGCCGAAGCGCGCAAAGAAGCCGAAACCCTCCCTTCTGAGCAGAAGCTCCTCTTCTACCACCCCCAATTGGAGAAACGTGGAACGGAGAGCGCGATCCCGAACGCTGCAGGGCTCCCCATGGAGGTGAGCGTGCGGTTCGAGGAGTTTCCGGTGAGTCTGCATCAGGACGACTACGCGGATTTCCTCTATTTCTTCTTTCTGAATCTCTCGGAAGTGCCGACGGTGTGCTGCGACGCGTATCTCCCGAAGTGCGCGAGGTGCGGATGGACGCACGAGCCCGGACTGCGCTGCTCCGATTGCTGGTGCGTGTTGCACATGCGGTGTGATCGGGTTTTGATGCAGCCGGTGCAGGGCAAAGGCACGTGCATCGTACCTCCAAAGGGCGCGTAATGAGTAGAAACAACTCGGGCGGATGCGATTGGACACGCTCGATTTCTTTAGCTATCTGCACAACACATCGACGTGCGTTCTCACGCTGATCCCCACGCTGTTCCTCTCCGATCTCACGCACATCACGCTCTATCCTCAAAACGCCACGTCTTTTCACTCCAAAATCCCCGTCGATCCGGACGCTCCCATTTCCACGCCCATGCTTCGCCTGATCGACGAGGAACGCGCCGACAAACGAACCTTCCGACTCGACTTGACGCGCTGTCTTGTCAACTTCCAGCCCTTCTTCTTCTTCAGCTTCTATTACTGGACCTGCGAGCCCGTCTGGGCCACGTACGATTTCCCCGAAGCCGCCAATTGGCCCGCCAAAATCGGCGAATACACCATCCATTTCTCCGAGTTCGTCGTGTGTCTGATGAATTCCACCGCGCTTCCCGAGCCCAGCGATCACGAATTCGACAAGGAGACCGGAAAGATGGTCGCCTTCCCCGCGGGAGCGATGTTCCACTCGATGCTGACCAATCGGAATCGCGTCGTGCTGGGGATTGGCGGGAATTGTGTGCTGAATTGTGTGCTGAACGGAAATCTGGAGACGATGGACGTGGAGATTCGGTGCGAACTGAATCGATTTGCATGCGCGAAAATCCGAAATGTGTTCCGAATCCCAACCGACCAATCATCGATCGCGATGGCGATGCAGTACCGCTACGACCCGTCCAAGGCGATTTCCACGATTCTCCAGTTGGATTGGCAGAAATCGCGGCTATTTCTGAAGAAGGAGGATCTTCCGAATTTGATTCAAATCGCGTCGTTCCAGGCGCAGAACGTGAGTCGATT